CTTCGGTCTCATCCTACGTTCGTCGCATGTCTGATGCTAATGATCGACTCTGGCCGATGCTATAGTGTGGTATGTTATGGTGCTCTTTCGATGTCCCTAGCTGACTTGTCCTTCGCCAACACAAGCACCTCTTCATTTCTGGCGCCTTTGGCGACTCAGATCTCAGACCCAGTGAAAACGTGCAGAATTTCCTTGAAATTAGAACCTATTAGTATATTTGCATGTATTTGCCTAACATTATTTCCGGCCACCTCGATGACGAAAGTCGCGCGTGACTTCGATTGTGTATCACAGCCCATCGAATGCATACGCAAGACGGACTCGAATGCACGACCGTGACGCTCGCAATACGTCCTGGATGGACTGACAGCTCGGACAATTGTCCGCGGCGCGTCTGTGCATCTAGCTTGAGTCTTGCTTTGGCTAGCCGGTGTGCGCTTTCGATTTGTTTTCAACTACCTGTCTCTCTCTAGTGGAATGGCTGGCTCTGGTAAACATGGCAATGGCACTACCGATAAATCTGGGCGCATATTTGGCTGTCAAGAAGGCTGCAAGGGGAGCAAGGGACTCATATCAGAGAAGATGTTCTGGCGACACACTCTGTTCCGCAAATCGGCGCAAGGTCACCAGATAAGCCGCCTTCTTGCAAAACATATACCGGAGACATCTACCAGACAAGATGCTGAGCCGAGTCAGCAACTTCCGCCTGCCAAAAGGCGGAAGCACTCGAGCCAGCAGGCATCAGTATGTCACCGGATTCTGTTTAGCATCTATCGTCTAACAATAAGATGATTGGCCCATAGCCGCCCAGAAGCAGACCACCATCAGTCCCTTCTGGTACAGCCGCAAGTACTGCATCTATCCCGGTGCACTCAGGTAACTTTTGGGACCCCTGCGCTGCTGGTGGTTCCGCTGCGTCTGCTACTCGTGGCCCTGAACAAGATGATGTTGCTCCTATGGACATCGAGATGGATGATTCTCGGGAAGGGCTGTCTGGAGAGGCTGGAGGGACTCCAGGCTCTCAGGCTGCCGGTTTGAATATACCCGCCACTCCCCGTCCTGATGTTGAAGATGTACCGGATGAAGGGGACCAACCTGCCAAGGCATAGGTGCGTCCAACAACTGGTCATATTACTCATCTGATTTAACTACTCTATAGAAATGCACACTTGCAAAGGAGGGCAAGCTGCAGCTGTCGAAATGGAGGAAGAAGGATGACAGCACTGATGCTGGTGTCATCGATTCTTGGTGGGTTCTTCCCCTATATTATGAGACGGCACTAACAGCATGCCACAGAGATTGCAACGTGGTGTCGCACTGTCTCAGTAGGGTGGGTGGGCAACGGGCGTGCAGGCGACGGGGGTGCGGGGGTGCGGGAGGGGCGGGAGAACAGGAAATAGAAGGAAATTATGTTATAAAATGCGGGTAAATCATGTAAATACAGTGGCGAGTAGAAGGTAGAGGGAAAATGGAAGTAAATTCACCAGAATGCCAATAAATTCCTAGAGAAATGTGGAGGGCTACCGCGGGGACAATAAATACCATAATCGGAATGCACTGCTGCTGTCCCTGTGTACTGTATCACGACTGGTCGCAAGGTATACCACCGGCGACAGCCGGCGCTTCTCGAGTGAATGACCGGTGGCGGGACACCGGTCCTTGCCGGCTTATGTACTATAGGTGTGGACTTTTAGATCAATTAAAGAAATTAAAGAAATTAAATCGAAGGAGAGAGAGAAAGAGAAGGGAAAGACACTCCGTTCGGGACCTGTGAGCTTCAGAAGGGGTATATTATTGAAAGCATATACTAGTGCTATATTCAGGGATCTCCCGTGGCTTGGAATATCCCTCAAGGCTAGTTTCTTCGGTTTCCACAGCACATGAATTTTCCTTCGCGGTGCTGCACGCTGCATTAACTCTCTGGATAGCTTAAGGCAAAACCTGGTGGTATTTTTAGTTTGAATGGACGCCTCCATGCGTATCCCACTGCTCATGTGAGTTGCAAGAAATTGAGCAACCTGAAAGTCAAAAATCATCTGCTTTTTGGTGGTGCTGTCGCACCGCTCACTTTACGCATCCCAAACTTAATAAACCACTTGTCACTTACCTACCTATAGTACTTCTACCTAGCTATGTGTCCCGGATATCACAGTACAGATATAACTCTTCAGCCCCAATTTTGGGAGCAAAATAACACCATACACGGCAAAAAAGCAGAATTTCCGGTCAAATTCTCCATAAGAAATATATCTCTTTTATTTTACAAACAACTTTGGATGGAACCGCTTCATTAGGAAGCTTGCACACGTCGTGAAAAGGTAGGGAGGCTGGAGGATGGCATGTACATGAGGTGCCACAAGCGTGAGAACTCCTGCCAAATACAGTAAAACAATTCGAAGTCCGAAATATATCATTCAAACTCAGTTATAGATCTATTTCGCCACGCCTATAGTATAACTGCCTCCTTGCCCGCTGTGACACATATCGGACTGTCTGGATGAAACCGCATGGAACATTAGCGACCTACAAGCATACAGTCCGGACGTCGCAGAGCTGATACAGTATGCATACAAATTATTGGATAAATACGATAGTCCAGTCCGACCGCGCGCGATCGGCTATCCGCCAGGTCGTCGCAGACCATACTGAACAGTCCGTAAGAGTGCATCGGACAGTTCATTAGAATCATCCTGGTCAGAGTCATCTGCATGTGCATCGCGCGGCCCGCTGTTCGGCGTGCCCAAGACTGAGGCCTTCCGTTTGGAGACGGTAAACCTTTTCTGCTTGCTGGGACTCTTGGGATGGGACGCCGCACGGCCCACCGGCGGTGACGGAGATGGTGATAGTAGCTGTGTATGTTTATTCTTGCCTCTGGGGACCGGTGTTGTGATACATACTTCCGGTACTGGTGGTTGCTTGATACGAGGGGGAATTTTGATTGTGAAGGGAGTAACATCTGCACCCTCAGATCTCTTGGTTGTGACGAGGGAGTCCTTGAGGGATTTCTTGACTACTCCAGTGGTTATACGCTTGCCGGTGGAGGACTTGGTCGGGGTCGGCTTGGCTTTCTTCTTGGAGCTATGAGAGGCACCACTCCATTTCCGCCTCTTGACTGGAATTGGTTCGTCTTCAGCGTCGACGATCTCCAGCCCGTCCTTCCTGGCAGACTTCGCATCCCTCTTTCGCTTCCTCTCCGCAGCAGCTTCCCTGGCCTTATCTTCCTTCCCAATCTCTTCGTCCAGCATCTGAGCGAAAGACTGTGCATCTCCCTTCACCCAGACGTCAAAGACACCTTCCCACTCCCGTGTTGGCACCGGGAAGTCAAGGTTCAGATATATCGACTTCATCGGCACCTCTTCGTCTGCGGCACACGCCCGCCTCGGCGGAGTCGAGGATGGAGTCAGCAATCCGGTGTCCTTGCTCGACGCACACGAGTTCCGAGCCCGCACCGCCTTCGCAAACTCGCGCACAATGCGCTTCGTCCCAGGTACCCTAAGGCTCGTACCCACCACCAGCAACAAATCCGCCCCCGCCCTGCCCTTCCCTTTATTGCTCCCCATCAGATCCTTCCGGACGACCTCGCCGACGCCCTCGCCTTCCCGGTGGTCCTCGTTGTACAACACGACACTCGGGCGCAGCTTGCCTACCCCGCGGGAGCGCTTGCCCACGAGCTGCCGCGTCTCCTCCTGGGAGGCGCATTCTGGACAGGCCGGCGGCTGCCCCGAGGACAGCGAGGAGAGATGGTCTTCGAGCGGGAAGGAGTGGTGGCAGGTCTGGCAGTGCACGCGCTGCAGGGTGCCGTGCAAGGGTATGCAGCGCGGTGTCTCGGCAGGTGGCGAGAGGAGGCGCACACCTGGAGAGTGAACGGGCAGCGAAGAGGACGACTGCGAGGTGGCCTTTGCCTTGCCAGAGGACTTGGGGGACCAAGCGTTCCCTCGGCGGTCTTCGTAGTCCGGGACGCCGAGGGACAGCCCGCACTTGGACTCCAAGGCGTCGATGTTCTGCGTGTAGACCCGCAGCAACCGTCCGCGGTCATCCAGGGTACGCAGGAGGTTGTGGAAAGGGGTCGGCACGGCTGTTTGTGACAACTCGGAGAGGTGGGCGATCATTTGGCAGAACAGGGATGTGGTGCTTTCGGACTATATCATGTTCTAGTTAGACTTACGCATCACAGACACATCCGGGCAAAATGGATACTAGCTAGGGAGAGGATCGACATGCGTACATGCGGCCACCCGTCCTTGAGTTCATAAGTTGTGTACGCACATTGAACACCGACGCATCGAACAAGTCCCTCCCTGACGACAACGATTCCTTTGGATTCTCTTTTTTCAGCGTCTGGAAAAGACCTTCCGGAGAACGAAAATCTGGTATGCCAGCATGCACCGATATCCCAGCACCTGTGAACACCCCACAGATCGATGTTTCATGATTTTTCGTATCAGAATCAACTTAGAAGCAGGAAAAGAACTACCGAGTACTAACCGCATACAACAGCGATCCGCTTCGCCTTCAAAATTGCCTTGAGCAATTTACCCAGCTGGTTTTCAGGATCAGACGGCGGCACCAAGAAAGAGGGCGTCTGTGGTATCGGCGAGGCCGCCTCGAGAGGTATACAGACGGTCATGCGGGTGACCGTCGCAGGCGTTCAGTGCGCGGCCAGTCGACAGCAGTATCAGATTATTTTGTGCAGAGCGTCGATGGGATGGTGGCAACTGGCAAGACAGATTTGTGGCACGCAGGGGTCGGGGAAACGTCGCGCGTCTCGAGATGCTCTGCTTATTACCGGACAACCGAGCATGCGTGCGGCAGGGCAAGTACCTCATGTCGTTACTCACGCTGCTCGACGCTTCCATCGATAGAACGAATAAGACGCTCGTGAGCTACATCTCGGGCGAAGTTGGCTATCTTTGGGCATGCTGATCAGTCAACTGAACCACCTCTTTGGTTGCTCAATCCGCGGTGATATTACCTCCAGCTTCCATAAGGTCAAACAGCTCGGGACAAGCTGTAGGGAGTACTCGTACTCGGCGTACGTCACTCCCAGGGGATTGCTCGACCGTGTATTTGAGAATCATTACTGGTACTACATACACTATATACTCGCTGCCTCCAAACTGAACGCTTTAATCCAGGTCCCAGGCGACACGAACCCTTCCTTTCACTCTTGCTTATGACCTCTCTTGGGCTATGCTTACTACCTGCAATCCGAGGGAGCACACGACAGCGATGAGAGGCGATACGAGATACTGCATGTAGAGTTAACTCATGAGAAGGTATGTGATAAGACGGCTACCCACCGATATCGTCAACATCCCAGCGACAGGGCCCTGGTCGATGTTCATCAACTCCGCCAAGTTCATCAACAACATTGCAGACGGGCCAGAGGGCACCAAGATGAGCAGGAACCTGGAGGAATCACATCAATGCGAGAGGTGGGCCATGGCGGGGAAGGCTACTTACCACACAAGCGGATCATTGGTGTACCAACTCCGGCCAGCAGTGAAGTACACAAAGGCCAGGGACACGGCTGGCATGAAGCCGTATCGGATAAGTAGGACCCATAAGGTCGACTTCACACCCGGGTTCGCGGACTTTACTGTGGCTAGCTGGGCACCCAAGACAAACATTTGCAGGGTGACACTGCAGACTCGTCAGTGGACATGAATTGCTGCAAATTTATCCAGTGACGTACAAGAGCTGTCCAAGGTTGCTGACCGCTTCAGTGAGGGTGTTATAGAATATGCCATCTTTCGACAGGAAAGCTTCGTGCAAGGGCGGCGTTATCTGCAAATCGCATCACCACCGATGTCCACTTCAGGTCACTGTGCTTGACATACCCCAATGATCAAGGCGACAATACCACCAATCAGAGGAGGATTGAAAACTGCGAGGACTTTATTCAGGGGTTTCGAGACAGCGTCTACCGCCTTCCTCATCCTCGGCGGCAGTCGTGAATACAACTCCATATTCGGGACATCTTCCAAGCGGTGCAAAGGTCCTGTATAGTCGTCTGCGTCCTGGTCGTCGCCGTCGTAGTCATGCAGCAGCCCGACATGTTCTCTGTCCTGGACGGTCGGATAGCCGTGAGGTTGTCTCCCAGGTCTCAGGCCCTCTGGATCATCGTCACCGCCGTCCTTCTTAGCTCTGGCCTTGTCTATACGGAAGACCATGGGTCCGAGGCCGAAGGTGACCATCTGCTGACTGGGCGGCTGTCAGGCGGTATGGAGGCTGTCACCGCGGAGCGCGACTCACATGATAGAGTTCAGGAGGACGATACTCTTTGCCCGATCCAGGGTGGTGCTGACAGATTCGCCCTCTTTCTTGAGGGAGTCCAGGACGCCGGTGTTCTCCAAACTGTGCAGAAGCAGGAGAGGGAGAGCATTTGCGTTCGCCCTGCCGGAAGCCACGATGGTCCATGCGGGGAGATTTAGGGCAGCCTGTGATCATGTTTAGCCTTGTGTATACAGAGACAGCCGGTGTGTACATACCATGCCTGCCCAGCCGACTAAATGCGCGATCAGAGAGCTGAACGCGCCCCATACCGGCATGATCCACAGCTTAGAGATCTCCTTCACGGTCAACTGCGGTCCCATCTGGACGACGATGAGACATGGCAGGAAGAGTAACGACGAGACATTGGATATCTTCTTCACTGTCGGCCGGTCCAACAAGCCATAATAGCTCGTCAAATACCCCGCAAACGCGGTGAGCAGGACGGATATCGATCCTTCGAGGGCGCCCACGAGGGTCGCGGTGAGACTGCTGCCAGACATGACGCGGACGACGGAGAGTCGGGGGGTCGTTCGCTGCGCGTTGCGACCATGGCTCGCAGGCTTTTGTAGACGATGGTTGGGGCCGCTGCCAGACGTATTTACGGATCTCTTCACAGTATTGACGTCACCTGCTTCTCCTGGACCGCCGGGAAAGTAGCTTGACCCTTTTTATAGTCCTCCCAGGCACGTCCCGGCGGATACGATCGTGGACATATTATTAATTATTATTACATATTGCTATCGCCTGCCACGGTCATGATCAATCTGTTATACAGTCGACTCTGTCTTAACCCATACCTGTCATAACCCATAACCTGTAATAACCCATAGGTTTTTGGCTTCCACCGACATGGTAGATAGTAAAAACCCATAAGTCTGCCGTATCCCATAACCCATAGCTTTTTGAAGGGTCATAACCCATAAAACAACCTATATTAGGAAGGTACAGGTCTCCTTCTCACGAGAATCTGGACCATCTGGACCCCTAATTTTTGGTTCTCGTGGTATTTCAGAAGATAACCCATACCAGACTCAAGATTCCGTATCTAAACGGTGTCATAAACGACGTCCGGCCTATACCGGATAGGCTGTCTGTCACGCGTACTGGGTAGTCACATAGTGTCACACGTTCTGGTAACCCATAGTCTGCAGAAACCCATAACTTTTGGGTTCCACGACCCGTTATGGGTTAAGACAGAGTCGACTGTAATCGCTATACGAAAAGGCTTGAATAAAGGCCAATAAAACCTCCCACGTCTCCTAGGTGTCTCCCAGAGGACTATGATTTCCCTTCAGTCCCCTCGTCGAGACTGGTAGGATAGTACATCCTCTTCAGATGTCGGTATTTGCGCAGAGAATACAAAGCTAGGGTCTCTACCTCACGATTGAATTAATCGTAATCGATACCGCGGTCGCAGCGGCCCCAAGGAGTGCACCCACCATTCTTGATATACTCGCCGAACTTGATCGCCTTCTCGATATCTTCTGGGTCCGTCAGGTCTCTGTTCTCTGTTCGAGGCACACGAGTCAGTTCCCAGTGTCAACTCTGAGCCTTCTCGTTCACTATACATACTCTCGAACATACGCCGCATCCGTCCATTGAAGTCGTACCTTCGGATGATAAGCGCGCGTCAGTCCCGGACCCTTCCTTCATTCTACGGATTACCTACGATGGATCCGGGTAGTCTCGACCGAGGCGATTAAGCTCCTTGTAGAGAGCAATAACTCGTTGACGGGTTACATTCGGGCTCATCAGTGTAGCCTTGGTCAAGGAGCACAGAGGCTTTCACTTGAAGTCGACATCTGACCGTAACTTGCTTATGTCATAACGCGTCACGCAGTCATACAGAAGGCACAATATATGGTACAGGTTGGGTATAGAACATGGAATGGATGCAGCACCCCGAGTTCATCCTCACGTATACTATGTAGCACTGTGTTAGGCCTTTAGTGCGGTCCTGATAAGATCTGCCGCCTTCTCAGCAACAGCGATGACCGGGGCCGCCTGCCAATTTATCGTAAGCCAAGTCTAGCAGCAATCTGAACGTGTCAACACCCACCGTGTGCCCAGCGATGATATTCGGGAATATGGAAGCATCCACCACCCTCAGGTTCGGTACGCCATGCACCCTCAGCGAAGCGTCCACCACCCCGCCCTGGTCCCGCGGCATCATACGCGCTGTGGAGGTTGGGTGATACAGCGTCTCAACCCTATCACGAACGATCTTCTGAAGTTGTTCCGCGCTCAGCTCATGCAGGCGGTGGTCCAGCTCTGGATGTGTGCCCGATTGCCTGAGTACGGATGCGAGGGGGTTTGTCCGGACAAGGCGTCCCAGCAGCTGCAAGGCCCGCACAAGCACGTCAACATCGTGTTGTGTATCGAGATACCTACAATCATTTAGCTACAGAGACCTTTGACAGGGACATACGCATACCGGGGGTCGATGACAGGCGGCTTAAAAGGATTCGAAGACCTCAGGGAGATCGACCCCTTACTAGTCGGTCTTCGAGCAGACCTATCAGACAGCACGGATTTGCATATAAAGCGGGGTCAAGTACCTTAGAAGAACGGCGTGGAGAGCCACCAATTCACCGCTTGGTTGAGGAAGCGGAGCATATCCATGCTCTTTGTACGCAACCGGCGTAGCGAATAGTTCGATATCAGGAGCGTCAGGACCAGAGGTGGCATCTTCGGGAGGTTGTCCGTATTCCACAGGCGGAAAGAGTGCCGCATCCGAGGACCGCACGAAAGCAGCTGACTCTCCCACCTACACTGAAGTTTAGCAGTATATCTCAGCAGGGAAAAGCGCAATATTCACATTGGTGGTGAGAGGCCCTTTGCGCGTCACAAGATACTGCAGCGTCGCGCCCAGAGTCTTGACAATCTCGTATACACCTTGAGGCTTGCCAACGTAATTGATAGACTCCCCTCGCTTCGCGTGGAAGTTTACGTCCACTACCGGGTGATCAATCAAGTTTTGCCCTACACCGGGCAGATCTACCAGGACCGGGATCAAGTGCTGGGCCAGCTGCTCTGCGGGGCCAATCCCGGATAACATGAGGATCTGCTCTCTGTTAGTCGAACGTACTGTTAATGAACAAAGCTGATCCTGACCTGAGGTGTATGCACAGCACCAGCCCTGACGACGCGAGTCAGATGAAATGGTGCGCTCGAGCAGCGGAATACTCACGACAGCACAACTTCTTTACGAGCTCGAGCGACAAACCGAGTACCATGCTCGCTCTGAGCGAATTCGACACCTACGGCTCGCGTGTCCCCATTTACACTCTCAAGCAACACCTTAGTGGTTGTCGCATGAATGGCCACCTTGAGATTCGGCCGTCTCAACACATGCTCTGTGAGATATGCCGACTCGGTCGATACACGGCTGCCGGTAGAATCGATGTACGTCACTGTAAGATATACATTGAACGCAGGAGTCTGCGAGGACTAAAGAAGTACTCACTGATCTGCACTCACGTTAGCATCCGTGAGATGGAAGTTCAGCGATACGATAGGACGCACCTTGGAAGTGCCTAGAGTCCCGCTGGCAGTATTAATGTCCGGGCGGTATGGTATTCCAACTTCTTTGCATGCTTCGACGAAGGAGGATGAAAAGCGGGAGAAATTTCCGAAGTAGCCGGCTGAGGGGACACTCAATGATCAGCTCATGTAGGACAACATTGATACACTAACTCTGTATCGGGCCTGCCGCGCCCCGCAGAGAGCTGTCGACAGATGCGAAAGACTTGCTGGGGCTGAATTTCTCGAACTTTAAGAAGTATCTGCCACCCTGGTTACCTTGGCCTGGACTGTCATCTTTACAGCGTGACGCACTTTTGGAGATTTTTGTAGGACCAGGATGATGCCTCTTCGCCGCCGAGCCGGGCCCATTCATCGTAATCCGAAGGCGCACCGCATTGGAACCTGCCATACCATATAAGAGATTGAGGAATAGAATTTGATCAATGACGAACATCATGGCATTGATGGATGAACCTGTTATGGTCAATAACCAGGTGTCTCAATTCCTATTCAGGCACTTACATCCACCCAGCATCTTGCCTATCCACGGACCAAGAGTAAACATTTATCAAAGGTAGAGGAGTACTGTAAGTCTAGACCTACCTCTAGGCCAATACCGCGATCTGCCTCCGGCTTCGGATTGTGGTACGGTATGTAAGCCGTAATCGTGCTTAGTGTGGAACAACCTGCTGTATGCAGCGGGTATCCGAGTGAAAGGGAGATTCACTCCGCTGGCCAGAAGATAAACTTTAACCTCTTGATATACAACATGCTGGACCGCAAATACAGTACCTTCCTCCTGCCTCAAGCAGTAGAACGCGGACGGTAGGATCCTCTGAAAGACGGGAGGCCAGGACGCAGCCCGCAGTACCTAGGGATCCAAGTGGGATGGGGTCTAGGGTGATAGGAAGAAGGCAGCTCACCTCCTCCAACGATAATGACATCGTACTCTGGTGCGTTGTTGACAATTGAGGTTCCCTCGCCGGCCTGGCGCGGCAGACCTTTCCCTACAAGTCCCAGGTCGCGTATGAAATAGTCTCTCTTACGCTTAGCCCGTCTAATGAGCAGGAGGGAGACGGCAGCAGCAAGGCCGACGATGACTGCTCGTCGCCTACGGAGCCTCCAGCCCAGCACCTGTAAAGCGGAGAGCAGCGCCTGGAGATCAGCCCTTAGCGCGGACGTCCTGCTCGACAACGAAGACATCGCAGTGGTCTCCGGTCCACGAAAGCTCGTTTATAACCGGACGAAGGCAGATTCTGGATTTCATGGGCGTGAATTGCGCGTTGCCCTGACTTGGCTAGCCGTTGTCATCAGGTGAGCTCTCCGAAGCGCAAGTTTCATTGGTCGGCTGCCCCGCGGGGCCCCGGGTTTGCAACCTGCATCGTCGTAAGCGGAGGATCGTACTAGTAGACATGCACCTCTGTCATTACTTTTTTGCAGCTGTCTCCGTTCGAAGACAGGATCGTCGCAGATATTTGACGTTCGGAGATCGGACATTTCATGCCAACGTATTTCTACGTACGCGATACTCTCACAGAATGTATTTCTGTGTTGGAGCATCGACGACAGTACGCCTGCATGACAGTAACAATTCTTAAAATATCGCTGGTATCATTGCCCTCTATTTCTCGTCTACGCGCTGGCGACACCGCGCTTGCCATGGCTCGCCGTCGTCGCTGCTGTCCTCGACGCGCTAGAGGTGTGAGAGAAATGTGATGGAGCAAGCAGGCCTCGCGTCACAGGTCGCAGGCGCGTCATAATATTGTCGCAGGCGTGTTCCTCTGGGCGCTCGATAATTTCGTCCTCCTCTGCTTTCTTATTCCCGCTCTTTTTCGACTCTGGCTTGTTCAGTGCTCCGTGCTGGCCTCGCGCCAACGCAAACAGCCCTTTGGGTTCTTCACCCGGGGAAGTCGCAAGCGTGCGCCCACGTATCCTCCGCCGGACATTCACACTCCGTCGATTGCAACAGAAGCCCATAACCCTGCTCCGTCCGGTAGCGGAAGTTCCGCGATGGCAGCGGAACAAGAGCTGTCACCGCCCTCCAAGGCCAATCTCAAAGCTTGGTGGAATCACTTCACGTTTGCTCAGCGGGCCAAGAAAGATGCGGAAGAACACAAAGGCAAGTATGCTGTCGTGTGCCCTCTCTTCCTCCCATGACATTGCAGTCTTCAAGGGCCCCAGGATTCGCGTGTGTTTGGGAAGCCATTGCGAGAGAGTCTGAAATACGCTAGTGTGCAGATCTCGACTGCCAACGCTAACGGGGAATTGTACGTGTGGGGTTACATACCGGTTGTCGTTGCGAAGTGGTGCGCCAATCCCAAAACCTGAATACATCTCCTCTGCTGAAGACATGTGCAGTGGTCTCTATCTCAAGGAGAATGGTGCGCTGGATCATGTTGAATAAGGACGTCCGTGCTCACTTCGTGACGCTTTAGCAACGGAAGTAGAGGGGACATTCCGAGTGAACGGATCGAACAAGCGGATGAGGGAGCTGCAAGCGATCTTCGAGACACCACCTCGGGTGCGATGGGCTTACCATTCTTCGAGAAATGTACTGACTTGTCGTTGCAGTATGGCAAGAATCTGGACTGGAAGAAGGAGCATTACACGACTCACGATGTCGCAAGTGTCTTTCGGAGATACTTGACTCAGATGCCTGTTAGTCTTCATACCAATGCATTGTTCAGCGACCTGATCGTTCATTAACCCAGGAACCCGTCATTCCTCACGACATGTACCATGATGTGAGTCGCTCATGAAATCTCTTCTGCTTCCATTCATCAATCTATTCTAGTTCCGGGACGCACTAGGTATGTAAGATACCTCTATGAAGCATCAACTGTTGCCGATCACTAGACATAGCGAAGAAACCTCTAAATCAAGAGGAGGTAATCGCGAAGTACAAGAAGCTCATTCAGCAGATGCCTCGCGCGAACCAGTACCTCCTCCTATATGTCCTTGACCTTTTATCAGTCTTCGCTCGGAAGTCCGACAAGAATTTGATGACGGCTCAGAGTAAGCCTCCTCCAGTCTGCCGACTTGCGCGCGGGTACCTACCGGCCATTTAACTCTAGATCTGGCGGTAATCTTCCGGCCGGGACTCATCAATCATCCTGATCACGAGCTGTCGCCCAAGGAGCATCAGCTCAGTCAGGATGTCCTGGAATTCCTCATTGCGCATCAGGATTGGTTTATCCTGGATATCCCACCTCCTCCAGATTCTGCATCTCCCGGTGCACCTGGCTCGCCTGCATCAGAAGAAGATATCGCGGTAGTACCGAGCTCGGACGATGATCAGTCATATGTGGGTGGAGGCTGGAGGTTAGTAGGGAAGGACAAGAGATTGAAAGTGCAGAGACGTCGGACTACAACCGAGCGAACCGGTACGTCGACTCATGATGAATCGACGCCCCTCGTTTTGAGCGAGACCCACCCCTGTATCCAGATCTAGTGGCGAAGAGTCCTGAACGGGGACTCGCACCAGTATCGGAGTCGCCGACACTTGGAGAGGGCGCTGGGGCAAGCGTTACCCGGAGTCGAACTTTACCATCGACTCGCTCGAGAGTCAGCGCAGATTCTTCGAGTCTCCCTCTTACACCTCCGCCAGAAGACGACCGAGGGCGCTCGGGCAAGCTCAAGAAACAGCGCCGCTCGTCTGCTGTTCCGGGATCAAGCCCCAGACCAGGGTCTCTAGCTCCCAGCGAAGCGTCCGGTGGTGGTGGCGGGTCGACATAGGTTGTAACTTTCTATCTATTATCTTCTATACCCTGCTCTCGCGTCTTCTGCGCCTTGTATATCCCCATATTCTTACTGCGACCATCTTCGTCTATTTTGATTTCAGCGTAGAGTAGCTGCATTGCTGTTTTGATATCGCGCTCCCTTCTCCCTACTTGCGCATCTATTCCCTAAAGAGTGTGGACCATCTGCTGTATCGTAGTGAACCGTCTGAATTAGCCAGTTGTCGTGGTTTGTAGGGATTGATCATTTTTTCTTCAGATATAAATGCAACCCCCACGCATGTTCTGTATACGGCAGTGCCGCATAGGTTATCTCGGTAGCATATGCTGCCGTGCTGCTTGTCGGGTAACTTCAACTTGGGTTTGCACTTTTTTATATTCGATGGTACTCAGCGACCCTATAGCTGCCCGGCTCAGTCCGACTCGGAGAGGGTACTCTATTGATAACGAGGTGATGAACTCAAAGTGAAGTCGCCTCCCTCGATAAAAGTCCGAAACACTCGCTTGCGACAATGCGCGAGGAGCACCCAGGCAGACTCCAGGTTGTGGTACTTACCATAATTGCAATCAAGCACGCTCAAACTGCGACATGACTGTCTGTGCCAGACACAAGACAGATACAGACTTGCAGACTGAGATGGCGTGAGACAGCGGAGCCGATGACGGCGGGCGTGTATTCATTGCATTCGGATATCTTCAGCAAGCGCGGTCATATCTGTAGAAAGGGAGATCCACTGAGTGATCTAGCACAAGTTGTCTGAGGCTACGTTGGTCGTCTCGACGGTGCAAGTTATATCGGTCGCCGCTGCTCAGAACCGCTATAAAGCTGCAGGAGTATTCTATACTTGGTGTTTCGGCGGATAGTCCGCTTGAATCGCTTCGCCAAATACCTGCCACCATCTACGAGATGTATAGCGACATTGGTGATCGTGATCACTGGCCACCGCTGGACGGGACGTATCAGGCAGACCCCGGAGGAAGGAAAAGGGCAAGTAGAGGCAAGTAGGACGTGTTGCTTCGATTACCAGCCACTTACTGCGCGTAATTAGCCTGCGATCAGTGCCGCAAGACGAAAAGTAAATGCGAGTTGTTGGTGGAAGGGGGTCCATGCAGGAATTGTGCAGAAAGCAATCTAGGTATGTGGCAATGCTCATGCCCATCTTCCTGGGTTAACTCTTTTGCAGTATGCACATTTTTAGGTAAGTCCCCCGTCCCCTTCTCGCCGCCTAATACCAATCTGTTGTAGGCCCTACCTACAAGCGGGGACCGCCTAAGGGCTACCTCCATGCAATCGAGCAGAGATGGTATCAAGCGGAGACAATCCTTGGCGCCATACTGGCGTCCCCAGATCCACGAGCCCGGGAGATAATATCCGCCTTGCAGAAGGACGACCTTGCCCGGGAAGTCCTTAATCGCGTGGACATTGGGCCATTCGTGAGCTTTCAAGCCATCCGTGTTGACAGCAATCTCAGCGAGAAATTGTGTTCCTGGTATTGTACAGGGTCCAACAGGTCGGGCTTCTCAACCCGCTGGGGCGACCATGGAAGATCTCTTTCATTCATTCATCGCGACAAATGAAAGGCAGACGCAGCGGCAGTCCCGTGTGTCACGAGAGATAGTATCAACAAGTAAAGGTGGGAAGTCCTGGAGAGCGTATAGCATCGGTGGGCACTTACTCTGTGCCTATAGATAGCCGATTGTCGCCGAGTCAAGCTGCCGCTTGGCAGGATCGTTTGACCACACTGCTGGGAGCACCACCGACCAACCCACCGTCGTCAGATATTTCACAGCATAGTAGTCCCCCAGACAATTGGCGGGACGGGCACAGCAGCGAGCGCGAAGGGAACCGGAGGCCCCGGCTCGGTAGCTCGCCTGATTTCAGCGGCATGTACACGATTGATGGCTCCTCTGGTACGTGACTTCTATTATAATCCTCAGTGTTCACCAGTTATAATACCAGTATGCCCAGACGCTACGGGAGAACATAGTGATGATGTCGAAGAGAGCTCGCATGCTATTGGTCAACTTTCTCTGGACGAGAACGATGAGGTGAGCGGCGGTTAGCGTCATATCAAGTTCTCTATCCAACGTAACCATAACAGGTCCGCTTCCATGGTGAAGCAAGCGGTCTTCATCTTCTAGGACAAAGTGAACGCACCGACGATCGAAAAGAGGATGGTATCTGGTATGGGTTATTATATGCTCACTCCTGCAGCACAACTGAACAATTTTAAGGAAACTGCCTATGGCGCGAGTATGGCCACATGCTCCACACGGCATCCTTCGCTATCCGGAGGAGGATAGTGTTCACGTTGCCTGGCCTCCGATCCCAGAGCAAGATCGGCTTGTAGAAATGTATTTCACTTACTTCCACCCGTCCTTCCCGGTTCTAGACCAAAAGCTCTTCATGGAAGCATACGAAATGAGGTATGTCGATTGCACAAGTCGCAGTTAGTTCATGTCTCACTGCAAAGGGCAATTCAGCAAGGAAGAGTAAGTTACCAAAATGCCACGGACTGGCGCGCCTCTGACCATGGGCTTTCGTTAGGCCTTCCCCGTCATCGGCCGCAGGGTCACAGAAGCTGTCGAAACTGTTGCTTTGCTCAATCTTTTCGATCGCCGAACGGTACTGCATAGATGATGGGCACACTATCAGCAAAGGCGAGATGCACGAAGAAGGATGCCAATATTTGGACTGGGCTCGTGAGATCTTGAGTAAGTCCAGTCATGTAGCGCAGTTTCCGTACAAACATTCTTCCGCAGATAGAGTCTACCATCACAGTAGACTTTCCACTTGCCAAGCTCTGCTTCTCCTTGGTATCCGAGAGTTTGGTATTGGTAGGTGTCGCTGACGATGCATGGCTGATATTCTTGCTTATATCCCCTTCACGCATAGGATCCGTTGAGCACGGGTGGCTGTACATTGGTGAGTATGGATCGTATATACTTCTTTCTTGTATTGAATATAGGAAACTGGTTGATTCCAGGCATGGCGAGCCATATGGTAGGTGCTTGATCTCGAAAGGCCTGGCCTACACTTAGTCTCGCGTCAATAGGCTCAGGATCTGGGGCTGCATAGAGCTCTAGACAATTGGCAGTACCAAGGGAAAGAGCTCTTCTCTGCCGAAGATACGCAAATTCGGCGGCAGGTATGGTGGTGCTGCAACATCGCGGATAAGTATGTGTCGTATGAATCCTGTGTTATGCATTGCTGACGTAAAATAATCCAGGTACGTATCCGTATATATGGGTAAGTTCATGATGTTGTATCATGGCACTCGGCGTTGTTATAGTCTAACTGCTCGAAGGGCGGCCGGTCTGCATCAAGGAAGCCGATTTCGACACGCCTCTTCCCGATGTCCGACCGGTACGTTAGGTCATCCGTCGTCTCGTGGCAAGTTAGAATAACCTCTGAATGTTAGGATGATGAGAACGAGCACACAATTTGGCAACCTTACCCGCTACAACCACAGCGTGAATCAAGCTACATACCTGTCCAAACGCATCTGCGAAGCTGTTTCCGTGCAATGTCCTCACTCGGTAGGCCCCATGACATCCGAGAGTGTTACGACTATATTGAGATCACATGTATCACAGCCCTAATTATAGGCAACATTGTCGACAAGATATATCCTATCCGTTCCAAAACGATGCAGGTGCGCGTGACGGAATCGGCGAGATTAGAACAAAGCCTATCGCAGTGGTATCTCAATTTGCCGAACTGTCTACAATACAACTCGTCAAATGCAACTAGTCCCACTCCTCCTCCCCATGTCCTGGTGCTTCACATGATGTATTGGTCGACCGTGTTGTTGCTGCATCGGGCATTGTCAGTGGCTTCTCAGATTCTCTTGGATGGAACTGGCTAACGAACTGACCCCCAGCTTTCCGAGGAATGCAAAAGAGTAAGCCGTGTCTCTGTGATCGGTTATCCATACTTATGCTACCCTACCACGCAGCGATGATGCGAAGTTACGACAGACACCAGACGCTGTTATCGAGAGAGCACGGCAAGAATGTAAAGGCGCCGCGAACCACGTGAGCTCAATAGGTGATTGGGATTGTTCGAACCGTATAACGGTATGCTGAGGTACAAGTAGCTGTTGCCTACGGCGCGGCTTTCGGTCTACGGTACACGACCCCGTTCTTGACGTCTTACATTCTAGGGGCTGGGTCAGTACAGCCCGTTTATGGTTGTTGTTCTAATGCTCACATTTTCCCAGCATAATGCATATCGTAACTCGTAAGCTTGCAGGTTACGTATGTTGACTGGTACCAGAACTAAGACCCGCGACTGGCAGTGAGCACGAACGCGTCGGACGTCCAGGCCTCTTTGGGCTTGCGGCAGTGTCTTGAATCGTTGAAGGAGATGGGCGTGAGTGTCCTGTGCGCGAGTCTGAAGCTGCACTGACGCTTAGACACTTAGGATGCGTGGCCCAGCGCCGCAAGGGCGTGGGAGCTGCTAAATGGCGTGAAAGTGCAGTTCGAGGGAAGCTTGACTCCTCTAGTGAATGCCCCTGTAAGGCAGAAGCGTCGAGCAGAAGATGAACCGACCAATCAAGAGTACGTCAGTGTCGTCAAGCAGGAACCTTTGGAGTACAACAGCCCCAACAACAATTATCAAGGCTTCGATTCTCGAACGATGGCGCAGATGCTTGGCCTCGAAGTTTCAGAGCCTCACTTGCAGGACCCCGGGTTCCAAGGCAACACTTCATGGCCGTTCACTATTCACTCGCCTTCGTCACAACCTTGGGCTGCCCTATCTCACTTGGATTTCGCTGATTGGAATCTCAACCGGCCTACGGACGGGGTCATGGCCCAGCAGTCCGAAGGCAACGACTGGTTGCCAGATGTCGGTAGTGAGCAGTTCCCGTACGATCCATACAGGCAGTACCCTCCCTCGTGATGTGTAGCGAAGACTGAAGTTTCTCGTGATGTACAATATTCGAGTATGTATCAATATCTGTAGACATAGCCTAGTAGGAATGCTTTAGTCAAATCATTATGGGTATTGGGATGCTGCCAGGAATTGCTTTAGTTATAAGCCACTAAACAACCTTGAGATCGACTTGTGATTTATATGAGCCGGCCCTCTGCTAGATCTGGATCACCAGTGTGAAGCACTCAACGCCTCGTTTTATGAGTGTAAAGGCTACATCGAGAGGACGTAAAAATACACGCTCATACTTCAGACTTCCCAATACCATGCCCCGTCCCCAAATACTTAAGACCAAGCATCCACCAGAGAATCTCGCATCTCACCAATAACTGCAGTTGACTCTTGGCCCTGTAACTCTGTTTCGACCAGATCAGGCGGGGACACAATTGCATAACCTAAAAAAACTCACTGAAGGCAGCTTCTATCACACTGATCTCGGTCGCCGTCGTGTCCAGCCCTGTAAATGCACACCAGTCGTTCACCACGAGACCCGCCCCGATCACGTCAGAACCGCGATTCACAGTTCCTGCCTGTAAATCACTAGTTCGTCTCTGATACATCATGTAGGGGAATCCGGGACGCACCACCAGGGGAACTTGCAGGAGACTGCTCAGCTCGTCTTGTTCACTAATGCTCGTCTTCGGATGGACGAGCCCGCCCTGGTTGCTTATCGCACAGTAGCTGCCCACCAGGACGTTGTCTGCCACGGTCTGCCTGAACACTTCTACTTTCAGGACGTCGGCGATGATCTCCTCGGTTTCACGATCGACATCTGGATGGACGAGGGCGACGTAGTCGTTGCAGGCGATGACGTTCCCGAGGGCTGAAAGCCGTTCTTCCACCCGCTGAAGGGCTATCGTGTCAGGCAGTGAATTGCGGAGGTGTTGCAGTTCCTGATCAGTGGTAGTCGAGGGAACTAACAAGCCGTGGCGGTTACCTAGCGTAAAGGCAGGATCAAAAACCAATCAAATGAGGACATCGAGAATGAACGTACCCGCCGTTAATCTGCCTACAATGCGAGTCCCCCCAATACTTGTGTGTACGATGGGGATGACATCGCCGAGCTCGCTTTCGAACGCGGAGTAGAAGTTGGTGCTGCCCTGGATGCCCACTAGGCAGTACCCGTTTGTGAGTTTGGAGAAGACTCCAATGTCGTTACTGTTCTCGAATCGTATGCCTAGCGCGTAAGTGAGAAAGCCGTGGCTTCAACAGAGGATAGAGCTCGCACGAGTAGCCATGGTAGTAGTGGACTAGTTTTCGGTTGTGTGTGAGCTGTTTAAGAAACTAGTAGAGGTTCTAGCAATCGAGAGGAAAGGAGGGAGGATCGACTGGTATCAGCAGGCAAGGACGGGGTTCTGCCATAGCGGCAGTCGATCGCGACTTATAAATTTGGCGATCACGCGTCAAGCTCGGACATCTGCCCTTCGACAGTCATCTTGCGCGCTCAGCGGTACCGTGGCAGTCATTCTTGCTCATGTTCCAGGCATCGAGGCAGGGTTTCGTTTCGAGCATTTCGAGTCAACGATGCTGCCAGCAGGCGTTTCGCTTCCGCAAAGGACCTACTTCCCTGGGCACGAGGAGAGGGCAGACGGTCCCAGAGCGGACCTATGCTTCAGCGCCTTTCCACGATGCTCACGGCACAACAAAGATAGAGAAGATACTGCTTGACAATATCAAGGTTTGAATTCATCCTCGGGGCCGCTGGTCGAGACTCACGGACTCACGAGAACAGGCAGCGGGTCCCATCACTTTCGCGTCGTACATGCAGATGTGCTTGAGCCATCCCACTCACGGCTACTACGCCAATCCGTACAATCCCATATTTGGCGCTCGGGGTGACTTTATCACGAGTCCTGAAATCAGTCAAGTATTTGGAGAGGTCTGTGTTCATGTTCGGGACGTGGGATGAAGCTTGACAGGACAAACTTCAGATAGCTTGTAGGTGTATGGCTACTCTCGCAGTGGATGCAGGTGGGGCAGGCCAGGAAGCTGCGATTGATTGAGCTAGGGCCTGGCAGGGGAACCTTGGTGGATGATATACTGCGGGTACGCATGCCTCTGACCGCTCACTTATCGGACAGGACTGACCAGGTCCCTAGACGCTATCTAGATTTCCTGCGTGTGCCAAAGCCATCCAGGACGTGCATCTCGTAGAGACGAGCGAGGCACTACGTTCTGTGCAAGAGGCCAAGCTGCGTCCAATTTTGAGCCGGTTGGACGTGGCCGCCCATTGGCATGATGGTCTGGATAGAATAGATGTCTCCGCGCAGAATGAGGTATACTCCATGGTGGTCGCACATGAATTCTTTGACGCTTTGCCATTCCACCTCTTACAGGTGATTATCCTTTGATTGCATGCCTCCTCGCTTACGGATGATCTCGCCTTTCCAGCATACCAGTGATGGGTGGAAAGAGATCCTGATAGCTTCCGCGGACAACACAAATAACCAGGCACAGAGCACAGACAATCCGGCAGAATCGACCGCACAAGACTCGGCCGGGAAGCAAACGCGTTTCCAGACTGTCTTGGCGGCTACGCCTCTCTCTAAAGTGCTCGCGGCGTCTTCACCGCGGTTTGACAAGTTGCCTGTCGGTGCTACGTTGGAGGTCAGCCCAGTGGCCTGGAGCATTGCACGACAGATTGCACAGCTAGTGGGTGGTAAGAACGCCGGATGCGCCCTGATCATTGACTACGGAGCCGAGCATCTCTTCGGAAATTCCTTCAGAGTGTGTACATGACTTGGTATAAAGCAGACTTTCTCCGATCTAACCTCACTCTGGCCAGGCATTCAAAAACCATCGACACGTTGATCCGTTCTCTATTCCGGGAGAATGCGACTTGACAGTCAACGTAGATTTCGCCTATCTCAAAGAGGCGGCCAGTGATGCCGGTGCGTATAGTCGCCGACGTCTTCATGCTGGCAGCTATGTCTAACTTTACGCAGCCCAGGCACTAGGACCTATCCCGCAGGCCGATTTCTTGACGGGTATGGGTTTAGAGCAGCGCGTGGAGGTGTTGGCTCGGGCTGCGCAGAGCGAAGAGAGGGCGGACAGCATTCGTCAAGCAGCTCGGCGTCTTGTGGACAGGAGCAGTATGGGTGAACAGTACAAAATGCTTGGGCTTGTCGGAAAGGATAGAGAGATCAGGACGGATACTGTGTGGCCATTCGCAACATCATGAGATATTGATTGTTGCGAGTGTCTATGCCGCAAAATAATGATCTCGCCTCCATGCCATTGTTGTTCCCCCTCGTTTCCCTGGCTAATGAATCCGAGCGTTTCCGGCGGCAACGTCTTAGTGAGCCGGCGGTAGTGAGCCGGCGGTACGACGCTTGCCACTGACATCATGCTCATCAACACACCGTGGACGCCTTCTCCCCAGTACTTACTCCCCGCACCAGCCCACGCCCTCCTCCAAATCCAGTCTTTCTGCCCAGGCTTTTCCCTTCGTGGAGCTGGGGCGTCGCTAGGATTTGTAAAATCCAAGGCCAGCAAGAATGGGGGGCCACCGTGCACAACGTGAATCACTTGACCGAGTTACCATGGGACTCCGTGCTATCTTGCTATGTATCTAAATACGCCATGCTCCGTAAGTCATCAAAGAAGCTCGAAAGGTGATGTCAACTCCAACGTCAATGAGTAATCTGTGGGCAAGTTCCTTGGTCTTCCTCTCTTAAGGTTGTTTGACAGCACGATCGGTTCCTAACCCAGCAATCGTCGATACTTGCCACTGCCCTCATGTCTGCTGTCAAGCACCTCCTCTCGAAGCTGTCACTTGACAAGTCCAGTAATGCTCCGCGGGAGCATACGCACGCCGACCATCCATCGCTACATGAGCCGTCGCGGGAGGAGATCGAGAAAGAGGAACAGAGAGCTGAGCGGGCACGCATAGACGAAGAGCAGGCCAAGGAACGGGAAGCTAATAAGAGGGAGGCGTACGAGGCTGTAAGTGACATCAGGAACAGGATACTTGCAACCCTCAACCTTTGTTCAGGACCCGTTGAAGGGTAACTACGGGCCGGTGGACCTGGCTGCGAGTAGCAATGGTACGCGTTCATCACTTCTCACCGCTCCTAACGATATCAACCTCCTCTTAGAACGGGCAGATCTATCAACTTTCGCGGAGAGGAAAGAGGAGGAACCCGTCTGCTTCAGAGCACGAGTCCATCATGTCCGAGCAATAAGCCCGAAGATCATGTTCCTGATATTCCGACAGCAAATTCATACCATCCAGGGGGTTCTTGCAGTTCAGGAGGGTGCCATTTCGGAGAACATGGTCCGCTGGGCTGAGGGACTAAGCCGCGAAACCATAGTCCTGGCTCATGGGAAGCTACAGAAACCCCGGGAGGGTCAGGAGGAAGTGTCTACGACGACGGTGCACAACTTCGAGGTCAGAGTCGAGAAGGTAAGTGTGAATGCTCACTCTGCCGCGGTCGGACTGTTAACGTTGCCCTTAGTTATTCGTCATCGCAGAACCTAGTGTGCCTCTGCCCTTCCAGGTGGAAATTGCTAGTCGTCCGAAGACCACAGAAGACCAAGTGCGTTCCATCCCGCGCAAGCGGAAAGTGCAGTTCTGATGTTAGGGTTTCTTGTGCAGGAGGATTATCATCAAGTACGAGTCGGCGAGCGGACGCGACTAGACAATCGGGTCATTGACCTTCGTGTAAGTTCGTCTTCGGTGACCTTGTCTGACCTCGAGCGTTCTTAACCGGCGGTGTCTTCCAGACTCCCACTCGGCAAGCCATCTTCCGGATCCACGCGGGCCTGACACGCCTGTTCCGCGAATTCCTTGATTCCCGCCGATTCATAGAGATCCACACATCGAAATTCGAAGAGTCCGGGGTCGAAAGCGGCGCGAGCCTGTTCAGGGTAGATTACTTTGGTCGGCCAGCATTCCTGGCACAGAGCCCGCAGGTGGGGAAACAGATGTGCATCGCAGCGGATCTGGAAAGGGTGTATGAGGTCGGACCTGGTAAGTTGCCAGACGTGTGCAGTCTTCACGCACAGGACACCACTGAGAGTATTGGTATATTCTAGTATTCAGGGCAGAGAATTCGAATACGCACCGCCATTTGACGGAATTCACTGGCCTCGACGTTGAGATGGCGATTGAGCGGGACTACACCGAAGTCATGGATCTGCTTGATCAAATGATCCTACATATCCTCCGAGGTTTGCAAGAACGATATCGAGACGAGGTAAGATCCATTGAACCACATTAAACCCCCAGGATCGTTGCTAATGCCTGCTCTACAGATAGAGACAGTGAAATTACAGTTCCCGCACGAGGACTTTGTTTTCCTAGACAAGACGCCCAGACTTAAGTTCGCAGAAGGCATCCAGCTTTTGAAGGAGGCCGGGTGGAAAGAGGAAGACGGATCCGATCCGTCCGAGTACGAGGACCTGAGCACGAAGGCGGAGCAGAGATTGGGACAGTTGGTGAAAGAGAAGTATCACACAGATTATTACATTCTCGGTGAGCGATCAGCCTTGGGCGCACGGGCCACGATGTGCTGAAGTTGAGGCTGGCAGACAAGTTCCCGCTTTCTGCCAGGCCTTTCTACACGATGCCAGATCCTAACAACGATGTGAGCGGACCCAACCTTACATGATGTCCATCTTATGACCTATTGGTCGACAACCATCCATAGAATTTCTCAAACTCTTTTGATTTCTTCTTGAGAGGCGAGGAAATTTTGTCCGGCGGACAGCGAATCCATCATGCGCTCATGCTTGAGCAGCGGATGAGAAGTGCCGGCCTCGATCCTGATTCCATGAAAGAGTACGTAGACGGGTTTAGGTGGGGCTGTCCTCCGGTGCGTCCTCAACCATTGCTGAATGATGGCGCACTGACCATCGATAACCAGCATGGAGGAGGCGGCATAGGACTCGAGCGAGTCATCATGCTCTTCCTCAAGCTTGGTAACATCAGATGGGCCAGCCTCTTCCCTCGCGACCCGAAGAGCTTTTCCAGGAGCGGGAATGACTCAGTGGAGACAACAGCAGCCCTAGCACAGCAAGCGCTGTTACAAGGCCCAGAGTCTTCTACCGTTGCCAAGAGACAAGGAAAGGATATGCCTCCGTTGGAGAATGTTAGTAAACGTCTTGTTATCTTTCTCTCGGGTCCGCTCTGAAGTCTGGCATTAAAGCTCATTGCGAAGTACGGCGACGGAACGAACACTTCTTGGACCGACCCTTCCTGGACTGTCTGGCGGGACGAGAAGACCGGAGCCGCAGTTGGCTACATGACTAAGAGCGGGTTTGCTATAGCGTTCGGCAATCCGTTATGCGAGACGAAGCAGATACCGCAAGTCGCCCAAGCATACCTTGGTTATCTTAGGCAGGAAAACTTGAAGCCGATATGGTGTTGCGTTGATGCAGAGACGGAGAGCTACCTGACAGATTCACTGGGCTGGAGTTCCGTAATTGCAGTAGCGAATCAGAAGCTCAACCCTGCACAGGCTGATCTGGAGGACGACAAGAATGTCAGGCGCAAAATGCACAGGATGGAGCGGGAGGGGCTTCAGGTCGCTGAGATTCAGGGCGAGGTGGACAAAGAGACGAGAGATGAGCTCGAAAAGAAGCTGGAAGAATGGAGGGCTTCGCGGAGTGGTAGACAGTTTCATCTAACGGGTGTCAGGCCTTTCGATGACATGAATCATCGCTTGTATTATATCGCGAGGGACAAGGAAGGCCGGGTGAGTTGTCACACATCGACCAAGCTGCATTGACTGATTCTGCACTTGGTAGATCTGCGCGCTTGTAGTGCTTGCTGAGATAGCTGCTGCGAGAGGCTTCCAGGTTAAGTGGGCGCTGGAATTTCCCGGAGCGCCGAGCGGCTCCATTGAGGTAATGTTTCTGTCCTCCGAAGGTCCATTGTCCGTGACTGATGTGTGCGAATATGTCAGTATACCTTGAGTTATGTCATCAAGAAGATGGGTGAGGCTGGAGTGCAGAGCGCGACCTTTGGTCCAGGGGCAAGTCAACACCTCCATAGTGCAGACAACGTGTCTGGTGTCACTATGAAGATCCTCGAGAAGAGCTATAACGGTATCGCGAGCCGCTTCAATCTCACTAACAAGAGTCTATTCCGTACCAAGTTCGGGGTGGAGGAAGAGCCAGTAGGTGTATGACAGAGTAGCGCGGTAGGCTGAGATTGACGCCTTGCATTCTTAGTTGTATGTCTGCTATCCCAAAGGCGGTATAGGTGCGTCGGTCATTCATAGAAGAATTATCAGTATAGAGCTCATTCCCCCACGATAGGTCTGAAGGGGGTGAAAGCGATTTTGGACGTTGTCATGGCGGACAAATAGAGATGCCCATAGACATCACGGACTACTGTACAGCGAAGTTGATCTCAATGTATGACTTACTAGTATATATACATTGGCATGTACTTCTGTTGTAGTATATTTAGTCCTTATAAACGAATCATTAGTATGAATGAGACCTATCGATATCGAGGGAGTCTCTTCGATGGTGGCAGCTTGAGTGAGCCCGACACTCGCCTGTTTGAGTGTCCGGCGGCGACTCCGATCAGCGTCTAATGTCGATCTCGGCCTATTGATACACCTACATTTCCACGATATAACTCCAAGCAATACATAAAGCTGAAGTACAACAGGTACGGGTCCGTTACACTACTACAGCTGTCCGCTACCTCTAAAAAATGTCCCCCTCAGTCTGCTTTCCGCTTGTTGTGATGGTGGCCTTACTATGTCTCGGACGGCGAGCATGGGGAATTTTATAGCCGCTGCCGGCGCGGCTCTCACTTCTCCCGCGCGTGGATGAGTTTGCCTCTAAACTTCGCGCGCTCGCTGAGGGTTTTCTGCTGCTCTGGAAGAATTTTTGCTTACTGCTGGTTCTCTGTTCGATATCGACTTAGTCTTTCGCGAGTATGGCACAGTTCACCGAATTGCCCTCCGAGACACTCTTCATGATCATGGAATATCTATCCGTGGAAGACGTTGAGAACTTGAGATCCGTCAGTATCCCTGGAGAGCAACTATCCTAGCCTTTTCGCTCACATGGGATACAGACATGCAAGATTCTGTTTGTCATAACGGAGGATGCATCCTTATGGAGGCGGGCACTTTGTAGTCTCCTATCACTGCCGCTTAGCTGGGTTATGGCTACTGTGCGCAGCGCTACTGTACAGCAGCTCCGTAGAAGAGCCAAGAAAGCGGTGTTGATGACGGAACGATGGCATTACGATCGCCCAATGCCTCGCCACGTACGGTCGTATACTTGGGACAAACTTCAAGACGTTCAACTCATCCCAGGAGGAGAATGGATGGTCTGTCTGTTTTCAGAAGGGACTCTGCAAGTCCGTAGAGTTGAAACCATGGAACTTGCCTGTTCGGCCCCATCGTTAACGGACGCTTCCATGTTTAATATGAGTTGTACGTCTGTCACACCAGAGGGCAACTTCTACGCATTATTTCACTGCACAGATAGGTTTGTGGTCGTACCTCCGAAATCCCTTGACCGATCTCAAGCGTTAAATTGTCAGAATACATATTTATGAGCTGCACCTTACTCCAGTAAAGCAAAACATCCGGTTAGCTAGCGTGATTTCGCGCTCGGAACTTCAAGGTGTTCATGTTATTAGGCATGCCTCCCTCGCGGGCAACGTGCTAGCATTCGACTGCTACTACGAGGGACGCGATCTGGTTTATATGCGCAAGGTGCATACAGATGAAGATGACAGTGTCATGCACGCTGCTATAGTTCACGTACGTGCTTCTCATTGCCGTGGTGTCATGCCTTGACACGCTCCCACAGGAGCAAACCCATTGCACGATACACGTGCTCTCGGTGAACGTTGTATTGCTCTGCAACAGCCACGGCATTTCGGTTTATAAGTCATCGGGTCTAGTCGGCAGAACGCAATCGTCCGTGTTGGACATCGTGTCCAGCGAGACCGTCTGGTCGACAACCTTCGACTCCTGGTCATCAGGACAACTCAGCGGTAGTCCTGCGATATGGGATAAACTGTACGGTGGTCACCAGGGCCCTTTGATGATCTTGGGACCGGGTGTCATGCATATAGTTCAGCCTTCGCGAGACCTCAGGCATTACAGCCTGCGGTCCTTCCGGGTGCCTCAGGTTGTAGCGCAGGCTCCCGCTGTCGGCACCCGATTCGCTCTTTGTGTGCAGACCGAGGAAGGTCGCGGGTTGGTGTTCAAGACCTGCACTTTCCCTCGGGTCCTGCAGGAATACGATGAGATTCTTGAAGCCGAGGCTTTACAGGTCTCTCCGGAGGAGGTCAGACTCGGCAGTTTCGTGATTGATGAAGTCAAGGACATGTCTCCTGTCTTGACTCGCTTAGATGAATGGACCGGGTGCGCTTGTGTATTGCTCGAAGACGATAGGGGTCAGAAGCGCCTTGTGATAGTTGACGTTGTCTGATCGCTTGGTTTTTCGAGCAAATTATGCCTGTATTCATGTTTGTGCCGGAGGCAATATGCGAGCACCGTAACGACTGCAGACAAAATGTTTTCGTTCCATCGGGGGTCGAGACCTGAGGCCTGAGGTGTGGGTCGCCTCGGCTTACTAAATGGAATCAGCTGTGTATTAAGGCAAGTCCATTTCATCTGATCCAATGCTGCGGAAGCTAATGTTATGAGTAGATAGTAGGGGCGACGATGTGCCGGCTCTCACCCGAATCTAAGCATCATGATAGACTCAGTGAGATGTCCAAGGACAGTAATTTCGGTATTTTCTCAGACGACCGCTGGTCTACGAAGATACTTATGGAATATGTCCTGGACTTTCCGGGACATCTTTGGGTTTGCTTTGGGTGGTGAGATGGATTATGTAACAAGCGCGTCGCCACTTTCACCCGCCTGCAGCCACCAGGACTACTACGCTCCAAATTCATAAATGTAAGTGTACTCAAGATCCGTTTCTTCCTCATACCCACGTCTTCGCAATTGTCCTGTCTGTAAGACTACTGTCATGTCCGACGATGTTCATGAATTTGGTCATACCTCCTGGGACCAGGTCGCTGATAATGTAGCGAGCTCGGAAAGAGGCAAGCGTCGCGCGAACAGAGGTCGGCATGGGCGTTTTATGTTTAACGGGAAGCAAGTACTCATTTCCTTCTAGCGTGTGATCATTGTCGTCGAATGAAGAGCAGATGTGTGCGACCTGCAGATCGAGATTCGTGCCAGTCTTGCGCAGAGGCTCACGCCGGTGGGCAGACCGTAATAATTTCCCTGCTCGTCGCTTACCTCGGGCATAGATTGCACGTTCTCAGGTTGGTCGGTCATATTTTTGCTTAGCCATTGACGTGCCTTACACTGCCCGGAGGACCCCGTTTTCGTTCGGGTCCTCCTAAAGGATATATTCAAGCCCTCGAGCAACGGTGGTATCAGGCGGAGGTTATCCTGGCCATTCTCTCATCTTCTCCCCATCCTCTGGCACAGGGTGCTGTCACCTTATTGCAACGCGATGAGCTCGCTCGCGATGTGTTGCGAAGAGTAAATGCTGGTCCCTTCGTGAGTGCTCCCGTTTTGGGCCACTCATTCCCCGTGATATGCATCGTATACAGGGTGCCGCCGGACGAGCGGATCTTCCAGCAGACACGTCGATGAATGACGTATTATCTTATGTGACGCGGTCACAGGAGGCTCAGAGAAATACAAGACATTCAAGAGCCTCGAGGGAGGATATGTCGAGCCAAGGTCGGCACACCCATGTGGCAGCTTGGCTTAACTCATGAAATGTAGGATCAGCAATGTCGTTTCGTGAGCTTATCGAATGGCAGGACGGCCTTGCCTCTGTTTTTGCTTCATCGCCCGCCAGCCTCTCGCCGTACACGGTATATGTACCGGATCAGTCTCACTGTGCTGCGGTGCCGCTGCGTTCTTGTGATGACTCTCGCAATTCCAACCTGACATCACTTTATTCGCTGGATCCGGAGGAGCAGCCAGGTTCGTCGACATGATTCTGACTCAGGCACGCGTACTGAACATGACCAGATTCTGATTCGGACGATGAAAGATCCGTGCTCGGAAATCTGCCTGCGGTGGAGAATCAAAGGCGAGTCAGACGCATTTCGCCGTATCACTCACTAGTTAATTATGGGGGTTCAGGGCTTGGCAACTAGAGGGAGCAAATTCTGGACGGCCTTGACCTATCACATTTGCGTCATAGAGCACGAATATTGTCGCGCTTTCGCAGGACTTCGGAAATTTACCAGAGTTTGCTGGTTCAGATTTATGCGGTTCGCTTTCTTCTGCGGAGTCCTTCCTCGCAGATGATGATGATAGTTGCCGGTGTACCATCCTTCCAAATCATCAAATTACCCAGTTGTTTCTGTTCCAAATTATAAGGAGCCGCTATGTATGAATATCGTTTGATTTGCTGGCGCGGCCGAAGCCTGCCGAGGGCCGACACCGTAGACGCACTCTTGAGTGTGTCAAGTAGGCGCAGGGTTCGTGATATGTGTCTTTCTATACCACAGCTCAAGTTTCAACTTGAAGCCGACGCCTGGATGGGACTTCCGTCATGACTGTCGTCACCTTCGGTAGTGGAGTCTCTTATCTACAGGGAGCTCGTGGCACGTCAGCGGGACTTTTGCCATGAATGTAATATTAAACCAGATGTACGCAGTCTTCGTCTGGAGCGTGTGCGGTCGCGGTGTAGCTATGTAGGAGACCATTGATCTCACCCTCCGAGGGTACAACCGCCATCTACCCCTAGCCAGACAAAGAGTCTACGGTATGGATGTACCTATGAAAAACTCTATTTTTGTATGCACACAAGATATCTGCGCCAGAGGGAGATGTGAGTCGAACTAAGTACATAGATTTAGAATATGCGTCAAAGACTCAAAGCCTGTGAGCTCCGGCAGGACCCTGGAGCGGGGTACGGCACAGCCACAACGTGCCCTACCTTGTTTACCGCCGGCTCCGCAGCCTTGCCCGCTGAATACCTCGGGCCCCGGCGGATATGGTAGACTTCAGACCAAGCAGCTCTCGCTCATCAGCAATTCAGGCGAATGTCAGGACAGAGTTCGACATATTGAAGGCGTCTCACAAGTAAGTTGACGTCGCTGCTCAAGACGGGCTGTTGGTGCGATTGAAATCTACTGCAGGTTCCTCCGTGAGGAAGTGGACGAGACCTCACTATCTTGGGAAGAAAAGGTAGCGAAGAAGTACTACGATAATTTGTACCGTGAATTCGCGGTGTGCGATCTGAAGCACTACAAATCTGGGAATGTGAGTATCGTCTACGATTAACGTAGAGTCTAGAGCTCAGACCTGCTTTTTCATGGCAGTTCGCTCTACGTTGGCGGACGGAAACAGAGGTTCTCTCTGGAGCTGGAGAAACGACCTGCGGGAATATAAGATGCCCGTATCATGACGCAGCTGGTAGTGACGTGCGGTTGAAGACGTTGGAAGTGCCTTTCGGATATGAAGAACATGGAGCATACAAGTCATGCCTTGTCAAATTGGTCCTGTGCGCACGTTGCACGAAGAAACTCATGTGGAAGAAAGAGAAAGAGAAGGAGAAAAGATTGGCAGGCGATGCGGAGCACTTGCACTTGGATGACGTTCCGGGGGTCGCGGGGACTGAGATATCACGGCGTGTACCACCGTCGGGGGGCGAGACTGCATCTCCTATCGCGGGAGAGCAAAGACTGTCTGGAAGAGATTCAGTCGAAGAGCGACGAGTCCGGAGCAGGCGCTCGAGATCGCGCTCACCAAAGACTCGACGCCCGCCAGGCAAGTCTGAACGTCGAAGGTCGCGATCTAGGTAGGACAATGCTAACGGCATGCAGAAGTACTATTTCCGTACGTGTGCTATCTGGCATTATCAATGACGTATACATTTACGATTTTCTACAGTATGGTCAAGACTCCGTCGCAGCCTTCCATTTCTTAACCCAATCTATTAGTTCCCGAGCCATATTGTCACAGTCTTCCATTCGGTCTCTTGTACTCTTGCTGCCCAAGGCCCGCCTTCTTGCCTTGGCATCTTTACCTTTCAACCAGGCTTCCTCTAGTGTGGTGGCCCAATCTCCCTCTTCATAGGATGCGCCAGACAATTCTACGCCGATGCCACTTTCTGCGAGGAACAAGCGCAATCCATGTTCTTCTATGAATAATGGCCGAGAAACTAGCAAGATCGGCAATGTTGAACGTCTGATCGGCTGAGAGGTCGAAGGACGTACCGTAGACAAAGGGAGTGCAAGACTCCACAGCCTCAGAGACAGCCCCGTAACCCTGATGAACGCGTGGGGAATCAGCATTCCATCTTCGCAGGTGTCTGAAGCACCTACCAGCTTCCCGAGCAGGACGTCCGCAACCGCCATCAAATCCGGCATATAGACGTCTCTAGGAGCGACGTAGAAGCCAGGCGGAAGCTCTTCCCCATCCTCCTTCGCCCATTGCGACGAGACGCCACACACTATCGCTACCCATGATTCGTCGGGCAGTAGCTTCGGCAGCTGGTCAGGATCTACGAGGTGCTCCTCATGGAACCCGTTCCCAGTGCTGTCGCCATTGCCATTCATGTATGGGTCCTTACTTTGTTCCCTGCTCAGCGCCGGGGGAGTGGGTGGGATCGTAACTGCTTGGAATATGGGCGGGGACTTCATAGCCGGCGGGGAATTGAGTGGCTTATTCACTGGCGGGGCGCCCGGAATGTGGATATGCGACGGTGTTGCAAGCGGGGGCGTGTCTTCATCCTTTCTGTTGTTCCGCTTCCTCGCCTTGGCTCCTTCCCTGCCCTCCTTGAGCTGTAGATTCTGCAGTTGCAGGTTTACCGCATGGAGAGGGACCGGCGGTGGATGCGCCTTGGGGAGCTGCGTGATATTGAACTCGGACGTGCGCCGGCTGTGTGCGGGTGTGCTGGCTTGGCTGGGTGTGCGACTGCGCGGCTTCTTGAAGTGCTGGCCGCCGAAAGAGACGATTACGATCTTTGTCTGTTCTGGATCGTGGAGATGTGAGGGAATCCCGATTGACGTGAGGAGCTCGCGTCGGCCGGCTTCGTTGTATATCGCACGTCCTGCCGCTCGTACGAGAAGGGGAGCTTGGCGGATGGATCGATGGAGGGGCTTTGGACTGGCGGCTGGTCTATCTTCTCGGGTTTGATTGCGAGGAGTGAACGGTATGGAAGGGAGGAGAGGGCTCTTGTCTATGGACGACAGATTCTGAACTATCTCCGGGTAGAAGGCACGGGTATGAGGATCAACCCATTTGGTCGAGGGTAAACTAGGCTCCACGAAGAAGGATGGGATAGGTATCTTTCCTGGCAGCAGAAATAGGAGATCGGCACATCTGTATCCTTCTCGTATCTGGGACACGAGGGGAGCGAGGACTTCCTCGGGGAGTGGGTCATCCTGTACGCCTTGGTCAGACTCGCAGATTGTGCTAGGTGCGTGCAGAGTGGGGGCATTGGCAAAGTGAGTGTTTGGGAGCTCGCGGATGGACGTGGACAGGAAGCTGTAGACAGAGTCGAACGTGAAATTCGTGATGAGCACGGAGGGGATACAAGCCGCGTTGGCTGCAAGGCTGTATGCGGTCAAAATACAGGGCGTTCGTGTGAGGCGCTAAATCTCACCAGCCGAGGAAGGCAGCGTCACTTAGGACGCAGTCTATGCGGTTCGCCTGAAGCCATTGTACTTCCTGTTCGACCTTTCTGTCCTTCTCGTCCATGAATGCTTTGAGCACATCGATACTCTTCTGCCGATCCACTCTGTACCTATAGATGCGACAGTGAATGAGATGGAATAGCTACTGAAGTGGGGTCCCACCCACGCCAAGGGTTGGACGATTACAGGATCTATGTCTGCGTTGCGGTACGAAGCCCCGAGAGCAATACTGTCAGCAAAGACATGCATGGGTGCGGATGATATTATATGGATAGTAGGGCGTTCCCGGTCTGTCAGAGTGAGGAGATGCGATGCAAAGGCTGAGACTCTGGTTGCATGACCGTATCCTATGTTTTCCGTTAGCAAGGCACACTGCAGCGTATCGTTTGCGTACCGTGGCCGGAGCAATAATACGCCAATGAGAGCATGTTAGAGTTTGTCTAGGTGAGGGATTCCAACGAGATAGTTCATTTATGAGACGAGCAGGGACTCGGATACGATACGAGGCCGACCACTTTCAGCCACAACGTCGATACCCGCCGGATCAGGTTACACATCCGCGCACGGCTGTGATCCGATCTAAGATCGACCGACTCGACGTCAGAGTCGCTACGAAACCTGATTGGCTGAGGAACGCCGCGTTGTTCAAGAATGCCTCGGTTGCAACCACGTCTCAGCGACACCGCACCCAGACAGCCTCCGGTACCTTTTGACAAAATGGCTTCCCTCTGCGTGCCTCCTGTTTCGTGCATCACACAGCTTGAAACGCTGGGATTTACACAGCTATCAACAGAAACAAATTCTCAATTCTTATATATCGTATGAAACCCTCGGTCCCAGCTTACACTACTTGTTGCCGTAATGGGAGCCTTAGCAAGGGGAACTCTCAGTTGCTCGTGCAACTCCGTGGGCGGATGGATGTCGTGCCTCCGGCGCCGCACTGCCTGTCCGGCAGTCTTTTCTCATAATCTCTTCACAAGCGCATTTTTGGCATGCTGTAGTGATATAAGAGTGTTATCTCCCGTCACTTCTTTCCCGACGCGCATTCACCACGAGCTACCTAAGACATTGGCCCTGGAATCTACTAGTAGTAAGTTTATCGCCTGTACTACCGATACTGTCTGTTTCGATACTCAGGCTATCACAGGCCTCGGCTGGTGCTCGCTGTGATCATAACTCCAATCAACCTATTGCATTCTTCTCCCTGGAAGTTCGGACCTCGTACTGCCAGTGGTACCTGTCCATCACACCGTAACACGTGCGTGTATTTTTAACTCATTTGGTGATCCCTGATTGGTCCTCGCTGCGACTATGCAGCGTCGATTGCCACTTGCTTTCCAGAAATAGCGTTTGGGCACAGGCGGCTGTGCACCGATAGTTCATTCAGTCCGCTCGACCCGTCCGCAGCGGGCATTCTTTTGGGCGTTAGGCTGTTGGTTGAGACGCAGCTAAAGTTCATCGCAGCTTATAAAGAGACTATCTGCACTGTGACTATGTTATCTCCCCTCTTCTCGATATCTCACACTTGCCAGTGCCACATCCAACGTACCCCAGGAGATGTCGTCGGAATCACTTAACTATGCCAAGTTGGGAGGCATACATTCAGTGGCTGCTGCCGTCGTCTTTGCCGTGGCGTATCTACCATTGCTCGGGTACAACATCGTCCGCGCTTTCCAGCGGCCGACATACGTCCTAATTGCGTTAGCACTTTTTTGCGCAAGTGAGGCATGCTCCTTTGTTAATAATATTTTATCTAATATGTCGTGCTTCTTCAGTCCGTGTATCCGCATTTGCTATCCGCGCCGCGCTTGCGGCGTCATCTACTGCAGGCGAAAATGAAGATCTGTTCATCGCGGAGCAAATCCTTTACAACGCGGGTTTCTTTGGCCTTCTTTATTCAGCGTACACGCTGGTACTCGACCGGTAGGCTGCCATCCTAACTCTCTTGTTTCCATCTCACTCGCGCTCTATGACAGTGACCAAATGGCGGGACAGCGGGATATGCCTGGACTATTCGGCTTGGCCACTCGCATCACAAGGAACCGCCACCTCATCCGTATTGCGCTCCTCGTTGCCGTAGTAATAGGTATAAATGGAGCTATAGACGAGATTTCGGGTGGGACCAGCAGCAAAGTGTCGACCGGCGAAACGCTGAGAAGAGCGTCTACCTACGTCTTCCTGGCAGTGACCATTCTCATGGCGTTCCGGACGTTTGTCCTTGCATTGGAGCACGGTAACAGTCCACCAGGTTAGCTGGAACATCCTTGTAACTATACCACCTGCTGATTTCCCGCTCGGTTTTTAGGGTACAACACCGAAATCGAGCTGGGCAACTACACGAGCCCTATAAGCAATCCAGCCTTCGGCGCTCGGCACGGCATCTTCGTCCTTGCTGCTATATCCATCTTGCTCCTGGTTCGGGATATTTTCTATACGGTCACGCTGGGTTCTACGAACGCTTCCATGGAAGCGAAAGCGACCAACGAAACATTCTTCTATCCTTTGGTGGCGCTTCCCGAGCTACTGGCTGTGGTTTTGTTTGCCGTGCCAGGATTGGTGCCATCTAGGCGGGAGTTGCAGATGTACTCAGCGGTCAGTCCCATATATTTCCACATTGACTGCGCAAGGCGTACTTACGGAACTTCTTCTAGAAGGCGTGAAAATTGGTGTCCGCGCGGAGGTGTTCATGTATTACTAAATCATAATTGGTTATGGATCTGTATATTTATTCGAAACTCCTGCTTGTCCCGAGCTCCGAACTTATGGAACAGCATAGGATACCTCAAACGAGCCTGTGCTCCGTAATCATTAGGCATTAATACTACTTATTATGGACTCGCTTTGGAGGCGAAAGATTGTTTGGTAGCAGAAGTCAGTCTGTGCTCTGTTGTGGCTCAGTGCTACCTTGTGTAAGAATTGGGAGTGTCCCCACAGTTGGTGGCAGCCAATCACGGCGAAGGATTATGAGAGAAGCACGTGTGAACCCCATTTGGCATGCTCGGCATTACGTCCGACTCGAGATACCGAAGGCAAGCACACCACGCTCGACTGCTCTTCCCCTCAGCGCTCAGCTGCTCCTGCTATTATGTCGCGCTCGCCGTCAAGACCGTTAGATATTGGTTCTCCTCGTCGAGAATCACGGCTATCAGTTCCTGAGCCTAGCGACTCGCCCTCTCCACATCCGGCAAACGTCTCAGGTACACCTGACTTGCGTACCCTCCGTGCGCAATACACTGGAACGCCACCTTTGCCTAACATCCCTCCCAGGTCAGTCGCTGGCACTCCGAGAAGTGGAGGAAGTGGCCTAGGGCAGAGTGTGCCGCGTAACGGAAGCTCGCCGTCGCTGCAGCACAAGACGTCTGCCTCGCCGCTGGCGCAGAGGTTATCTGGGCTGCGTGATTTTCAGAGCGATGCCTCCGGCTCTCAATCGCGGGACTTGGCTTCACAGGGTGGTCTCAGCGCCACGAGACCTGATGGATCATCGAGCAACGATAGTAGTGAAGGTCTCACGCTTGATGCTCTCCCGGACGAAGAGAAGGCGAAGGTATTGAGGAGACATCTCGTTTCTAAGGATGAGAGAGAACGCCAAAGCGCCGCCGAGGATGCGGGCTCGACAGCTGGGTCGTACAATGGAGCGTCTAAGAGACATGATGACTCGGCCGGCACGTCCAGACGTTCCTCCACGGTCTTCCGTTTGACCAGAGAAGACACGGAACCGTTTCCAATACCATATCAAGCACCGGGTGCCGACATAACGTTCGTCAGACACTGAGTTGTAGTACGTTGTACTAACCACTTTCCCAGTCATGATGTGTACAAATGGCACACGCAGACCAGTAGACGTCCTCGAGCTGCGTCCTTCGCTGGGTCCACCGCCCCGCAAGATCCTGCATTTGAGCACATCCACGAACCCGGCGGATTCAGGCGGAATTACGTGCTGCTGAAGGCTAATCAACAGGGGGCGCAGCCGAGGATCCTGCGAAGCTTTATAGACTTCCTCTATGTATATGGGCACTTTGTGCGTAATTTATCGTGTTGTTTGTTCACGTGCAGACTGTTTATACCCTTGCTATTGGTTGTGGCAGGCTGGTGAAGAGCTTGACGAAGATGAAGACCTCGAAGACATAGCGGAAGAAGATGAGGGAGCCGTTGTCCTACCCGGTTCTTCCGCTCCTTTCTTCGAAGGTCCTGCCGAGGCGGGTACGCTGGCCGTCGATATCGAGAGTCGTGCCGGTGCTATTGGGAAGGACGCGCATGAGCGGACGCCTCTTCTACCTGGCCACGCTCAGGGGAGGTCGAAATCAAGATCTCGATTGAGAAGGGCCTCTAGTGTTGGACCACGCGGAGATGCGACTGTCACGGATGCGGTGCTTATGGTGTGCTTTTATCTGCCTCGTCAATTGCTTTCTCCTCATTCTCCCAATCAGTTGATGAAGTCCTTCGTTGGCACTGGGATATTGTTCTTGGGCAAAGCGTAAGCCTGTGAATTATATTCAGGTCTGGCTTGACAACTGATTTTGCTCTCGGACATCCTTTCGATCTGGTTTAATGTTGGACGCTACTGAACCAGTTTCATGAATGGAGGACTGTTGTTCTCAGTTCTGACGTTGTCATTCATTGCTCTCATATCTCTGTACTCATTTCTGTTGCTCGTGAAGACGAAATTCATCGTTCCGGGAAGCTTCGGTGGTAAGTCGGATTCTTCTGCAGATCATTGGCTTGACTAAATAACGCGCGTCATGTGACAGATATCGGTGGCGAACTGTATGGTCCCTGGTTCAGATATGCTATCCTGACTTCCATCACAGTCTCTCAGCTTGGATTTGTGTCAGCATATACAATTTTCGTGTCCGAAAATCTGCAGGTGCGTCTTACACTTGCGGTGCCCGCTCGTAAGGAGAAATCAATCCATCTCACCCCTTTAGGCTTTCGTGTTGGGTATAACGAAATGCGCGAAGCTCATTTCAATCCCATACTTTATCCTTATGCAGCTGGTTATCTTCCTTCCGATGGTGCTTATCCGCAACCTCGCCAAGCTCAGCACTGCCGCGCTTGTGGCAGATGCGTTCATTGTTGCCGGCTTACTGTACATCTTCGGGAGTGAAGTCAGCATCATTGCGGATAGGGGCGTTGCAGACGTTGCATTGTTCAACTCGAAGGATTTCCCCCTGTTGATTGGGTGAGTGCTTCAGGATCGCTGTTTACTGATCGATCTAAACTGTTTTAAATAGGACTGCGGTGTTTTCTTTCGAAGGGATCGGCTTAGTATGTTTCCTGATCTGCACGACTGCAAGCCAGAAACTCAATATGTCGTTGTAGGTCATCCCCATCAGCGATGCCATGCGCGAACCTCGGAAATTCCCTGCTGTCTTGACTGGTGTTATGCTCTTCTTGATGGGTAAGAAATCGCGTGTATCAATCTCATGGCAGATGTAGTCTGATTAGTGTCCGCCCAGTCTTGTTCGGTGGAGGCGGTGCACTGGCATACATGACTTTTGGGTCCGATATCAAGACCGTAGTGATTACTAACTTGGACCAGAGTAGTAAGATGGTGCAAGTGGCGAGTATCGTGCAATGCGTGTGGATAAAACCTCAGATCCTTACGATTTCGGGCAGGTCCAATTTTTGTACTCCATCGCCATCCTACTTTCCGTGCCGTTGCAGCTGTTCCCTGCGGTCCGCATTATGGAGAATGGCATCTTTACCCGTAGCGGTAAAGGCGACACGAAGGTCAAATGGCTGAAGAACGTGTTCAGGTTCCTGATCGTGATCTGCTGTTCCCTCTTGGCTTGGGCGGGGGCTGCGGATCTGGACAAGTTTGTGTCGTTTATCGGAAGTTTCGCTTGGTGGGTGATACCTTTGCTTATCCCCGGCAGTTTCTGACAATCTATTGCAAGTGTACCGCTTTGCTACGTGTACCCGGCTATGCTGCACTACAAGGTGGCTCGCACCAGGCGGCAGAGGATCGCTGACATTGCGCTTATGATTTTCGGTATGGCTGCCGCTATCTATACTACGGTGCAGACAGTACAGGTGAGTAGCGCACTATCGACACTTTGGCCAAAGATAGCTGATTTTCGATATTCCAGTTGATGGTAGCGTCCGGACCTGGAGAAGGGGCGCCGAACATCGGCGAATGCGACCTTCCTGTATCAGGGCGTTAAGCTCGAGGATCAGCTCCTCATAAGAGTTAGTGAGCCACCTAGGTGGCTTAGTATGTCCAAGGACAGGTTTCGCCTACCGCTCGACCTATGCGAGAACGTTGAAATCTTCTTGAAAGGCTCCATTGGCATATCTCTTGGTTACATGTGCATCATATTCATCAGTCTCGTAATGTAGATACTCTAGCCCATCGCAATCACTAATGCTGTCAACTTGCGAACCATGTAACCATGCTACAAGTGCAGAGGTTTAATAATGCCAGGTGTTTGATCAGGCAGCCACTTATACGTGCCCAATCTCAGGCGTCTTCGGGATTTGCCAGGATCACTCACCAACTTCCCCAATCAACCGCCACTCCATCCTGGGCTGCTAGGCCGCTGTCTTACCGATTCTTACATTCTCAGTCGCCGTCCCGACAACAGGCATTCGACTCAGGACTACGGTATGTCTACAGAGGCCTCATCATCATCTGCTTCGGCAGCAAACACGAGAAGCGAAGTAGCACGTCCCGCCGCCGATGAAGACATCGAGAAGTTACTTAGCAGGGAAGCCTCGGCATTCCAGAGGGAGATTGAGGTCGAAAGGATTTTGAAGGCTTTCAAGTTGAAGTACGTCTGCTACGTATCCCTCTGCGGTTGCCGCTTGTCCAGCTCAATATATGAGGGCGATGGCTCATCATGTGAACCGTACAGTCCCTACGATATTCTCGACGTGAACGAGACCGCCACGACAGAAGAGATCAAACGTCGATACAGGCAACTGTCGCTTTGTGAGCATATCACCCGCACCCCCAGCAGCGCGACCACCATCGTGGTTGCGCTTTCCATCCTCCACATGGTCTATTTATTGATTAAACAAATGTACGTTATGTGATATACAGTTATCCATCCTGACAAGACCCCCCACGTCCGTGCTCCAGATGCCTTTGACATATTGAAGAAGGTGAGTTGCACAGTCTCACAACAAGGCATCCTACTTCCCCAAGTGCGTCGCCTGGATGAGTGTTTCTGATTCTGTCCATGATAGGCCGAAAGCGATCTAAGCGATGCCAAAGTTCGCGAAGAATTGGATGCTGTCATCAAACAGGCGCGCCTTCTCGTACTGAAGAGTCATGGTCTCCCGTCCGCGACGACGGATGACGATCCCAAACTCAAAGATCTCCAACCTCCATTCAAAGTTCAGCTCAGGGAGAAGAGTAAGGATCTCCTTATTGAGGAAGAAGTTCGGAGGCGCAAGTAAGTTCTAGGATAGTCCGGACAATTGTCTTCGCAATAATGCGTCTGCATTGATAGGGCGATAAAGATGAATTTGGCTAATGAGGGATTGGAAGCGAGAAAGAAGGAAGAGGAAGTTATATCCAAGAAGAGAAAGGTTGAAGAAGAGAAGGCATGGGAAGGTATGGACCTGACATTTTTTCATAGGTGGCTCATTGACTGATTTGCGGCAGATGGGCGAGAGCAACGCGTGGGTAGCTGGAGGAACTTCTCCAATGCCAAGAAGAAGAAGAAGACGAAGGGACCCGCTTTACTGGGTTAATGTGCACTATCCTGTCCTCGTCTCCGTCCCATTGCTGGCCTGAAGAGCTCAAGTTGTTATTTACGGGACTCCCGCTGTATTATTATACCATTTGCTTATTGTGATAGAAGGCCCAAGTACATTCTCGATAGGTAATATACGGCAAAGAAGATTTGGGTGAATATGGAACACTGTCCTTGCGGTGCCTTCGAGGGGCAGGGATGAGCTGCCCTTCTCAGTCAGATATGTCGATTACATCGTCTTGCGCCTGAGTCCTCAGCCGGACTCGCCTGGAAGGCATAGGAACATTCTCCTTCTCTTCTTCGTCGTCATCAATCTCTATAACATCTGTATCAACTATCCTGGCTGCATCTGAAGTACTTCCGGTCGATGAAAAGTCCAAGATAGACGGGGGGCCCAGACCCAAGGCTCGAGCTGCATTCCTTTCAACCTGCGATAAGTGCTCCAGTGCTGCTTCATCGAGTTCGAAACTGTCATCATCGAAACCGTCAGAGCTAGGCATGCGCCCGGCACCTGGATCATTATCATCTGGAGGGATGTGTGCCGCATAATCCGTGGGTGGTCGTGAGGACGAAGCGCCCGGGGAGGACAAGAAGTGCTCCGAGGCAAGATTTGCGCACGGATTTTGCCCCGAACTCGACGAGCCCTGTGCGAAGTAACGGGATGCTTGTCCTTCGGATGGGCGGGCAGCCTCTGCATGAGGCAACCTAGGCGCTTTGCGCCGGCGCTCGTCATCCTCTGAGTCTGGATCCAGCGCCGCAGCAGACATCGTTCCCAGCGGGTTACGGAGCACATTGATTCTAGGTACGTTGGCGGGCCCCGCTATGGGTCGAGCTTGGGGCTCGGGATGGACGTCAGCAGCCACCTGGAACGATGCAGATTGATCTCCAACGGGCCTATCTGCATCAAGATTACCGCCTTGGGATTCCGGTGCATCCTCTAGTCTTCAACGCGCAGGAATTGTCAGCAAGCCGAGATGACCATGTACCTTGGTCTTACCCCATTCGTAACCTGATACCTCTTACAAAGTTTTCATCCTGCTTTTCTTCGAGCTCTGCTACTTGATGACCCCTCAGGACAACGGTCGAAGGTTCAAGGAAAGCGATTCCTCTGCGAAAGAGAACGTTTTGTAGGACCATCTAATGTCACTATCAGCTCGACACTTCTTGAGGCAACAGGGAAGGCATGAATAGACATGATACAATAACATGAGGCGAAGCTCGATAGGCGAGATACTGACTTTATATCCCAGAGGAGTTTCACCGAGCTCCAACTGCGGTAATTTGCGATACTCGACCGCTTTGATGGATAGGTTACCGTCGCTCAATTGGAACCGAAGCATCGAGCGGGGATAACGTGGGATTGGGCCTTCATCTTCGTCGCCTTCCTGTCCCAGACCAGCTAGATCAGCTCGGTCTAAACGGGTCTGTCTGACATTTTGTAGAGAGAAAGCGCTTTGCCCTATATCTGTTATGGCAGAAATCTGAACGAGAATTGGGCCCTGTAGTCGCATGCCATCGTATGTGAATATGTCGGGTGGGAGACCGGTTCCAGGAACGGTGGAATCCTGCAGATCAGACTGAAGAAACTGTGCTTCAACGTTATGGATGATATTTTGAAGATCCGTGGACGGGTCGAGTTTCAAATTTTCTAATATGTACTCATAACATTGCTCCAGCCATCCCTAGGATCATGCCTGTCAGTAAACGTCTCAACATAATCGGAACATACAACATACGGGGTGCACTTGCGGTCTAGGGTAAGAACGCTGTACCCACTGGACCAATTGATACGGGACCGACATTGGAATGCTGATGAAAGGATTATATCAGTTTTGCTGCAACTCGAAGTGACTTGCTGCGACGGGCAAAGCCACCAACACTCGACGCGACCGTGGCACGTGAAGGATGTTGGGAGACGCGAGTGTGGCACCGGCAAACGTATATTATAATTAGATTACAAATTGATACACGTGGTTCTCGCGTGGATGTCGGAAAGTGACCATTCCTGGTCTAACGCACATCCATTCGTTCCGCCATTCCATTCAATTGAGCTTATACACGTTTTCATTCTTCCAGGTCTACTGCTGCTCGAATAGTTAAACGCTGTACTTGGTTATGGATACAGGCCTTGCCAGGATCAGATCGTCGGTAGGCGCTTCGGGTGACACACCATCTTCTGTGCCAGTCGGACCGCATAACGGTGTTTATAATCCTATACCGTCCACCATACAACACACGCGTTCTCTTGCTGGGACACCCGTTTCACGAAGCACGACGAGTGAACTATACCTCTCAGCTACGCGAAAGGAGTCTTCGTCTGGTACCGGATCAGACCTCATGTCCCATCTGCAGCGTTCGGGTCCGTCCATTGTCAAGACACGTTCTGGCAGCGTGTTATCTCGGGGTTTTATCTTGAAGACAGACTACTACCCATCAGGTCCGTCGTTTTCGGAGCGATGTAGGTATACTTGCTCAGAGACATGCAGGAAGGGCCCTGGATCTTGATCTCAATGTACACGGTGCTCCAAACTTCAGGGCCCCTAGGCAAGGAAATCTCAATATATTTGGTGCCGCGCAACCTCGAACACAGGGTCTTCGAGCAATCCTTTCTATTCTGCGTGCCCGACCGAATACAGCAAACCCGACCCACGTGGTATGGTTTTCTACGAGAGAGGAACCTATCAGTATGCACAGTTGCCCTACTCGAATGAATAGTCAAAGCTGATGTACGGGACCCAGTATATATATCTGGACGACCGTTCGTACTTCGTGATGCATCAGAGCCTCGGCGAACGCTGAAGATATCCGATCGCGCCGAGAATCTAGAAGATATAGAGAGACGTCTTAAGAATGATATTCTTCAAGAAGCTACCAAGTGAGTCAGATAATTCCATCTGTGTGTGTTGCAAACCACATTATTTGACGGTAGGTACGGTGGCCTTATACTGACCCACAATGAAGTTGGTACGTAGTAAACTCAGACTACTGAGTTGACTTTTAAAGTCTCTGCAGCTTCAGACAGTGGCGAAGGTGCTATATTACCGACATGGACGGCAGCCGATGCCAGCAACGTGAAGACATCGCGAGAGGTATGGGAAAACATGGCCAGGGATGGGTGGAACGTCGAGGTATGTCTGTAGTCTTCAATCCGTCTCATATCTGCCTCCCGGTCATGACACCGTTTCTTGCAGTACTATCGGTAAGCGAAAATCATTCATTCATAGCTTTGCTGCTGACACTTGAACTAGTATCCCTATCTCACCCGAGCGGCCGATTGAAGTCAGAGTTATATGTCACTTGCCAGCTTCACCATGATCATTGATGGGTTTCTAGGATAACTATCTAGATGCCTATCTCTCCGTGATCAAGAAGACAGACCCACTTACTACTGCTCTCGTATTCTCGTGTGGCATGGGTGCTGTCCGGACAACGTTCGCCATGGTTGCGGCTACTCTGATCAGAAGGAAGCAGTTGTTGCAGGCCGGCTTGGACGACCCATTTGCTCGGCGAACCTTGGGTCTCGGATTCAACCCTCCGACGGTCGAGGGGACGAACGGTGCTTGCACAGTAAGCATGGCCTTCGACACAAAGATTTTTCAGCTCACCCAGGCTTTATTAGCCGACGAGATCCCCCGCTAGTTCTCCTGTCGGTATTTTGTGTGTGTCTTTTTCGGTGACCTAGTTTACATGATGTTTCCAGGCTCCTGACAGCAAAATCGCACAAGCTCTGGAACAGGCCAATGCTCAACAGGATCTGAATCGTTCTCTACTAAGACTCACTTATATACTACAGCGAAGTAACAGTCATTCTTGTCCAGATGATTCAAATTTTTCTTATGCTGACTATCTCGTCAGGTATGGAACAGGGAGACTCCCAGTCTGCAATCGAACTTCTACTTGACCAGCCGACCCTTCTGGACAAACTAAGAAAGGCACACATGGGCAATTACAGTGCAATATTAAGCTTACTAGGATGCCTCGACAACGGACTTGCTGCTAAGAGATTGGTGGATCGGGTTATCGATGCTTGTGGGTCCATTCACCTCGGAGGTTTGATCATGCTCTCAGCATCTGTAAGGCGATCATGTAACGAACCTACGAGAGGATATCCTGTCTCATCGGGTGAGGTACTCACTAACAGTTACCATGGACGAGGGTCCCAGGGAGGAGTTCCTCAACAAGGCTGTGAGGTCACTGGAGAAGTAGTGCGTCAACCATTCGATATTACACCCTCAACTGGCGTCTGTTGTAGGTATTGACCCGTATCGGCGCAGCTTCTTCATTATCGCCTTTGCGAGCTATGTGGCTACTCAGGACCAGTTCACGACGACTTTCTCTAACTGGCTGAAGGTAATATAAACTGAGCTCGTCTGACTGAAAGCCACGCTGACGAATCCCATCAAGGCAAGAACGGAGATATGGAAGTAAGCCAAGGCGCAGGAACTCTCTGCTGACCTCGGTTAATTGGGAGAGCAGTCAGGTTACTTTCTTGCGAAAAGTCCATGGCTCTCGTCTGAACGTCTTCGCTCCCGTGAACGACCTTTCTGCCCTATCCAAGACAGGGTCCGAGAGCAGAGCCCTAGTGCCTGGCCAAAAGAATGACATCGCCATTTCTGGTGGCCAGGTCCTTGGGGATGAATACTCAGACCACGTTGTCAAGGTACGTAGTGCATCTCTCTCACATATGAACGGTTAATCTTAAAGCAGCGCGCGTAGAACCGGAGCGGGATTATCCTCCGAGAAGGGTAAGAACTAGTAACAACTATTCTGGATTGGCGATAATTGACCCAATCTATCTGGCCACATCAGAACGCTCTTAAAGTCTGATCAATGGTTGAGTGAGTCTCAACACGTCGAGCGTGGAGTCAGGGGAGCCATAAACTTCCGAAATATCCCCGGGACTATGATCTATGCATTGGGTCAACCCACTATAGGTGCGATAGACGAGGTCGTCGGGAGGATAAAAAACGCGCACCCGGAAGTAGACCACGTCGTATGGATCACATTGAGAGAGGAGCCAATTGTCTATGTTAATGGAGCACCTTACTGCTTGCGAAGAGAGGGGTTCTCTCTGCGAAACATGAAAGGTTTGTCTTTGTACCTCCCTGAGCTTCAGTAGTTAACGAACCGTCCCAGACTATGGTGGCATTTCCGCCAATAGATTAGAGGTGCTTGAAGATAGGCTTCGAGACGATGTGGTCAATGAATTGCACACGTTCGGTGGCAGGTCTGTCAGCCCATACGCCCTCTAGGCCACAACTCATGCGTTACTCTAGACTTCTCCTTCACACAGAGACGGCGGATGGTTCAGTAATCCCTGTCTGGGAAGAGGTAAAGGAGGAGCATGTTGCCGTGCTTAAGGAAGTCATGGCCTCTCGCAGGACACCAGAGATTGGAATAGGTATACACTACACGCGGATACCGATAACAGCAGAACGCCCCCCAGACTTCACGGATCTCAGCGAATTAATCGATGTTGTGATACGGACGGACTCTACTAATACGCCCATTGTCCTGAACTGTCAGCTGGGTCGAGGGAGGAGCACAATGACCGCTGTGAGCAATGTCCTATTCTTGACAGGTGGTGACTTGACTATAGGAGCGTCCGTAGGTGATTGTGCTCCTGATTCAAAGATGGCTTGAGAATAGTCGATCAATGAAGGGCTCGCTGACACCAAGTCTAAGCCGATCATTATCTGTAAAATCAATGACAGAACACCACGCGGATACCAGCGCATCTCGACGTCGGCGTCAATCCTATACAGTGATAAATAGTGAGTGGTGGTGAGTCTTCTCTGTTCTGGAGCTTGAATAAGTTCTGTAGACTTGCTTCGTGTAATCCGGAAGGGTCCGGCAGTCAAAGATGCCGTGGACGATGCCATAGACCAGTGCTCAGAAGTTACTAACCTGCGGGATTCAATTGAGGAATATCGAGCGCGAGCGGAGCAGGCCACAGATGAAAGGCAAAAGAAGTCCTTCGCTCAGAAAGGTTTGCATCTTTATCGAGGGACCTCAAAGTGCTAATATCCCATTGCAGGACTGCATAATCTCAGACGTTACTTCGAATTGATAATTTTCCAAGCATATCTACGATCCACGGAACCCGATACCATGCAATCGCATGAAACGTTCGAGAGCTTTGTAGCTAGCCGACCAGGTCGGTGTCTCCAGCGAGGCTGTAAACATCACCAAGCTGACTATGCTACAGTCCTGAAGACTTTTGAGAAGGAGCTCCTGGTAGATGGCACGGATGCTCTCAAGTTGATACAGCGCGCCGATGTCGTTTCAGGAGAGGCGTTACCAGATGAAGTCATGCAAGTCGTGACCAATCGTTCTGGTACCATCCTTTCGGCTTCGACCATCCTGAAGAGCGACTTCTTCTCTAATCTACAGAAGATGACACTGCCAGAGTAAGGGCTACCGCATCACACTACCTTGAAAGTCAACTGTTTATCTGTCATCTTAGACGCATCGAGGGCGCACCCAACTTCAGGAGAGTACCACTGATGCTCAAGTTGAAACAGACCACCACGCCCTCAGAAGCGGATTTCCAGCCTTGGATAGGTCCTGATGCCAAGATGGTTTGTGGGAGGTACGTAGGCAGAACAGTACTCAGTACTACAAGTATACTCACCGGTACCACCTACCAAAGCGGAATGCCCACCGTGCAAGGGTACGTCTGAAGCTTCTTCCTCTGTTGAATGAAGCATAACAATGGCCGCAGTCTGAGGAGAGCACTGGCCAGAGTTAACGCGGGCCCAGAAGGGTCGAATACAGTCTATTGGACATCTCTACGAGAAGTAAGATGAAGTGGTATAAGTCGCGATTAGAACTAATCTCGTACAGGAACCCGTACTCTACGTCGCCGGCAGGCCGCATGTTCTGCGTCTCTTTGACAGGCCCTTGGAAAACGTGGAGTACGTCACTCTTCCCGACGTACATTTATGACTGTAGTGTTTATTTCTAATAATTCAGAGCGACCGGCGTCACTACTGCCATGGTAGAAGCAATGGAGATCAATTTCAAGCGCGACGTCTTGCGAGAGGCGAGGGCTGGTAACGGCCGAATCCTGCTTCATGATGAAGTGGAAGAACGGCCTGGAGTCTTCTCTCTTGTTCCGATTTGGGAAACTGTCTCTGAAGCAGACATCTTGACACCTCGCGATGTTTTCGATCTGGTTGCACACGAGGGGTATAAGGTACGTGTAAAACTGATTGGTAAGACCGGGCGGTCAGTCCTGAGATCACTCGATATGCTAGATTAACTATGATCGTGTCGCGATTGTGAGTCGAGAATAGCCGCAAGATTGGAATATTCTCACCCTGTCTAGACTGACGAACAAGCCCCATTACCCGATGCACTTTCTCAACTATACGATCGTATACGTACAGGGCTTTCCAATGCTGGCGACTTCGTGTTCAATTGTCAGATGGGTCGCGGTCGGACGACGACTGGGATGGTGACGGCGTGCCTCATAGCGACCACTGCCGATTGGAATCATCAGCAGGAGCAAGTTGTTCAAGATGAGATGGTCGCGGAGGACTATGACGCCCTGGATGGGCCATCAGAAGAAGAAGCGTATCTGCAAGGTTTGTGGCGCTTGGGTGTGGCTCGGTCAATGTATTACTCACCTCTTGACAGGGGAATATAAGATCATTCTGCAGCTGGTCGGGGTACTTTCTCATGGCAAGGTCGCGAAGAGATTGACAGACCGTGCAATCGATCTGATGCAAGACGTGCAAAACCTCCGGAAAGCCATTTATGAGTGCGTCCCATCGCCCGAGTTAACTTTGGGACACTACTGACAATTGTTACCTCATAACAGCTACAAGCTCAAAGTTCAAGCATCTGATAAGGGCAGTGCAAAGTGGCGGAAACTATTCAATCTTGGGGTTAATTACCTGTGCGTGAAGAGAGGTTGTTTCTGCTCTAGTACCATTCGACTCATTGTCACCGCTTCACAGGTATCGCTATGGAATGCTTATCGTATTCGCCAACTACCTCATCGAATCTAGGGAAAGAACAGGCAGCGGGACCACGTTCCCGGCTTGGCTCAGGGAACACAGAGAGATTACCAAACTTCTTGAAAAGCGTTCCTTGGATTGACGCGGAGTAAGGAATAGGTAGCGATCTAGTCAACCACGTCTCTGTAATTCGCGCCGTCTCAACGATCATAATTAGCTACCATATCCAGGAGTAAGCGTTTCCAACTTGCTTGTCTCCAGAACTGCGCATGCATCCCGCTTCCTGGTAGAGGAACAGAGGAACATCTTCCGTCTCGTACGCGGGACCAAAAACGGGCCAAAGATGGCCCAGACCCCACATCTGTCATGTCGGAAACATGAGGAGGTATCAGTATACACAGATGAGCGTTCTATGCCGTGTGTGGCCTTTCTTCTTCCCTCGGACTCGGAAAGCGATAGTGGGACATAGTCAACTGGAAAGGGCTGCGAGATGCGCGGATATTGGGCTGCTGATTTGATGCCACATAATGGAAGAGATTGCCACGATTATTGCCAGTACTAACAATAGCTATGATCTTTCCGAAGAGCTACATCCGGTCAGTTCATTTGTGGAGATATGAACAACGAATTTCTTAGGGGAAATCGGACATGACGCTCCTACAGGAGCAATAGCAATAGTACTTGGTATAATGGAAGCGGGGAAATGCGAGGATCTTAAGTCGCAGGCGGTCCGAGACCACTATGTACCGGCAAGGTGATGATCGTCCGATGGAGGGGTAATTGGAACACTGGCAAACTGCATGACAACTTGAAGGGCAGCGGCACTGGTGAGCAGATGCACTGGCGGGACGGCTTGGGCCCGTGGAGGCGTGACGGCGTGCGTGACATGGATCATGTATACGAACGTAACGAAGCTGTGGGCCTGATTCCCGGGAAACGGTGGTTACATCGGTTTTGGTCAGCAGAGATTTGTTTAGGATCGCACCGCAGCGTCGGGCCTTCCTCCTGGTCCTTGTTAGCCTGTCGCAGTGCGCCTCGAGTCCCTTATATTACATTCCATTCCGCTCTCCTCTTCCCGGCCAGCCCTCACATTGTCCCAACATGCGCCCAGCGGCGGCGAGCAGTTCGTTTTCGCGTAGCCAGCGCTATGCGCCCATAGATTCATCGCCCGACCACCGAGGCACCAGAGAAGCCTATTTACAAAGCCCTAGCTATGCGTCTTCGTCAATACCGCCTCCACACCGTCGTACTTGGGAGCCAGATCCTCGGGTCTCACGGCCGGAAGCAGTTGCTGCTGCCCGGTTCTCTGGCCTCCAACGCGAAGGCGAGGACCTCCGTGCGGGCTTGCTTGAACTCCAGCGACCTCTGCTTGGACGCAAGTACGTGTTGTGGTTCCATGACTCAGTAACTGACTGACTTTCATTGATCCTTTCGCCATCAGGTATGCCATAAAAGACAGACGACCGCTGGACCCGCCTCCCATAGCGAAACTGCAGCTATATCGCACCGTCGAAGATAGAAGAGGTTGGGAACAAAAGCAGCTCATCGAAGATTATTCGTCAGTGCAGCCATCCCATCGTTAACCCTTCACAATATTCATGACCGAATTTACGTAGTGAGTTCTCCGAATTGGGCCTTATTTGTCACGTTGATTTATTTCCCGTTCCGAAGATGACTGACAGCCACTGCGTTCCGCAATCTTCAGATGAAGATTCAGATGTGGTGGCCAGTCTGGACGGCTATCTTATACGGGAGAGCAGCAAGTGTTCCACAGCGCTTGCAGGCGAAACCTTCGTACAGGCAGCGAAACTAGAGTACAAGGGCAGCGTCGTACTGCTTTTCATCTTCCCGGTGGGTCCCGAGTGACGATACCCAAATGAGGTACTAATAGGGACTTCCAGGATATTTCTGTACGCACAGAAGGCATTTTCATCCTGCGCTATCGCTTCTTCGACCTCAGCCTGTTTCCTGGAGAAATACCCGCAGGCGGGCTCCCCATTCTCGCAGAGTGCTACGGAGGCACGTTTGAGATATTTTCCACAAAAAACTTTCCCGGCCTGCCGGAATCAACGGAGTTGACCAAGGTTGATCCTCTTTTCACAACATGGTATTGTCACTGATATGCGGGACTGCATTCCTTATAGCACGTCGCGAAATATAATATACGAGTGAACGTCCGTGAGACGAGGAGGTCGAGAATACGGAAGCAGGAGGCTCGGCCACCGTAATTATACTGTTAGTCTCGGTTTTCGCGTCCTTTAGCACGGGACGTCCTGTTTGTATTTCTTGTCGGACAATTTCGTCGGGTAGCCCGTACGTAGGGTACGAACGGAATACACTACCTATAGAAGACCAAGCACCCTGCCTCGCAAGGAGCCATCGGGCCTTAACCATTCCACTTGCAATTGCCCATCCCGCGCCAGGAGGGGAAGCGCGGTCCTCATTCAATTATTTCACCGGACGTTACCTTCGGGATGCCCCTCTTCATTGCCATGAGTGCTTTCCAGCTTCCGATATGAGGCTGTCGAGACATGATACTCTGTCGGATGACCCCTGCACAGCTCTCGGCTGCGGCGATTAATAAATGCAGCATCAGCACCTGTATAGGCGGCAATGTCGTACGAACAGATAGGGTTGCGAAGGGGTGATACGCTCGGTCCGCGGGGGCATCGTTTGACTTTGGGGTGCTATCAGAGCGTTATTATGAGTTAGTGCTTTACTATTCAGGATAGCAGGACACCGGCTTGTACCTTCCTCCGGCATTCCAAGCATGTCTACTTGGGGTAGCGCAGCATGCGTAACATCCACCGCTGGTCCTGCACCACCAGAGGCGTCAGCTCACCCATATACAGCAGGCCAGTTCCCCGCGTCGAGCAGCACTCCGCGCGCCATAACGGAGATCCGAATCGCCGCGACGGCTCCGCGCTGCATACTTCGAGCATTCATTTACCTATATACAGAGATGTGGCCCTTGGGAGGATTCGGGGATCTAACGAAAGAAGCCAGGGACAAGGCAACCTCTCATTTCAGCGGCTGACGCAATACAAGGCTCCTGCCTATCGTCGCTGTCTTGGATTTCCATTTGAGCCTCCGGATCCGAAGGGCTAGTAAGGTGCATTCAATGTGCAGAATACCGCTTGTGCCTGTCATGAACACTTACGAAAGCACACCCAAGACCGCTCAAAAGACAGTTGTTCGGGCATGTCGTGTTGAATGTCGCCGAGCCACTGCGCCACGGTCGCCCATCGTTGAATTCTCCAGCACCAGCGATTCCAAAACACTGCGTGCTGCAATCATGAGGAGGCGTATCCAATAGAATCGGGGTTCACATTGGGCCGCAAGGTTCGCAAGGTTCGTCCAGAGGATCCCGTATACTTTACACTATGCCGTCCTCACGCTGAGATGAGCACTAATGTCGGCAAGCCACGACCGCCGTGTTCCCAAACCAAATGGGTCACCTTGAATACATCGCAAGGGAGGATGGGTATGTACTATTATCTGAACTGTCTCACCAAAGGGACCCTGATCGTCTGAACACTGCAGAAGAATTAATGCATGTCGCATTCATACTGGACCGGCGAATGAATATACGCACACATGGGTCTAGGAAAGAGACAGTGGATCGCTCATTTGTGTGGGGTGTATCAGAGTGTTGACAAAGCACCGTCCAAACGTACTTATACTATCACAGTATAGTCATCTGAAGCCTTCAAAGGGAATGCTAGTGCATGCTCGATTTGTGAAGCACGACGAGACACGCCACAGTAGTGCGGCCATCCCCATGCATTAAGCTAAGACAGGCAGCTGGGCCACCTCCGGGCCCTAGAGGGGCCGCAAGAGTGGTTGACATACGTCCTTTCTGCTAAGATCGTCGAAGGGGCCGACGAAACCTTCGAACTGCTTGTGGCTCGCATATGTCAAGACGGGTGACCAGCGAATTGTCGGGTATAGTGCAAGCAGCAGGCCTTTTCGTTGATTTTGGGTGAGTTAATCTTGAGGAAGCTTCGGTCTCCTGGTCCCCAGAACGCGTGCAGCCAAGTGTATCATGGGACGAAAAGCGCCTTCAGAGGGAGAAGAAACGGTGGATGGTTGCAATGGCCGATGACCCCCTGGCTAGAAAATACCGGTGCAGGAGAGTCCAAACTTCGAGAGCCCCGTCGGTCCGTTTTCAAAGATGAAGACTTCCGAGTTCCGACGACTTTTAGACAGATGAGAATATTCCCATAATCAACAGCTCTCCGGTTACAGTCCTCATATCACTTGCCTTTATGCACAGTACTCGAGTATGCCAGCCCAAGCGATGATGGTGGGCCACCCGAGCAATCCCAAGCCACGTGGGATCACTTAAATTAGAGAGCAGGATAGTAACCGCCGTAGTCGCATCGCCTCGTCCGTACCGCTGGCTTTACAGGCCGTCTCTTTCATCTTCCCCACTGTCCGCCTCCCGACAAAAACTCTGTAGACGGCCACGAACAACCGAGGCGCAGTGGTCTGAATTGCGGTGTTTTTCTGGTGGGATAGAATGCTCAAGGGGTCTGTTACGCCGACGCGATGCCTCGTAGTGCTGGTCGCCGCGTCCTGCGTCCTACTCTTCGCCCTCGTCCCACGTTATGACCTTCTTGACGATCCGCAGAATGCCAAAGTTCTGGCGCCCCGCCAGAATGGCGGTGGTCTGTTCGGTGGTGGCTTTGGGGAGACGACGACGAGCGCCGGCACCACGGGCAATACTGCTACCACCTCGCAGACCTCCACTTCTACGGCGACAACCTCGTCCACTTCCACTTCCACGACCTCATCGACCACTCAGACCTCAACCACTACCACCCAAGCAACTACGCAATCCACGACCTCTTCTACCACTTCTACCACGAGTCCGACAGACGCGAAGACCTCGACCACCTCCGCGGATAGAAGTAATACCACGCCGACCACGACTGCATCCCCGGTCACAACGGCTGTCCTGACTACACAGTCAGATGGAGAGCTCGTCACGGTCGTCATAACAAGCACCCCTTCAGCGTCATCTCCTACTAGTTCGTCGGCCGCCGACAACAGCGACGACGATGGCAATTCGTCGAGGAATAAGACGTCGACTATCATTGGTCTCTCCGTCGCAGGCGGCGTAGCCTTGATTGGCCTAGTTGGTTTCTTAGTCTGGAAGTTTACTCGTAAGCGGTTCGGCGACGACGACTTCGACGACGGTAAGTGTATCTACGCCACTCCCTCGGATCAAGAAGGTTGACCCTTGCTGTGCCCGCAGTTGACGCTATTAAATGGCCTGATCTCAACAACCACGGCGCGAGCACTGTGCCAGCAGCAACTTCAGCACGTGGTCTCGAGGCCGGTTCCCCTTCAGACATTTCTCGTGCCCCCAGTCGGATGAACGATGGTTACGCCGCATCCGTGGCCGCCTCGTCCACCACCGAGCTGTATCCAGCTGCTGCAGATCCCTACGCAGTCCCTCCCCTTCCGCATCTCAACCCTAATCAGCCTTACCGCGACGACCCCGGTGCATACGCCGCAGCCTACTACGACCCATATCGCGGGCCTGTACCACAAACATTCAATGACACTGAATCCGTGCACGGCGCAGGTGGGGAAGCAATACCCATGACCCAGCTGGCTCCCGCAGCGAACAGGGCGAGGAGCCCTGCACCAGCAATGGCGTATGACATGACGGGTCGCGCCTCTCCCCAACCGTCCATGATGGGGCGGGCGTCGCCGGGACCTCAGTTTGCGTACGGTAGAGCGAGTCCTGGACCGCAAGTAGGTTTGGGACTCGGCGGTCCCGCAGGCGTACCTATGGCAGGAAGGGCATCCCCAGGCCCGCAGATGGCGTACGAGGCAGGGCCTCGGTAGCGCCGGGGGTGGGTGGGAGATGGACCCGTCGGTGATCGAGTATCGGTAGAATTTGGAATAGCTGTCTTCGCCATTGCTGTGTTAATTAAGCATACCCTAGATTCGTCTTGCTCGAGAACTTCGGATGTCTTCCCGTTGCATCATTCCCACTAGTATGAGTCGTTTCACCCTGTCCTCCTGAAGCGCCCCCTTCACCGTATCGCATCAATCCTTCCCGTAGGCAGCATTCACGCAACTCGGACAGTCTCTTGTATCTGGACCAGCAGGTCCCCCATCAGCAATAGCTTCGTTCTTCTGCGCAGCCTACCCATGAGCGTTCGTCAACATATTCCCTCCTAATAAATTGCATGGATCTTTTCTTTCAATATACAACATTGTATTGCTTCTCCTGTGCTGGAAACGCTCTACGAGAGTAAAATCGGGCACATTCTATTATGGTGGTATATAAAACATACAAAGCATGTGCACTCCAGGTCCAAAAGTGTGGCTGCCCATGATGCATGACTCCCTACGTCATCATATCGTCCAGCCGTATGATCATGTTTGTCGCTAGGGCCGAGAAAAGTACGATACAAAGTACGGTCGGTCCGTATTTGTCGTAATAGAGACCTTCCGCACTGCGTTGACGGAGTTTCATAGTCCGGTAGACGAATATGACAGCAGAATAAGCGATCGCCAGAAGGGCAGCGACAGTGAAGACCCCGGCACTGATGATACCTTTGACATCACCAGGTTCCACGAAGTTGAGGAGCGTCGTCGCGATGATGCCGATCAAGACGGCGAAATGTAGCCATTTCTAGCATGCGCCGGCGCTGTTAGAGCCATAACGCGAGCAGAAAGTGAGTTTGCACTTACGAAGAACGTCCGTTCCGAAGCGAAGTATACCTTAGGTTCTATACGAACCGGGACGGCGATGCGCTTCCCGGAAGGTGCCACCCAGTGTCTGAGCAGCTCTCGCTCGCTATCGCGGCGCGCGGGCCGAGACGGGCCCTCGATGGCAGACTCTTGTTCGTCATCGTCCAAGGCGCTGTCGTCCTGTCCGCTATCCAATGCCTTCACTTGCTGCAGTCTCGACCGGAAGGTCTCATCGAACGCGCTGGAGGGCACGAGAGGGTTGATAGACAGAGTCCTCGGTTTCGCTGCATCTTCCGATTCAGGCTGAGTAGGCTTCCGTCCCTTCAGGAAGGGCGTCCGCTCGTGCGTGTCAACGTCCGTCTCGCACTGGTCGCTTTGTACAGCACCACCCGCGTCCCTTTCCTTGAGATGCTTTTCTCGGAATGCTGCCGCTTCCGCAACTTGAGCATTTGTCAAGCCTGTCCGCTTATCTTCGTCCTTCGCAGGAGCCATATCGAATTCTTCGTCTTCTCCTTCGGATACGGGCTCCGTGTAGACTCGACGCTGCACATCCGGATCCGGAGTCGCGATGCCAGAGGAAGAATGAGCAGAAGACCCTTTAGAAGAGGAGAAGTGGGCCGGTCGCTCAATTCCGACTGCGCTCGTCACGGGCTTGGTGATATCCATGTCCACTGTGACAATTTGGTTAGCACATCAGAGCGATCCAACGCGAGCGCGACTCACTCTGTGGTAGCCAGAACGGTATGAGGTCCACCCGCTCAGGTAGCAATGTCGCGCAGCCGTGAATGAATTTGCTGCAATCCGACATAGGTCAGAACGACAAGGTGACAGCTGCATGACTTCTACGGCTCACCTAAATTTAGGCACAGCCTCCACCAGGTGAGACTGAACAAGGTCTGTTACCCACTCTGGTGGCTCTTGGCCGTACTGCGTTTGCAACTTCACCTCTAACACACCGTACCTACACTCCAGAATCAGCGTGAAACTCTCGAATGAGGCCCGGATGGATACAGCATAAAAGCTTACTTGAACAGCTCCTTGTCATCTGCAGGAATTTGGTCAAACGGATAATCGATGCCGATATCCATTCTGCGCCAGTTATCCCCGGAGCGGACACGACCGTCCCAGTTATCCTCCCGGACCATCGTCAGCTCAGTGTCCAGGGAGATGCGTACGCGAGCGTCACCCGGCAGTTGAAACGCCGTCCGATTGTAAAATGTTCTCATTACTGTGATTATGTGAGTCAGATGAAAGTGCTGCAGGATATAGATTAGAATGTACCAGGTCTTAGCTTCTTAGTCAGGATGGAATACTGCACTTCGTTCGCAAGCTGGATCATGCCATCGACCTCTTGCTGCGACTTCTTCCCCTTCCTGACGAGTTCTTGGAACTCATCGTCCATAGTGTACTCTCCACGCAGGAAGGCGTTGACTTTGTTTTCCTTGATAGGAAATCGGGCTTTCACAGACTTTTCACCAGTCCAGTCCTCTCTGTGGGTCTTGCGCTCGACAAAGATCTACAGCAAGGGGGTGTTGTTTAGGGATACAGTGGTATAGCAATCAGTCGTGCGAGTTCACCGTTTTCACGTCCATGTCGCCGTACCAACGCAGGCGTATTGCCTCGGCGCCTTCCGTCTTCTCCAGCCGACCTAAGTACAGTTCGAGATCCTCGTTGTCGAAATATATGGAGGTGATAGCTGGGGCATATCCGTATGCTCCTCAGTTTCGCCTCAGTATGCGCGTGTTATGCACTTGCTTACCGGCGTCCTTCGGCTCAAATTCCTTGTCAGGGTTGAATACTGAAACGCAACAGCTGTAGAATGTGATGAGATTCCAGACATGATCCACTTGCCTAACACGGGTAGATGTTTTAAGATCGCTAGCTTCAGATGGACTAAATTATCAGGATGCACCTGGTAGGATGGTCAGAGTAGTAAAACGTAAGCACGAGCATCCGACGTACCCAGTACTTGGTCGTTTGTCTAACAAAGGCGCTCTGGTTGCCGCCTGCGGAGGGATCGCCCAAGACGGGGTGACCTCGAGTACGGACGAGATCATACAGTTTGGACAGTTTCACTATTAGGGCGTCCCAGTTATATTTGTAGAACGGTCGCTTCTCCAGATAGTCAGTGACAAAAGTAGGCTTTAACGGCGTGCCGGTTTGTTTCTGATTGGCTTGAAGGTTAGTGAAAGGATAGGCGGGTCTGTGATAGAGGTGTCCTCACGTCATGTTTCTGGGACATCATTGGCGTCAGCTCACAGACACCTGGACGGAATGGTGTGGCTTACCTTCAAGATCTTCATAAAACCGGTGATGTTCAGCTTGGAGTACAGTGCCAAGTCGTGAACATCCGCGACTAGAGTTGCGACCTCCTCCTCTAGCTCGTGGAATTGATCTTCTAAAGCATCGAGGGACTTCAAGTCTTCCGAGTCTCCGTCGTCCTCGTCATCATCGTCCGACCCGGCATCATGCGAGTGGTCCATCTCTCGCTGCTGTCCTTCCGGGTCGTGCGACTGAGTAAGCTGGTGCGCCTCCTCGGCCTGCTCCTCTACAACAAGGCGCTTGACGGTCTTCTCAGCATCTCGTATACGGCGAGAGAGTTCATTAGTCTATGACGTCATTTGAACAAAGGTCGCAGAGACATTGCGATTCAAACGAACTTTCTGCTTCTGAAAATCGTGGATCTTGTCCAGTTCGTGCTCGAGCATCAGCTTGAACTCTCGTTCGTCATCCTCGGTCCAGTTCTTGGAAGTGGTTCGATCCTGGGTGTAGCAAAGATGCGAAGACAGATGAGGATCTGGTCTGGCTGCGTATCAGGAAGTGCGCTTGCCTTGAGTTCACGCTTGAGGCGGTTGTAATCAATGTAGAACGGTCTCCATTCGCCATACAGGTCGTTCTAGGTTGGATAGGCCTGTGTTCAGCTCGCAAGAGAGAAGCAACTGGAATTCAAGACATACGTTGATTTTCTTGCCAAACTTCATGTCGCCCGTGTCAGATTGGAAGAGATAGAGAAGGCCTGAGCTGGACAAATCAGTTCTGTTTATACAGGCGCTATCGAACTTACTTACTCGACCAATGAGACTACGAACGTGCGCTATTTGCGTTATAGTTCGGCATGGCCATCAAGTCTCGTTCCCTCAGGGGCCTCATGCACAGCCACCCACTTCTTCCAGGACACGTGCTGCTTCCCCGCAGCGCCCCGATTGGCCCGGAAGCAAGTCCGCGTCGGGGCTCGACCGGCTAGCGCGCTTCCCGGGACCGGTCCTTCAATGGGCGTCCAGACGCTTATTACATTACAGCATGTATCAACAACTCTACTCAGTCCAGGCGGACGGCGTACATGAAGCCGTCATATCCTTTCTCTCCAACAGTCCCGATGGTCGTCGCATCCATGCCCTTGTCCTGCTTCACCACCTCTAGCATCTCCCGAACACCGTTGATCCTAGGGTCGTCCTTGATTGCTAGATTGCTAACCCCGCCCCTTCTTATTACATTGTCCACAAACTGATGCCACTAGGTGTTAATATCTTGATATCGTCATGGACAAGCGAGACGTACGACCACTCCCCCTTTCCTCATAAGGCTCCTACACCGCTTGAAATACGTAGGATAATTGGGTTTATCGGCGTCCACAAAGATGAAGTCGAACAGTTCACTCGGGTCCATCTTGGCCAACGTATCGGTCGCGGCGCCAACCACGATCTTCACTTTCGAGGTCAGGTCCGCATGCTCCAGGTTCTGGCGAGCCACCTGTACAAACAAGTGAGGGGGGTTGCATTACGCATGCAACGCTGCTGGACCCTTACGTCTGCGTGCTTCTGCACGTACTCGCAGGTGATGAGCTCACCGCCTTCCGGAAGTGCGCGCGCCAGCCATATGGTGGAGTACCTGCATTCAAATACACCCTTGTGATTAACGAGGAACGTCAAGGAAGCGCATCTCCACGGACCCTCCTAATGTGCCTAGCTCTAAGATCCGCTTCGCCCCGACGGAAAGTGCAAGGAGCTTCAAGTATTTGCCCTGCGCAGGGGTTACAGCAATATCAGGCAATCCGTTCGCCTCGCTGTTGGCGAGGGCGTATTCCAGCGCCTCATCTGGCTCGAGAAGGAAGGACTTGTGGTATTCGTCTTCCCTCTTCCAGTCTTCGTACGTGGCTGGCGTGGCTGGATCGAACGGGCGCGACATGGTACGCGGCGGCTTTCCTGATGGGTATCGGTATCCGAATCGCAGCTGCGCTTCCCATCTTATCGTAGCGCCCTTGTTCTGTCATATAAACAGATATAGCCCTGAGTCTATTGTTGCTTCAAAGCTCGTATGACCACTGTGCAGGGCGTCCCGAGTAACTTCTGACCTTCCGTGGGCGGGCCGCTGCTTATGAAAGGACCCTAGACGGGTACATACTATCTGAAACTCCCTTTATGGTGACGCGTAAGCCGCAGCGCAATATGAGGTACATTTCGAGATCTGTAACAAAGTGCAATTCGGAGAAGTTCAGACCAATCAAATTCCCGACGTTATCCCGCCGTCGAGTCCCGCGGGAATCCTGGCGTCCGGATTTCCGAATATTCTGACATGGACACGATACGCCCTACGAATTCTGCCATGATTGCGCGATGGTCGCCCTGACAAGTCCTAGTCAGCGTTGTGCCCGGTCCTTCATATAACCCTGAGGCAGCGGGTACGCGTGGAAGAGCAGAGCAGAGCTTCATGGCGTCCAGAACGGTCACATCGACTCCGGAAGAGAAGCTGGTGGTGCTCGAGAGTAGCACGTCGGCGTCTTCGCAGGGTGGGTCTCAGTATGGCTTGAAGTTCGCTGCAGCGGCGGTGAGCAGTAAGTGTTTTCGATGCTCCGTGGTGCTATGTGATGAAATGAGCGCACGGGAGCAGATATGGCTGCATCGGCTGTGAGCAACCCTGTGGATGTGTGAGCGCCAAGTTTTCTCTCCCATCGTGCTTCCGAAGTCTCATGGAATATTTCTCACCAGAATTAAAGTGAAGTGTGAATTTCGGGCTTTCGGGAGCTGCTACTCATACATTCGTCGCGTACCGTAGGTTCGTCAGCAACTCAAGACCGCAAGTGAGTTGCGTTCCTACATGGCTACCTACTCTCTTTCGCCCCGCCCGACGTTCTTACTTCACGCTCTCATTCAGCACCTGGAATTCGAGGCAATGCTTTCTGGACGGTGGGATATCAGATGGCGCGTACCGAAGGCGTTCTTAGCCTCGGTAGCGGCATGACCGCGAGCATGATGCGAGAAGTGGTCTACTCCGGCCTCAGGCTAGGAACATACGAGTACTTCAAAGACTCGTATGTTCGTGTTATGGTACAGGAGGTAGTTTGGTATGCCTGACGTTGCCCTGTTACAGGTTATACACTGCCGCAGGCGGGTCCTTGCCGAAGGAAGGTTTGACATTAAAGGTCCTTGCTGCGACAATAGCCGCCACAATAGGCTCGTAAGTAGATGATTTGATCACTGTTGGCAGTCCCTGACCATCAGGAAAGATTTGTCGCAAATCCCGCCGATCTAGCCAAAGGTCAGCATCTCCAAGCAATAAGTCTCAGCTCGTAGGAGCTGACATAGTGCAGTACGCATGCAGGCGTACTACCCTAACGGCAGCCCATACCGTAACGTATTCAATTGTTACGCCGCAGTCTGGCGGGAAGGCGCCACCAAAGAGGCATCTTCTCCCTTCTGGGGCGGCTTGCGCTCTCTATATCGCGGCGTAGACGCGACTACCGTCCGGGGAATCATACTCTCGACATCGCAGATATGCTCATACGACCAGGTGAAACAGTCTCTGAAGAAGCGCGGCATCATGGAGGAAGGTATTGGTCTGCATCTGACCGCTAGTCTTTTTGCTGGGTTAGTCCTTCCTGACAAGCCGGTATTGGCGAGAACCTAAGACACAGTGATCCCGCAGACTTTTCTGTTCCATTACGTCCAACCCCGTCGGTAAGCCTATGCAGCTTCCTGTGCGCTTACCACCCGTCTGACGTCCTCGGCGTGGTTTAGACGTGGTGAAAGTGAGGGTCATGAATGACAAAGAACGTCGATATAAAGGCGTTGTCGACTGCGTGAGGTCAATCATGGTGAACGAGGGGCCTTTGGCATTTTTCAAGGGCTTTGGAATGTGCTGGGCGAGGGCAAGTGCACCATGGTCCTATAACCCGGACTGTTCTCCTGACATTCGACTGCAGCTCGGGGTACACACGATTGTCAGCTTCATCGCGTTCGAGCGAATACGAGGACTTTTAGGTATCAGTCCCATGTAGAGCATGCGGTACAGGGTGATGACCATGTCCAAATTCTACGGGTCTCTCCTCCAACGCCCATTCCTATATAACAGCTAAAGATTCCTGTATACACCACATATCTTCCCCTTAATCTAGCACATGAGAAGAGCGGATGGGCTGCACATTTTACGGTGTCAGTGTGGCCCATGAGCTACTCGAGACCCTCTAGAGTCTTCAGCCCATGCTCATCTCCTCATCAGCAGCGTCCGAGTATTGTGAAGTGGAGGATTGCATCATTCGCGGGGCACCGGGGAATTTTGCTAGAAGTCTCCCAGGTCCCATTTCCATGTTCATCTCCAGCGCCATATTAAGCAGTTCCAGAACGAAAGGATTCATGGGGTCAATGCTCAACGCCTACATTGGTGCTTAGCCGACAGAGTTCGGGAGCGTAGTAGTAGATCTACTTACTTCGTGATAACGAACGATGGCTTGGTCCATGTCACCCAAAAGATGTTGGGTTAAGCCCAGGAATGAAAACGCTGCAGCAGATCGAGAGTCTACCCGGATGGCGTTTTCGTACGCGGTGCTCGCCTCCTCATAGCGTCTATGAACGAAACTTGAGACCCAATGGTTGTTCTGAAACATCGTCCACTCACTTTAGTTTCCGGTAGCTGGTACCAAGATTAATGTATGTCGAGAGCCAAGTTTCCTGAGCACTCTGCGTGCCTCCCGCTAATTCTATGGCTCTGCTGAAGAGAGTTACCGCTTCCTCGTAGCTACATCAAGACATAAGGGAAAGAAGGAGCGTATTGACGAATAGCACGTACTTGCCCAGGTTGAACATCACGATACCACGCTCGTTCAGTGTTAGCGGGTCACTATCGCAGATATCATACGCTGCATTCAGTGTCTCGGCGGCGAGCTGGTGCGCCAAGGTCAAGTACTCCATGCCAGCGAACGTAAGCGGCAAGTGCGATCTACGACACGGTCAGTCATCATTTACGACGATCCCTAAGTGTTTGCTTGAGTCAAGGCTGGCGTACCCAGGATATAACCTTGCACATGTCGAATAGGCTGTTATGGCGGCATCGTGCTCCCCCTCGAGAGCATAGGAGTGACCGAATGCTATCCACGCCGGAGAGAACCTCGGGTCCATGAGAGATGCTTTCCTGATACGATACCATTAGCTCAGGCAGTCACGAATCTCGGGCAAATGTTCAACAAACCCAAAGTACTGGCGTGCATCTTTGTACTGGGAAGAGCTCAAATACCATACACCCACTGCGTACCAGCTAATCGCGTTCTCAGGCTCTTTCCTCACCAAGTCGTGCGCAAGAACGAATAGCTTCGAGCGTAGATATCGGAGGTGGTACATGCAAGCAATATGCAGCGGCATGGTAGGCTCATGAATTGACGTTAAATCTAGGATTCTACGAGATAATCAGTCCATCTGCAGCGGCGGGGTGAATAAACTATGCCGCCCACCTGCTGGTTATGGCGAAGCAATCAGCCCAGCGGAATTGTGCGTAGGCCTGGTCTGCGAAGGCGAACAAGACATCCGGATTATCCGTTAGGGCGTACTCTTGTGATAATCGTCGTAACACGGTCGTTTGCTCCTCTGCATGCTTATACTTTCGAAGGCGTGAGAGATACATCAGACGGACGAACTCGGCGTCTTCTTGCGCTTGCTCCTGGTATGGTAGAGCCTGCACAAATTCCCATTCTTCGAGACATTATCAGGACCGCCACGATATATCCGAGTAACATGGAGCCACCTTCATCCGGAGTCATCATTTGAGAGGCTGCAAGCCGATTAAGCGCTTCATAGCACTTGACGTCCAATGTGAGCGCCTCCATAAAGCAATGTTTTGCTTTCTCGTGCCGATTATGCTTCTGCATCAAAACACCTCGAAGGTAGCACATGGAGGCTTCGACCTGGTTGGCAGGATAAGTGAATTATCTCAATAGGCGTTCGTGACCAGTTACCTTAATTCCGCTATCGACGTCAGGCGCTCTTGTTTGATCTGTCTAACGTGTCAATAGAACGAATGATAAGGCTGGGAGTAACGTACCTGCTGATTTGAAAGGATTTGACTCTCCCAGCATTTCTATAGCCGCCTGCCACTTTCCCTGTTCGACCTGAAAGAATCGTAAGAAATTGCCCGACACCGCAACTAGTCTTTCGTTGTCCTTACCTGGCATTGAGCCGCTAAGTAGCGGCAAGCGACGCTCATGTCAACTAATCTCGACACGTTCGAACGACCCTGGGCGGTCACATCTATCATGCCCGCTGGTAGCCTGCCGGGTACGACAGGACCCATATGTTCTTTCTCTTTGCCCTTCCCCTTAAGGTTGGCAGCCGAAGCATGGAACGGATGAGGGTATGGAGTGTTAAAGTCCTGTAGCGGATATGGATGGTTACCCATAGCTGGACGCCCATGTGCCCCACCCTCGTCGGGGCGTACGGGGAAGGGCCTTGTTAGGAGGGTTTCAGCACGAGAGAATTGATCTCCCATAAAATACACTTGAGCGAGCCAGAAGGCATCATTGGGATCCTCTGTTGAAGGCGAACACGAGGAAGTTACAGTTCAGACGAACAAGACATTAGTCAGACGCCACATACCCGTCCAGCTGAGGACCTTATCACCCCAGAATATCGCAGTGTCGTAGAGATGTTGCATCATGGCGTCGTGTCGCCACAGTCTCATACGATCGACCATACCCCACCCCTCGTCCTCCTCATCATCATCCTCTTCCCCATTTTGATTATCTTGAAACCCATCGGTGGTGTCGTTGGCTAGAGGGTGCTGTCGACTGATACTTCCCTTATTTTTCCGGTGGTGGCGGGGGGACGGACGAGGTGATGTGCTCCACACCGAGCGGCTAGGATCTAGAGCCGTAGCACGGCGTTTCCTCGAGGTCATGAAAGTATCCACTAGGCGTTGCGGCCCAAAAGACACGGATGCATTGATCGAGTCACGTCGCCTGGATGATGTTGGTGAAGGGAGATGCAGCATAGACTGTGGCTCGAACTGCGATTGACGCGGCGGCGTAGAAGTCATGAGGTGCGGCTTTTCGAGAACGACCCGTGCGAAGTTAGGTTAGAGACTGAACAAGGCCGCGTAACAGTTGCAAATGCAAAGTTGGTTGGAATAGTTTGAAGGAACGCGATAGTAGGACGCGGTGGATAAAGACAAGCAGCGTCGAGCAGTCACTTCGGAGAAGAACGCGAGCCTCAGCCTGAGGATGGACGAGCGCGCCTTCGCAGTCACATGACTGATGATCACATGATAAGAATATATTTAGCATCTCATCGATGTCTTTTGACCTCTTTTGACTCGAGCCTCTCGCACAGAAACTTTTGCAGAAATTTCTGCGCTCTACTTCAGTCTGGTGCATATGAATCATATCGCCTTCCCAATTATCACTGTGTGGGTATTCTTTTTATGTTTATGAACCTCTCCTGTAGCGTCCTGCACGCGGCCTTGAGCACTTGCGACTGCCTCAGGAGCATAGGGTAGTTCCTCTGAGCGGGTTACCTTCCGAGATTGGTGGTGATCATAGGCTATTGAGAGTACGTATCACTCGCTTTGCTCTATGGTGGCCGGTTTCAGGCTAACACGCGTCCTCGCTGCAGGTATATGTACAGCGCACAGCACTCAATACTGTACCCTATCATAGAATGCCATCCTGGTGAAGTTACATGATCCGTGCACTGGCATTATCACGCAGGCATACTGCCCTGGGTCGGACAAAGTGGAAGAAGGTCCGCTGGATCGATTACTATGAACGGATGACTATAGTACGTACATCGGACGAATGAAACGAACAGACGCTGATGTTACATGGTATGATACAGGTACAACATCGAAATAAATTCCTATACCGAAATAAAGTAGGCGCGGAAAATGTCTCCAGAGATAATATCAAAGTGATAATAAAATCAAGACTCATCCATGACGTCCAAAGGGAACTACACCCGGTCCTGCGACCGTCAGCATAACTAGACAATATATCGAAGGTCTGAGGAATACTGACCAGGTATGAAGAAGTCGGTCATATTCTCAGCCCCATGGCCCTGGCACCGGCACCAACGGAGCCTTCCCAACCGAGGAACCGCTCAGCACTATGCTTCTCCGACACGCTCGACATCCCTTCGCTTTCTTCAGTGAACCATCCATGACCCTTGGTGCGTGACCAGACTGATATGAACAGTATGCGTTTCAGCTTCCGGTTCAAGAAGAACCAATGCGAGCTCCAGAGGAGAGTGCCCCGGCGCCTCAGGCGGACATGCGTAAGGCCCTTAGACCAAGGATCGTCTGCACCGTCCGTGTCCGACGACTTCTTTCTGAGATTAGGCCACGCGGATCTGTACGGCTTCGCCTCGTCGACGTCATAGTCATCAAACTGGAAGGTGGTCTCTTCGTCGGAAGATGATACCTCTTCGTCCCCTATTGACGCGATGTCATCTCCGTCGTCAGAGAAATCGTTGGCATGGGGGTCTGACTCGATGTCTGGCACAAAGGAGAAGACTTCGCAATCTGCTAAGCCGATTACATCGTCCAGTATGCGATAAAGAGAAGGGTGCGTTCCGGTCATCGCTTGGGGTGGAGCATATCTGAGTAGGACATGGTTTATGGGGGAAGAAGAGGTGGGCGTCGACGAGGGGAAGAGGTCCGGCGAGGTAGGCGGATAGGAAGAGTACGTCCGTGGAGCCCGCATGCCCCCTCTTTGTGGGGCGACGAGCGTTGTGCTGAGGGCGTTCAGCACACTTGCTCCGCTTTCCTCCTTGTTGAAATGGGCGGGGCGGACATCGGAGAACTCATGGTCTGGAAATGCGACGTTGAGGGTGGCTATGAGGAGATACAGTGTCTTCCTAGAGGAGTGTTTATCGAAAGGGCCGAACGGGGTTGTTTCAGCCTCGCGGTCTATGGCCATCCACGATGGCAGGGGAGGGGAACTCGATACTTCGTCGTTGTACGCGTTCTCCAGGGACCTGAAGAGTTTCTTGTCTCTCTTGATGTTCTTGCAGCTGTACGCTTCGATGCGCGTATGAACGGAGCATTCGGGCCCCTCGTGCGTCAGAGCCTGAGCCAGCCGCTGCAACTCGGGATATTCGATGTATTTCATGTTCCGTAGAGGCTGATCGCGATGCCTGTGGCAGGACGGAGGTATCGCCTTGTCTTGAAGAGGGGCCACCCGGACTCCCTTTGTTGCTGTATCGAAGCGGGGCGGCTGGTGTTGAATTGCCTCATTCCGTGCCCGACGCAGCACCGTCCGGCCGCTGCGGGGACGCGGAGACCATTATGGTCCCCGGATATATCATGTTGGTCCAGGCTCGGCCCTCTCTTCTTGGCCACCCACAGCCACTGGCGCGACGAGATCATGATCAACTTCTCTTTGCATTCGGAGTCTCGGAGAGTCAACACACGGGTTTAATCTATCAGGGCTGTTGAGCTCACCATCCAGCGTGGCTCTGGAATGACACACTCCCCATGGCCAGATGTACCGGCGTTATCCATTGCATATCCTGTCAAAGAATTTAACGCCCAGCATCAGATTCTGTCGGGTTTGGATGGATTATGATATCGCACACTGACTGCCTGCGTGGCGAGCCCGCCATTCATGCTTTCTGAAGACGATGCAAGGGCAAGTGTGTGAGAATAGGTGTTTTGGATGGAAACCATTCAGGTCCTGAACTCCCCTCAGCCTCTGTTTGGCCAGGTGATTACTCGCACATACACCCTGACATGGTTCCTGCCTAGGTCGTTATGTATCGCTGGAACCTGCAGGTGATAGTTCTTGCCTGACAGCGCATGCTAACCTTCGATGAATACAGTCCTTGCTGATGACATGCTCTTAGATCCATGCTGCCCTCAAGGGGATTCGGCGAGTGCCATGACCTCGCTACTGCTGAAGAATTATCCAAGTCCCGTTTTACGGGACTGGCCGCTCTGAGATTATAGGCACTACGGAAGCATCAAGCTACATGTACTGGTAATATCCATTACTCCCTTCGCCATTCTGTCCATTCTGATACTGGTTTTGGTAGCCCACTGGCTGCCTGTACATAGCCGCAGGGGAGGTTGGGATCCCTAGGAAGTCTGGGAAAGCCGAGTTCAAGAAAATTGCCCCGACGAGCAGTGCGCTCGACGAGGGGTTTGGATATATCAGGATACCAGCACCAGGCAGCCTCGGGGAGTTCCATGGCGCATAGGCGACCTAGATCCGAGCGTGAAACAATGATATGGTTATCGAGCCAGGACCTGAAGCGTACCATCTGATTTTGCGCCAACATCCGGGAGAACGATCGGAAAGTGGCCTCATTGGCCCTGTTATCGTTGGCATAGTCCAGGCGATCTGGCATGAACATGCAGAGCGATGGCGTGTGTCGCTGAACCCAAGAGGTGACTTCAGAGAGTGCCACTCGGTCGGTGTTGTGCACGAAGAAATTGGTGGGCCAAAGGTCCGCACGACTGCGGGGATATGAGTAAGTATCGGTGATCGGTTCGATCGAGGGAAGCGACTGACTTGTCTCCGTCGGTCTCCGCAGCGCTGACATATATTACTGTCGGGTTGGACGGATCAGACGCAATGGTGAACGTCCCCCGCCATGGCTTCGACTGCGAAATCTGGGCCGCTGGGGGAGGCACTATGGACTCGAGGTGAGCTGGAAGACGAAGGGCCATGTTTGCTGATGTCGATTCTCCTCCAGAGCACGCAGACATTTATACTCGAGACTGCTTTTGCATCCGATGAATTTTCCAATAAAGGACATGCGAAAAGATGGGCTTAAATGTCATCTCCAAGGAACAAGTTGCGACTCACTTCGACAGAGTCTCGTGAATCGGTGGTTCCAAGAGACACTCCGCCAGGGCCGAATGAAATACATAAGCGCCGCGTGGGTATCGGTTACGTTCGTAGCAGTATAGTGCGCCCCGCAATATTGGCGATAAGCTCCTAAATCGTCAGGAACGTCGGGGTGATGCGACTGGCTCGAGGAGCAGAAAAGCAGATCATGACGTTTTCACGCTGGAGGGTCTACCGATCACTACATTGCACGGTACGTGGGACCCTGGACAACTAACATCTATTGTGGACATGTTAATGCTAGCATACATCCTAGAAAAGGCGGCCTATACTCTGTTTTGTTCTGAGCGCCTGCTTTCCGGAGCGCTTGTTCGGGATAGGCTGAGGTCGGAGTGCATAAAGCAAAGCAGCTATTAACAGAGTTCAGAATGATGATCTCCGAAGAAACCGCAAGTCAGCGGCTCACGGCAGGTGTTAACTCACGGGCCAGAACCGCCGAAGCAAGCCAAGGCGAGGACCAGTCGACTTCTGGAGCGTGAGCGAAGTTGGTCCGTATTACGTGCGTAGGTAATGATCAGAGATCTATTCATCTTTACTTCCTGTTCTTCCGCTCTACAGTCTGCCGCACGTCTACAGCATACCGGATAGGTATGCAATTAGACGGTCTCACTACTCGCTTCCGCTTTATCCATAAGGAGCGCCGAGAGAGGCGGGAACTTTCCATCGTTGCCTTGGTACCAAGTCTATCGACATGTATGTCGTCCTACACTTCAAGACTGATCCTAGCGTTTGGCGCCTTTCGGAGCCTCCAGTAGCCACGTGGATCGGAGTGTAGCTATTTAGATGTCGGGTAACCAAAAAGAGGTATGTGGTAGGTTCGACAGCATATAGACTCAAACTGTAGCTAATTAGATGTGGCTCAACAAGGGCATTCCTGGGTACGGATTGGACGACTTCGGGCAAACCTGCCGTTCGTACAGCTTTTGTGGCGGTCGAACTGGAAATTTCGGGGCCGACCGCAATGCGCGAGTTCCCACCTATATTGGTTTCCTCCCGGGCTCCATAGCGAAAGCTCGAGAACCTGAGGAAGTATTCTCACATTCCGAGTAGGTCTGTAGCATGAAGCCTGTGGCCACGTCAGGCCGGACCCGCTGGCTTATTTTGAGCCCCGGATAGCGGCACCTTATGTCCGGCGCTTAATGAAGCAGTCCGTCCTGGCCGTCCTTGCTTTCTCATCGTTGCCAGACTGTGACAGACATGGGTAACGTTCTAGTCGGTCATCACACCTACCTATCGACTGCCGGTACTACGCTGGCACCCGATGTAACCTTACTCTTGATGTCGCCGTATCGTGCCGAGCTCTGCCGGATCTCTTCAAAGGTGCGTTCCATTAATTACGAGGATATCTTATGAAGTGGCTGATTTGCTTATACATATACTTGTGATGGCTCATTCCAGTTTGATTCATTTGCAGTTGATATCGTAAATCAGACTCACGACATGCCCAACTGCCCCACTTGACTCTTGATACCCGGAGGCAAAGTGGTGGTTGTCAATTCCGCCGTCAAAACTCTTGAAGGTTAACCACCCAAAGCTTGGCGCGACCCGCCACATTTTCTCGCGCCTCTTCTTTTATTTTCAATCTGCAAGGCTGCAATGTCTTACGTACCAGGAACGAGGAGATGAAAACTCGTCTGTAGCGGAGCTCCCCAAAGGGCGGATGGAGCTCAATGGGCCACCTCCTCCGCACACCCGTACTGGCCAGAAGTGCGTCCACGTCGGATGTGATCGCGCTCCGGAATATGCTGGACGCGATTCATGCCACCTCCCGTGCATCTGGCTCCTCTGGGATTATTAGCGGGTGACGCGCCTGGTACAACTTCTGCTCCCGTACTAGGGCAGATGTTCAATGCATTTGTAGCGCGTAAATCTGGGGTGCGCTCATCAAAAATACCGTAAAACGCCTACACCAGTGGGCTGCGGACAGAGGACCGGTATTGCGCATAGTATGTCTTCTTCCATTGTTCGTGATCTTACATGAATGTGGCGCTCTGACAAGCCGCCGAGCGGTCGTATTCTCGGGCTTGAGAACTGGAATTTCGGACGAAGTCTTTTACTACAGAGCCGCTCCAATTCTGAACGGCATGGAGCGTCTTGGTAGTCGTCGATGTCGCTCGAGATTTTCGTGACGAGGAGCCAGACTGCAGGGATTACACCAATCTGCTGGTGGCATTCCGAATTGTGAGTGGGTCTGCCCGCACTGATCGTTCCCTTATTTACAAGTTAATAGCAATGCCGTGGGTAGCTTCATCTGGGTCGAGGTATGTTCCATGCGCATGTGGCCTCGCAATCTCGCGGTACGGTAAGTATTGGACAAGGCGTCTGCGCTCACTCGATGTCTATTTAGAGAGCAGATAACCCCGCCCGACCCTCGTCAGACAAACGCGCTAGTCCATCTACGAGTGCTTCGACCTCCTCCGTGATCGAAATTGAGTGAAGTACTGAGCACGCAGTCTTTTGCCCAGATGCTGCGAGGCGAGTAAGCGAAATCGTCTAAGCATATTAACTCTACTCCTCTCATCCCACGGACACCATGAGGTGTCCTAAAATTTGTATTGCAATCCCGACGACAGATTAAGGGCAATGGTAGGAAGTGACGACACGGGGAGGCCTGGAATGTTCAGTGGAAGGCAAGGAGAGCCGGGGATACACCGCCACTTGTCGTTCTGCACCCGTGCCCATCAAGAGTATCAAATCGGCGCGCCCGAACATGAAGGAGATCTGTCCTTCATGCTCCTGTTTCCGGGTGTTGAACAAACATCTTGCCGTATTAATGCTACACAACCTGCTAGTTGCCGATCGAGAAGGTGTCCGCTGGACGATGGACCATGTGCCTGCTGACGGTCGCAGACGCGGGCAGCCCACGGCGCCCGACTCAGCAGGTGCCGTGCGCAGGTTAGGTGGATGGGACGGGATGCGACCAGGATCTCGAAGACGCAAGGACTGAGCAGATTGCGATGCCAAAGTTGAGAGAAGCCCAATTCAGCGTCCCTGTTTACAAACGGGCGCGTCGCCATTGGCTCGGTTACGCAGCCCCGGCCTTTCAAGGTCTGCGATCAGCAATCCGAGAGGCTTCTTCGATAACCTTGCCAGACCTCCTTTGGCTAGTCCTTCCCGTTTGTATTCTCGGCCGCAGCTGCGATAGGCCTCCTCGTCGATGCCAATGCCTCGCAGGCTTTGGGACTTGTGCTTGGAACTCAGTCGCGTTCTCATCGCCAACCGTCGGGAACCGTCTGTCGCGACACCACACTACAGCATCCTTTCGAGCCGGCATCTTGGCTTTGCGTCGATCAATGTACGCGTTCTCCCCCGTCATCACCGCGCTTTCGACTCGGACTTTGGCTGCACGTACCGCCACCTCGCAGTGTTCGCCTAATTCCCGTCCAATCAGAGCGCTGTCAATGCAAATGGCCTCCGGAACCACTAGCACGACGCCCAATTGCAAGGCCCGCCAAGCAGCGAATAATATCTGTCGAATTACGGCACATTGCGGGCTCCTAGAATTACATGAAAACGAATCACTATAGTACATTAAAGGAAGTCGGTGACGGCCAACGGATTTCAGCTTGACGTAATATCGAGAGCAGATAGCTCAGTTGTCAAAGACACCACGCTCAGCTTTCACCTGTGGCGGTCGATACCATCAACGCTTAACGAACCTAGACAGATGTCAGTATACTTACGGCTTCTTCGCTGGGTGTAAGTACCTCTTTGATGACCTCTGTCTTCTCTGAATGCTCTTTCACAACTTTTACTTTCGGTCCGTCTGCAGTCATGTCATCGTCAGGATCTACACCACCTGTGCTCCCCGCGCTTGAAAGTGGACCAGCTACCTCGTCTTTGGGGTATCCGGCCTCACGGCGGGAAAGTCTGTCTTCGGGGTGATGGCGGTTGCGGACATAGTCGACAGTGTGTTCCTGAAGGGCCGCGGGATCCTGGTGTCCAGAACGGTCGGCCTGCGTGTCGCGAAGTCAGGATCGGCAACACCGAGCACCGACATTAGCGGAGGGCACTGACCTTGATAAAAGCCTCCGACGCACTGCCCAGGTGTTCGTTCCAACCTGGCGCGTCGTGAATGGGCGTCGACGTCTCGTGCTGTTTGCCCTGGAGGTTTCTGTGCTTCTCCTTTTCCAGGAGCTCGGGATCGTTGTCGTGCATGGTACTATATGCTCTGACCTTGCGTTAGTGATCTGCGCGCCTCGACGACATCTTAATTAGACAACTCGCACCTCGACGAGCTGTAGCCGTTCCTCATCGAGGAAGCAGGGCTCTGGCCGAAGCCAGCGACGGATCTAAGGGCAGTACGGCGGGCGATAGAATACATATTGGGTTGAGTTGTACGCAAAACGTGTGGTGGTGGTGGTCGTGGTTTAAGTACTGGAGGCAAAGCATCGCGTTAGCTTGGGTTTTCCAATGCGCACCGCAGGATGACCGTCATCGACGTCATGGGGATCCCGGAAAGGTGATGTCATGCACGCACCTCAATCATTCGTCCCTCATTGGTTCTCAGCATCTCAGCATCGCCGCAAAGTCACCTGATCTGTAGAGATGTCAATGTTTTAGACCGTAAATAAATCTCTGTGTCCTTGGCTAGCCCTGAGAGGACTGGCTGAGCGTTCGGACAGTCGTATATCATATTCGATCCGCAAACACTGCACCTTTTACAGCATGTAGGAGACTGTCCTATGCCTGAGTTTGCGCCACCCCGTCCAAATGTGTGACTTGGAGCAAGAACCACATACGTCGACAGAATCGAGACATGAGAGGATCCAACTGGTTTCTCCGCTTGACCTTGGTGGTAGATGACGCTGAGCGTATTCTTGCCGAATGTCTTATAAGCCGCCGTGCTCTTCATCATAATGCCGAACACAAATCAGGACGGTTTGTCTCGAGTATTTCGGGAGTTAGTGGAGAGACTCGCGTAGCATATTGTCCAACAGATTGATACTTTAACACGAGGGTGAGCATGTAAATACAAGGCCAGCCGACTGTTTTGCGTATGTCGCGCCTCGTGAGGACGTAACTTTGATGTTGTAGGCGCTTCGCACACGTTGCAAACACTCGCAGGGTGCCATCCACATGAGGCACACACGTTACGTTCTCGTCCTCCCTCTGAATACTGGAGCTTCGCATTCGAGAGCTTTATCTGATCGTCATCGCCCTCGCTAGACCAGGTCTTACCTTGGATCAAGCTATCGCACGTCCATGAATCAGGCCCGAGCGCCTGCTGTCCTTTTCCGCGGCCGATAAATCGATATCTAAAAGGATTATGAACACTTTCTGGAACTTCCTTGATTACTACGTCTTTGCCCGGTTGCCTAACATCAGGATAGTGTCCGACGACCTAGACGGTTCAGACAACGACGACGAGTCCTCGTATTCGACGCCGCTCAAGAAGCGCAGGTCTTCCCTAAGAAATCCCTCATATTCCACCATTACCTCGTACAGTGACGCAAGCAGGTCCCAGCGGCTTGACCGCGACCGCGACCTGGAATTGGGAGAGGAAACAGAGCTTCATCGTCGGGGTTCGACCCGAGATCGTCAGCGCCGGGAGCTGGATCGTCAGCAACGGGATGACGCCCGTGAGCGACGCGAACAGGAGCGTCTGCGACAGGACCAGGTTCGGGAGCGCGAGAGAGAACTGGCGCGCGAGAGAGAACTGGCGCGCGAACGTGAGCTGGAACGTGAGCGAGAGCTGCAGCAGCTCAGGGCGCGGTTGGCGGAGTATGATCGCGAAAGGGAGAGGGACCGCTTGTTGATCCAAAACTTGCAGTCGGACAACGCGTCCCTACAGTCCAAAGTAACGACTGTCCAGACATCCCTATCAAATGCACTCTCTCAGCTCTCCGCTATATCGACAAAGTACACTGCTCTCCAGAATCAACACCTTTCCCTTCGAGAAAAGTACACTGCGCTCCAGGCGTGCCAGTCACAACCAGTGTCTCCTGTCAGATCACCCACTTCTCCGCCTCCGGAGCTCAAGAGCTTACACGAGAAGTACGACGGCTTGAAGGGCGCTTACGGTCAGGCGATCTCGGAGCTGAAGGAGAAGAAGGAGGAGGTCAAGAGCCTCCGGACCTTCCTGAACAGAACGGACGAGTGGAGCGGAGCGCAGATCATCCAGAGCATTAGGGACTTGAACGGGGAGATCGTTCAGTTGGCGGCCTTGATCGCGGACGAGTTCTGCTTCCCCATTCCAGCGGATTCCTCTTCTAGAGGCTTAGACATACCCCGGCCGCGATCGCGTCTTCCTTCTCATTCAAAGTCTGTCCCGTCCTCTGGGTCGCTTCGAAGTTTACTTTCTCCGCCTCGACAAATGTCGGAGTCGCCGATGCCTTCGAATGCTCTGCTTAGAGGAAGCTTCCCTCCGACGCTTCTTGACCTATTACAGGCTCACGCGACAGATCCGGACCCAACCCTGGTTCAGTTCGTTATCCAGGCGTGGCTAGTCCAATGTTGCGCCATTGTAATCGATTCTTTCTGTTTCGGGCTTCGACCAGAGGTGGACATCTCATTGCGCCAGCTCTGGGAAACAGTCAAGAAGAATGGTATGTGACGCATTGGTGACACTGATGCACGTATACCTATGACTGATCGGTGGTTCTTCCAGAATTGCAAGCTACTGCGTCTCGTTGGCGGGCCATGACATACATGTATTGCAGACCCTTGGCGTCCCGACCTCTTCCTGACGCTGCAAGCAGCTCCTCGCTTCCTTTGTCACAACCGTCGGACCCTTTACCGACCATATCAGCTATGTTCTTGGAAGGTCTACAAGCGCTTCTCACATTGAGTGTATCTTCCACCGATGCGTCTCATACCCCGGTGAACTCTGTTTCTGGCTTGACAACACCTAGTGCCTCGCCTGCGAGGGCTTCGCCGATATCTAGACTCACCTCGCCTCCGCTCTCGGTATCTCCGGACTCTCAGGGGACAAGATTCCTGCAGCCATCGCCCGAACTCCTTGGCGAGCGCTATAACAGTGCAGTCGGTCGTATCTTCGAAAGCACCATGAAAATCAGCGAAGTGCTGAAGACTGGCGTCATGAGCGGGTGGTTCAACCCTGTCAACGTTAGCCCGGTCCCTAGAGAAGCGAGTCTCGGACTATGGTACGACTTCAGGAGTAGGCACCAGAGTCGCAGCCGTCGCGACAGCTCTGCTAGTAGCCAGAGTTATGCCAGCGGCAGGAGTCTCAAGGACGCTCTAATGGGTTGGAACGATAAAGCGCGGTCAACGTTTGACCCGGCGATCATGGAGAATGTCTATAAAGATGTAAATCCAACAAGTCCCGCAACGGACTCTGATCGCGATCAAAACGTTCTGTGCACGGTCGAGTTCGGACTAGTCTGCATAAGAAGAGACAGCAACGGGACAGATGCGAACGGTAGCAAATCCCCTCAACATGAGGATCGGAAAGGCGAGGAGTCGATGTCCTGCACATGGCTGGTAAAGCCGAAGGTGCTGCTGGAAAGCGTGCGGGACATATTATGACCGGGGCACGCGGCGTAATCGAGATGGTTGGACATTCCGGTTGCCCTCCGTGTGCCCGCCCTGCCCGTCCTCTCCAACAACAAAATTCTACCTGCATATGTTGCAAACACGCAGCAGGAATTTCTTGCAGATTGCTCTTGTTTTGGTCAAATGTGCTTTCGTATTGCTCTTCTCTGCTGTAACTCGCAATAATCTTGTGTCATACAATTCCTGTGCTTGGGTTCGTGACAGGGACGGTGTACCTTGCCTCATCTACGTTATCTATTGTATTACTATGTAACACTGGCATATTGCATTCGCCTGATCCTCGCCCCAAGGGATCATATATATATATATATTGTGGCATCCGATTGGCAGGAAATGCCTGGTCGTTACATTGTCGTCGACGTACCAAGCCGTGGCGTACTCAGGTGCGTTTCTTTATGTTTCGCGTCTACTGTCTGGGCAATGGTAACGGATCGTATATTTCCCTGTCGAAACCGATACACGACATAAATACTAAACATACACAGGCTGCAGCGACGCCTTCCGAGAATAACATATGCGGATAATTTACGACTGCGTAGTCCGTCAAATTCTTGTCCATTTAAATTACGCGCAAGTCGCCAGAAATCCCGGGTGATCAAGAGGTGATAAATGGTTCAGGCCAAGAAGCCAAAGGAACCCCTGAAAGACCCATCCCTTCTGTCATAGCTGTATTGACTGTAGGAAGGTTCCTCCATCCCCCGATATTGCACGCGGAAGCGGCGGTATCGATGGGCGAATACGGCGTACTAGCGGTGGATGGAAGAGAGAAGAGTGCCGAGGTGCTTGCTTCGGGACCGCTCTGGAGAATATAACTCTCACCGTACGAGGGGATAGCGCTCGACAATGGTGCTGAAATCTGGATATTAGCGGCCAGCGCGGCCTCTATGGTCGATACTGTCCTGTCCAGCAAGCTTGATATCGTCTGGGCCATGGGCCACACGTCCTACAACAATCAGCACTATTTAAATACTAGCAAACGCGCAAGAGTGTACAAACCTTAGCGCCTGCCAGAACTGTTTGGCACTGTTGCAGTGACAGCCGAGTGTGCGGATTCCAGGGCTGCGATTTCACTATTGTATAGAGATAAAAATCTGGAAGCGCATCGATCTGAGGCGGCAACACTCACAGACAACGAGGAAAATCGCCCTGGGAGGGTCTTAAGCGACGAGAATGTAGCAAATGCTTGCCACTCACGCTGCATCCAATACGGGCCCTAAAAGGAATGGGGAAACTCGTGCCAACGAATACTTTGAATACCAGACGGATGCTGGAACGCAGTTGAAACATAGGAGATGCAGAAGGCAAATCTTCCTGACCTATGGAGACAACCCGACTGGCTGCGTTCTGGCATTGAGATACGGCTCTAGCACGCAAAGTGTCTGTCAGGGGCGACTCGAGACGGCCGGAGAGGCTGCAGACATGCGAATCAGTGCTTTTACATCACAGGAATGACATAGATCCCACTTGGCCTCCTCCACTCGAATGCTATGGTGAGGTCAGTTACGCATTTCTTACATACGTGCTTCGGGAAATACGCACAAGCCTCTATGCAAGACAATACAAGCCCACCAGTATTGGGCGTGTAGAAGAAGCACAACGGGTGCTGTCTCCGCTGTTCTGTCCGACTCAAGCTTCAGGATCGAGGGAAGCTCCAAGTACCATTTCTCCAAAGCGTCCTCGATTTGCGATATGGCATTATACATTGTAGAATTGCCTTGATACGCATTAGGGTATGCCGCCTCGATGATGGTGCTAGTGATGTTGGCTATGGACACACTTCAGCTGCGTAGTCATGCAGCCGCGATCGTTTACTCACAGAGGCGGCCCAAAGCATCGAGGTATTGATTGATCATATTGGAACTAGTCCTGAAGGGCGGTTTGAATGCAGACGGGGATCTCTGCATTTCATCTCCGACCTGGAACATCGTTAGCGAGAACCTTAAGGAAAGGACAATTCTACTACCGTTCCGATGCTAGAGGCTGGGACGTCGGAATCTAGAGGACGGATTGCCATAGTTCGTCCTGAGATTACAAATTACTTAGGAAAGGTACATCGGCCCATTACCACATGTCTCACCTGTAAAGGCGGCAGCAAATCTGAACAGAATGAGAACAAGAAGCTGACACCCGCTGCAATATACTTACCTGTCCAGAATAGCACAACCCGTCCATATTTGCAGACGCAATTCCTGATCAGACTTAGACAGAAAGGAAGCAGCAGAGTGCTTCAAACTCTCCGGAGAGCGATGCATTCCCAAGCTCCGTGCCTAGCAGATCTTATCAGACCAGTAACTGTATATGAACTGTGCCAAATACCATGCTGATAGCGATGTCTGGCGTAACATGCCGTCAGTCATCGGTCGCGGGTAAAATCATGTATGCCCTACCTATGAACACAGCAGCCCAGCTTCCCGAGCCTTGAAGTTCCCTTGAGCAGTCAGATCCACCGGAACTAAGGCACGGTAAGACGCACCAACTCCTAAATCGTAGTACCCCATCAAAAGCAGGGCCTGGCATACCATAGGGCATGTTGTGTTCATCGTGTTGTCTGACAGAAGATCACGTCATGGGATGCCACATTGCAGTCATGACTGTCTCACGGAAAAGTTCCATAGCAATCATATGGTAGGTCTCTCGGGAGGAGGAGTCGACAGAGAAGCTGTCGACATGAGAGAAGCGGGCGGAAAGGGAGAAAATCGCAAACAACAAGAACTGGAACGGTAGATCGGCAGAGGTTGGTCCAGTGGAAGTCAGGTTTCTGCGCAGCTCTTCAGAAACAGAACGAGAATAATGGCCGTTATCTGACTAACCTCATCCTGAAAGGGTGGCACTTAGAACGCAGAACTTTCAGAAGGCGGAGATAACTCGCCTTTGCTCATACATTTCAAAGAAGTAACGCTTGTGTACCACGGGGAACATGGGATGGATAGAGTCAAAGTAGAACTCTATCAGGGTGTTCTGTACATGCTGCTGTGGCATTGAAATATTTAACACATCGCCATATTGAGGCGATTGAAGCTGGGTCAGAGAGAGTTGCGCCGCCAATTCCAGAGGATTTCTGCAAAACGTAAGGTACTTTGTGTGAGGAACAGATATGATAACTCTGACCTATGAGTACCCGTGCTGGCACATTTCTGAAGAAGATAGAAAGCACTAGCTTTTCCATAATACCGCAGCTGAATTTCCTCTCGATTAAGCGGCAAGAAAAGCAGGAATTCAGTGCTGAGTCACACCTGGGCATTGTCATCAGGTGACATTTCGTCGGGGTCAATGTACGCCAGCTGCGTAAAGCCCTGAGTGCTGCCTAGAGAGAACGGATCAAATAAACCGAAACTACGCCGGATATCAGCATAGAGCGGACTCACATAATGAGTCATCGCTGGCCTTACGGTCAATGGCCAACGGTACCCGGTTGGCAGCAGTCGACGCAGTGTCTGATATGGCACAGATGTCACTCCAGTAGTTAACCTGATGGTCGCTTCGGCAACTCACCGACGGGCGAACGAGAACTGACGGATGACGGCGAGTGGGAGAGGCGGATGTCCGCATCTGAATTCAGCATGTCTTTTAGACTGTCGCCCCAACTACTACTGGGAGTAACTAGGATTTGGTTATCTGAGGATGGACGGGAATCATTAATATACCGCAGCCACTGTAAGTAAAAGAACTAACCAAGACTTGCAGTTAGTTCCTCACGACTCATCCTTGACTGTCGCTTAGTCAATACGGGACCATCAAGCGCGTCGTCAGGGATGGACTTGGAAATTGAAGTTAGAAAGTCCTGCTTTGTGGAAGCGAATGGACCATCGGTTCGTCCTTTAGGGCCGAATGGACCATGCTCGACCCTGCGTATAATTTGCTGAGCGACGGGATCTCGCGAGAGGGTTTCAAGCAAGCTACGAGCACGGTGGTCCTGGCATCCAATGATCGCTCCTAATAGTGCTTCGGCCTGATGAAGTCGTCTCTCGATGGCGTGAATATATCTAGGCGGAGAAGATGAGACGACCGCTTATGAGATTGACATGTGTGACATACCCCTTTGGCGGTCCTCTCTTATGGCTTGGACCTGAAGACATATTATAGTAAAGCGCTATAGGTGGCCTGAGAGAAGAAACGTACCAGCGTATGTGCAGGCTGCAAAAGTATGTTAGTTCAGTGTCAATGCCACAGAGAAATTGGTTTACATAGGCCTAGCGTGGTGCAGCCGCGACATGGCCGATCAGGTCCTGCAGCTCTCTCGCATTTGCTCTTCGTCCTCCTGCAATGGTCGCAAGCTACATTTCCGTTCATGAATAGTTTGCAGATGTTATCGAACTTTGACTCGCCTCTGGTGCTCCGTCGACGAGACGAATGGTCAGACCCCGCACGATCTCCAGGGAAAGTACCGTCTTCGTCAGAATGGTCGGAGAACGCGATAGGAGTACTCATATCTGCGGTGCTCGGTATACCAGCAACTGATCGACTGCCTGTCTAATATATACTCTCCGTGTGACCTTCTTCTGCAGGCGACCTCACGAAGAAGGTGTCCAGACTGGAACCAAGACGTAAGGAGAATATGATGCGCTCGAGAAAGTCGATAATATCTAATCCGAGACGAGACCATGGAGTAACTGTCCTGGATCAGTAGAACAGAACACCTGCTTCGACATCCCGCGAAGCCGGTCATTCAAGTTTGGGTATCGAAAACACTTCCAGAACATTAGTATGCGAAGAGGTCGGCGGGGAATGTCATCAGAAAATCCTTGTCGGGCATAGATCGCGAAGAAGTAATGCGATTGTCCCGAGGATGAGCAAGGAACCCGTTGCGAACCATCTCAAGCCGCGCATCAGTGCGTGACGCTCACTTCGTCCACGTGGCTTCGTACTGACAAGATCGATTTTTCGGCTCTCTGCTCGCGTTATTCGGTGCGCTCAAAAGCTATCCAGATCTTGAGGATATGTGTATACCTCCACTACGTCGGACCGCACAGCGTTGGAATGTCAATCGTCAGATCCGCTGGAAGATCTGAGCTGATCAGAGAATCAATGTAAGTCCCGAGTCTGATTCAGATGCCTAAAACGAATCATCTTCCTCCAGAACCGGGTTAGGTCCATAATTGAATATCCTCAAATATGTTGCGTGCAATACGTAACACGAGTGTGGCGCAGAGTACAGTAGTGCTACTGACTGTCTCGACCGCTGAGGTCTACAGCGAGCAATGTTGGAGAACTCAGGTACTCATTTGTCTGGGTCTACTACAGCGGCCTCGATATATACGCCAGCGCCAATGCTAAGTTGGACTGGCTCGTTGCCTGTAACATACAGTATAAGAAACATATGACTGTATTTTCTGTGGATATGCGATCCAACCATCCCTGAGGGTTTAGGCGTTCGATAGCTGCCTTCCTCCGTGGCCTGGCGGCACGTCTTCAATGGTCCAGGATAGCGCTGCTTGGCCTTGTCGAAGCAAACCGTCTGATCGTTTTAGATTGTGACACCGGCTTCGAGTATTGGAAGAATGTTGTTAGTTTAAAGCCGTCGTCCTCGGAATTCAACTGGCGATTGGATGGTATTCCTTGAATATCGAATTGAATCAAATTCAGCGATGTTAAGCAGAAACATTAGTGAGGGATACCTCGAAGAATTCTGGGTCTAGGTCGCGGAGATATGGCCCGAGTTGATACGCGGACTACTAGTCACTGGGGATTGAGAGGCTCCACGGTCGACAGTCTGGAATCGATCAGCTCAACGGGCGATAATGAAAGGTCCCCGGCACCCTGAATTACGTGTGATGATCATGCGGTCAAAAATGCTGTCGGTCTTACTGTGAGTCGGCCAGGCGAGGGAACCATGGGCAGCCGCTCCATGTCGATTTCCGCCCGCTCGGCTGACCTAGACAAGGCTCGCCGTCAAAGGGATGGCCAGGTTTAGTAAATATCGACCAGATAAGAAGAAACGCACATATATAGAACATTCTGGGGATATCTGTGAGTTCATACATGACGACAACCCGAGTTTTGAGTCTTGGGGAAAGCCATGAGAGGTAGTGTCCAGTCATTCCTCGATTCCGTGCCTTTATACTGGTCAGAGCCTCGTTGCATGGAGTTTCGTAGCCTCGTTGCAGTAGTTTCGTAGCCTCGTTGCAGTATTTTGGTAGCCTCATTACAGATGATTTCATAGCCTCGCCTGATAGAAGAATCTCCGGGCACCGAGACGTGTCAGCAAAATAGAATCCGTAGTGCGTGCTGCTTCTACCCTTGAGCTCAGGGAAACCCAGGCACCTGGAAGAGGGCTATCCCGCTCGGAACAACTGCCAGTACCTAAGAGGGAGACAAATGCTGATGTTTGACGAGCCAATGGGTGTGGAGGGCCGAGGGCCGGTCCAAGTTGGATCCCGGTATCGCTTCGTACCCTATTTCTTTAGTCCAGACACTTCGTAACAGAAGTTTGGTTTAGAGACATCAGAAACCCTGTATAACGGAACTCACACTGTAATCATTAATGAATGATCGTTATATTCTCATCGATGTCGGACACTTAATCGTAGCTTGACTTTCAGCAAGAAGATGAGATACTATCGTCCCTGCGGGGTGAGTGCCATGTATTTGCCGGATACGTACCTCTGCAGGGCCATGATTCACAACGCGGGCGAACGGCTGGATGAAAAGATTTCTACATACCGTACGCTCAAAACTTTACTTCCAAGAGAACATCTGCCCATGCGGTAAAAAATGTCGAAGAAGCACGTACCCTTCGGCTCAAAGCACGACCTATACGTACACACTACAGCCACCGCTTCGAGAGTGGATACCTTCGGTGCCACACAAGAATCGCAAGCCATTTCCACCTGCGACCTAACGTTCCTGATGACGGTGTTACATTCACACCGACAAATGGCTGAGTTATAGGGCTCACCAGCAAATTCGAGGACGTTATCGGAGCAAGGGGAGCCCATCATGCTCTCTGGGGGAAGACTTGTTGTATACCAACTCTAAGAACCGCCAGCGCACAGAGAAGCTTCCGTGGCGATCTTACGTAAGAATGCAAGTAAGTTCGTTCAGTGGCACTTGTCCGTTTGCAGCCTGCGAGGGAGCCGACCTGTTAAGTATTCGCGGCACCGTAAATCTCGCGTATCGACGCCACCGGCATGCATCCCTAAATAGCGACGGGGGCCGACCTTATGTATGAGATAACCTCCTTATGGGAAAAGAGCTGCTCGAGGCGGCCTCCCGACTGTTTGAGAGTGGACGATACGCAGCTTTTATGCAAGTCGCTCGCCGACTCGCTCCTGTCTTCTGTAAGGTGCTGGACCAAGCTTTATAAATAGAGTACATGGTACATTACAACCATAACTGGAGTCTCAATCTGAGGGTAGCTCTTCAAGAATTTGAGTGCCGCTTCGTCATATATTCGATAGATGCCTTCAGGATGCGCTCTACTACAGCGAACTCTTCGTCATTCCTGGGTGCGTAGACCATGAGGAACTGACGCGGGACATTTCCAAGCACACCACTCAAGGGATGCCGTTCGCCCCATCCACGCTCGATAACTAGTGGACAAATCAGGATATTTTCAACTGAAGGGATGCCGCGGCACTCACCAAGCTTGCAGTCTCTAGACGACAGTATCGCATGCACAGAGAAGTCACTGGACGCGTGAAGGTGCAAGATTTCGCTTTGGGCATCGGATGCGATCTTGTGTGGCGGAGTTCCTCGGATGATCAAAGCATTGTCCACTTTCTCGTGTGGCGAGGGCATCACTGCTACGGTCTTCTCGTACTCTTTCGCCAACCGATCCATTAGCTCTCGCAGTTTCTGTTTCGGATCAATCGGGTTGAATGGCCGAACGCGGAGCTGTGACTATACTTCCTACCTGTTTAACGGCCTCGTCAGGTATTTGATCGAGCTGTCGCTGAGGCAGAAAATGCCATCCCGTCCGAGGACGAGGACCAGATCGGTATGGTATACTGGAAGATTCTCCGAGGCAGCTCTCAAAGCTGTCGGCCCCGTCGTATTCGGTCGTACTGAGAGTTTCTCTGCCGAGCGGTTTGACGAGTGTGGAAATTAACCAACCCCAGGGATTCAACGGCAGTCCTCCGGGACCCAAGGAAAGGTAAGCTTGGTAATTCCTGTGTAGCAGTATGGTAAAAGCTCCAGCCACACAAAGGGCAGGTATCACGGCAAGACTCGTTCTCCGATAAATCGGCGAGTCGTCAAGGACAGTGTGGACGTCCATCCCAGCATTGGACTTCATGGTCGCGCGTTTCTTGCAATATGCCGTCCCGAGCTCGCGTCCTTTATCGCAGCAAGTTGTGCTCCTAACCCCTTATTCTGACGCAATTTGTCGAGCCTCCATTCCAAAGCCATGTTTCGGCCTTGGTCGCTAGAATGATCAAGTGTGTGGCGTCGCATTTAGTTATGACGTCGGACAAGTAAGTCAACCTTGGCCCATTGCCAAAACTGGTAAATGCCGACGCCGAAGCAGCGATGCCGTCGGTTGTCCGAAGGCCCACCTTGCCACAGTCCAGCTAGACGGTCTATTCGTGGACTTGATATGCTTTCATGCTGCAGATACCTTTAACATATTTTCTGGCCCTATTACTCCGGATAACAGCTCTATTCACGCCCAGCAGTCGCAGCGGGAGGACACCCGGTCTGCAGTTCGGTCTGCGCCATGAACATGCAGTATCTACCACTGGTCGAGTCGTCTTCAAGGATGCCTTGACTCAAGCAATACCCTCCGCGTATACATTGCATACCAAGGATATCACGGCATACCATCCATCACTGCGTTCGGATGCCATAGCTCGTATAGGGAGAGCTTCGTCCATTCACAGCCAGGTATGCGAGGATCAGCTTTGGGAGGAGGAGGAAGTCCTGGGACCGGATGTGGAAAGTCGCGAGACATTGCTGGAATTGGCCAAGATGACGAATAACGCATATGTGGAACCCGATGACTCGCAGTGGTATGATCTGGGTTCCAACTGGACAAATGTACGCATCCCTCCTGACTGAGCAGGCTTGCCCTCTATTCACTTGACCTAGCGCTTGAGACTCAACCGACGAAATTTCTAGGCATATCCAGTGGGCTGGGAACCCGATGAGGACGGCTTCAGGGGACATGTGTTTGCTACACCTGACAACTCTACGATCGTGCTATCCATCAAGGGCACGTCCGCTGGCTTCTTTGGAGGCGGCGGACCTACTGCGAAGAAGGACAAGCTCAATGACAATCTCCTCTTCAGTTGTTGCTGTGCCAGGGTTGACTGGACCTGGACGCCGGTCTGCGGTTGTTATCGCAGTGGTAACAGATGTGATATAGATTGTCTGGAACGGTCATTGATCGACGATAGTCTGTTTTATCCTATCGGAACGGTAGGCGTTGTATGCTCGATATTGCGAACATAGCTAATAGCGATCGACTCTTCTCAGAATCTGTATAATAATCTGACGTACATGTATCCTGAATCCAATATCTGGATAATTGGACATTCGTTGGGGGGCGCGTTGGCGTCGTTGCTGGGTGTTACGTTCGGGGTACCAGTAGTTACCTTTGAATCTCCCGGAGAGAAGATGGCAGCTGGAAGGCTGCATCTTCCATCGCCAGTTGAGTCTACCTCCAATGGTTGCGTGATGACGAGTCTCACATCTCAACCATGCAGCCATCTACGCATCACGTTACCCATGTCTACCATACCGCTGACCCCATCCCTATGGGCACATGCAACGGTATTCTGTCCTCTTGCGCATTAGCCGGCTACGCAATGGAAAGTCGGTATGTCCTAGCTTCCACGATCTCGAGTCATGCTCTGGCGGACCTTCCGTCGATGCTCATATTGAACGGGTTCCAGCTGTCATTTAGGCCGGTCAATTATATTCGACACTGTCTCGAATCTGTCTTGGGCCGTCGACATCCGCACGCACGGAATCGTCAACGTCATCGAGAACCTCCTGTCTCACCCGTGGGCGCCGAGCGAAGAAGTGGGAAGAGAAGTCCCGGAACCCACTCCGGAAGACGATTGCGTGGTAGGTCCTCTTGTTCCGTCCTGTTTGCTTCCGTCCTTGACGTGCATCGAATACTGCTAGGAATGTTACGATTGGGAGTTTGGCGACTTCCCTCAGTGATCCGTAGATTGCCAGCCTTCTCTCGGTGTCCATTCTTAATTGTGTATTCTTACAGATTGGATACGTGTTTATCAGGGTTTTCGCTTCTGTAAGGCTTGAAAGCTGTTTCTGCATCCTGTTCTAACAGACCAACTCAGGTAATATCATATACTCATACCTGCATCCCACGAAGACAGTTTACTTTGTCACGAATAAAGCTGGTCCTTGTCGCCTCTTTTCTCCTCGAAGAAAGATCCATATCGACACATCGCCCGAGACAACTTGCCCTACACCGCATGGTTCGAGCGATGGCCAGAAGTTGGAACCGGAGATCGACGTCGACGGACTCTTCTCCTTCTCCCGAAGCCAGATGCCCCGACCCGATCGCCCCGACCTTATTTGCTCGTCTCTCCTTCTACGTTGCGATCGCCACCCCGCACGTCACCGCGCCGCGGAAGCGAACGCGATCGCGACGGATCGGTGTAGCGGGGAACGCAGCGAGACAGGATGCTGTGTTTCCCCCGTATGTCTGCGCGACTCCTGCCGGCCATCGAGATCTCTCGAGGAGGGTGAGATGCTGCCGTGCGTATGCAGCAGAGATGGATGGTGGCGCGCGGGTGCTGCGAACCCTCCTCGGGTACGCTCGCGCGCGCGTGACGCAGTCCGCCGTGTGTTAACGTGTCAGGAGACGACGCGGTCGCCGGCGCGCGTGCGGGGTACGCTGTTTGCTTGTCTCGTGGAAGCGGAGTCCGTTGTTGCCGCGTTGACTCCAGCAGCGCAAAGAGTGAACATTCGATGTGCATGTTGCGGCGTGGACACCCAGACAGGTCTGCGAGCAGCGCGGGTCCGCGATTTTGCCAGAGACGGTACCGGCCGTATGCCTTGCAGCTCGCGTTCGAAGCCTCCCTCCACGTTCACGCATATGCACCGCGCTCAAGCGGCGCGCACGAGCAGTTTCCATCCTTGCATGGCCGTACGCGTCCAACCGTTGAAACAAAATTGGCTCTATCTTCTGTCGATCCCGTAGTATGCCAGTTCATGACCAGAAAAGCCACCCTCGTAAACCGTAAAAGGGACAGTCGGCGGGGAGCGTGATCGTTCGATGTCATCCACACGAACCACACTCAGGCTCCCAAGTCGATACCACACCCCTATAGACAGGATTGCTCGCCTATCTACTGGCTATTGAGCCGGAGACGTCGTTTACAAGTCTATACCACACATGTTCGAAGTCTGACGAGGAATAAACACCACGAGAATATGCGCAATGCCCTAACAGCTTGGCAATTCAAGTACAAGTCGTACAACGTAACGTACAGATGATACAAATTGCAACACTCATCAATTTTACAGACAGACAGAAAGAACGAAAAGGAAACCGCCCGACTCGGTACACTGATGATACAAACAAACAAACAAACCCATCCCAATCCGATCCGAGAAGGCTAACACTCTATGTTGTGTCGCGTTTTTGCCAGTATTAGTGAGGCGGAGGCGATATGTGCAGAGGTGATACAAGAGCAACCAGATGGACGGATGTCGAGGGCGAAGCGGGTACCTGTCGTGACCCACGAGCCCAGTGGCGCATCCGCTTCAATTGGTCGCCGAGAATGAGTGTTGTCCGTCCAAGAGAACTGGCAGGCAAGGAAGTACGACCAGGTGAGGCAGATGGGGAAGCTGTGAGCGACACGTACGATGCAGCCCGAGTTTGCGGTCGGACCGAACTGGCAAGAATGGTTATGCCAAGGCCAGTAGCCCACTGTCAACATTGAAGTAGACGCCAGGACCATAAACCCAGTATCGTATGAGCTGCGACGAAAGCGAGTACTGCAACGGGACAGACAGAACGCAGAACTGGAATGAAGCCGAACAAAACGGATGGTTTTCAGGGGATGGATGGGCAGTAATAAGCTGAGGTATGATAGCTAATATGGTTGCTTGCCGAAGGTAATATTGCGCGTTGACGTTGAAGTTGATATGTGCTGTTGCTGTTGATACCCAAACGAGAGACTTGACGACCCGACGAGGCCCCCCCCCCCCAATCTTCATGGCTCCCACCGACCGCCTCTAGTTGAACCCGTCGAAATGCCCCTTCAAGATCCTCTCACCCATAGGACTGGGTGCGCGTCTGATCGACCCCGTATTCACAGTAGCGCTCCGTGGCTTCCTCCTCGGGGAGGAGGAAGCAGGCGGGTTCGGAACCGAAGACATATTGCTGACTGGCTCAGCAGCGAAGGACGATGGCGGAGCTGCGCTGGGGGACATAGGGGTAGGCGGGGGAACATGAACGTTGGCAGAGGGGGAAGTGGGGCCCGGGATGGGTGGCTATGGAGTGTAGAGATTAGTTCACGCAGTTGAAGGGATAACATGAGGACTACTCACCCTAGCGAAGGCGCCGCTCAAGCTGAGGCGCCTGAGGAGACCTGCTCCACGGCTGTCTGGGGCAGCTTGCGGAGAGGGAGCGACAAAGCTAGAGGACTGCTGCGAGAAGCGCCCACCGGCGTACGCAGTGCTTGCTCTGCGGGCATGGGTAGGGGTTGGAGTGGCGTCGCGGTCGCGGGACGCAAAGGCCTCGTCGTCGTCTACGAGGAGGAAGAGGGCGTCAGCAAAGGCGTGAAACATGGGGGGGGGGGCGAGAGGGAGAATGTGGGAGTTGAGAGCTGACATACCATCGGTGACGGCACTGCCAAAGCCCCTAGCCCGGAAGGGGAAGGTCGCTGCGGCGGGGTTCTTCGTGGGGCTCTGAGAGAGAAAGTAGGAGAGGATGGGGGAGGACGGGGAGACGGCGGCGGCGCCCGAGTTGGCGGCGACGCGGGGGTTGTTGAGGGGGAGAGGCAGTGTGGGCGGGGTGCGCAGTGGGAACGGGGACGACGGGGACGCGGAGGCGTCGGAGGCGTCGGAGGGTGTCTGGGAGGGCGAGCGGCGGCGGTGGTGGTGGGCGGGGTCGATGGGGATGGGGGACGAGTGCTTGACGGGGACGGGCGAGGCGTTGGCGACGGCTGAGGACATGGCAGAGAGAAGGAAAGAGAAGGAAAGTAGAAAGGCGGGGGCGACGAGAGGGCAGGTTATATAGCGCAGGATCGAGATCCAGCGACCTTGCTGCGTTAGGAAGCCGGGCGATCCCACGCATCCGCTCTTCACGCTCTTCACCTGTGACAGAGTCTCCAGCTGCGCTCTATTCCTGGCCGCAAGTGTGCTCCAATTCACCGCATGTTCCTTGGGCACTGTCTCCCGTTGCTCGCCCTCGACGCGGACGAGCTGGACTCGCGCACGGCTAGTGCAAGCCAGCGCAGCGGAAGCTACAACAGTAACATTGATCACATTGCATTGAGTGGCGCCCCGTGACTGATGTGCTCCATCCGTCCAATACAGTTGCGTTAAATCCAGCCCAAACCTCTCCACTGCGCTGGCTCGGGGCTTGCCTTGCGTCTTCTTCGACCAACAATAGCCTTTCTTCCTTCAAGTTCCTTGCCCCAAGCTGATCCTCTTGTCCCCGCCAGTGTTCAGCCTCACTGCGAATGGCCAACTATCTATCCCACTGGCTAAATCCAGCTGCAGCGCATCGCACGCTTTTATTATCAGAAGGTTCGGTACGCTCTCTAAATTTGTCCAACAATATTGAGCATCCGATCTGCTGGGCTGTCCCCCACTCCATTCAAGCGTACTATCTTGTCGTCAAAGCTGTCTTTCGGCACCTTACATCTCCACAGTCAATCCTGTGTGGTGCGCCTGCAGTCCCCGGCCGCTGTTGCCGTGCTTTGCGCGTCCACCCACTCGTCCTGGATCCTCCCAGACAATTCCAGCCCGGTCTGGTTCCAGTGAACTCCACCTATCTATCAACCGTCCTAAGTTTGTGTCCGATTACCTGGGAATAGACTTGACAGCCAAATTCCAGGGAGCTATTCGCTACGCTGATGGTAGCTACGGTTTTTAGACTCTGCGTGTCCGATGGACAGTCTCGAGAGCAGGCAGCGCTGTTTGAACTCGCCCTGTTCGTCGCAGTGAGCCGCGCCCACCGCTAGCTACCGTCGGCAAGACTAGCCAGAGCTTCCTGCCATTACTTCTGCGAATGTTGGCCTCGACGCGCACCCTGTGGGCGCCAAGGAGTCTCCCACAATTCTCCCTGCGGGGTGCGAACTTCTCGAGGCTCATTCAGCCGTCACAACCTGCACATATGACATCGGTCATGCGTCGGACGACCTCCACTGGTGACCTAGTCTCTTCACCTCCGTAGACTCTAACCTGGCGCTAATCCCTTGCGTCCGCTATCGGGTCCAATTGCCTTCGTTCACGTGTGATCCGACAGCTTCCGTTCGTTCGTTCTGCATAGTCTTGAAATAAAAATACGTATGCCAACCTCTTCCCTGCGACAGACTGCCGAGCATCGAGCGTCCGAACTACTGGGCGGGGACTCTCCCTCACTCCCTGCTCTGCCGAGACTCCGAGCACTACATCTGACCCTTAACCCCTCAAACCCACTCTCTTCTACATTCTGACGCCAGCACGCAGAGTCGTCAGCTCTCCGTCGATGCTGAAGCTCTTGCGTTACCACGCCCCGTCCAGACAGCCCTGGTCCCTGGGCCACTGCACCCGCCCATGGCTACTTCGGGTTTCGCGTGCAGTAGATCGTTCGCCAACGAAGACGATATCGATGTGCATCTCTCGTCTCACTTCCGTCCCCGCTTGCGCCCGGATCTGTAACCCCAGATTCCATGCACACCCATGGAGATCCCGTCCTTCCTGAGCCTGGCTTCCAGCCGCCCGCTACCTGCTAGAAAGCTGTACGCAGTCTTGGTATGACACGGTTTTCGTCCACTCCTGCGGATGGCGCGCGAGATGGGCACTCCTGACGCCAAACACCGCGCGACAGTCAACTTCGCAACACCAACCCGGACTGACGATCTCTCAACTTGCCCGCGCAGGTGTCAACGGGCTTTTACCAGGCATCGCAGCTCTCCCGAGGTCAGTGTGGGCTGGAGCCTCTCCGTACATGTGTCGTCGCAGCGGGTTCTCCATTCCTGCCCGGGCTGCTCCCGTCGCCGCGCTGTGTATTGTCTGAACCTTTCTCACCAGTGCTTCTGGTGTGGCACTGCGGCCATGCGCGTCTACCGTCCGAGAAGTGCATGGGTCCCGGACTCCCCGGCGATCCGTGTCCTGCCTTGAAGGTGCCCCTTGGCCCTTCGCCTGTTTCTTCGATGACCACCCGATCGCGCTTGGACGTGCCAGGCCTGTGCCTCACCGGGCCTCTTTCCCTTGTGCCGCCGATCCAGAGGACCGTTTCATCAAATCAGTCTGATCGTGGGGGTGTGTCGACAGCTCGAGGGGTTTCCGTCGTGGTTAGCTCGTTCGCTATGTGTAGTTAGTTGGCAATGATAAGGAGAGGCATTCCGATCCCCGCCTCGCGTTCAATAGCTTTTATGCGACGAGCGCGGTCGCAGGATCTTCACGTCCCTGCGAAAGCGAGCATGAACTCCGGTCCCCAACACAAGCATTCCATCCACCATACACATTTCATATACCAAGAAACAAGTCCCTCCGTCACATCGATAAAACTGACAAGCAACGTATCCAACATCAAGCAATCTAACACAATTTTTGGCTGACCTCTAAGCACGCCAAACCGATTTACTTATGGTTCCCCGCAAAGAACTCCGCCGCCCGCACGTTCCGCTCCGCCCACACCTTCGCGATCGCGGGGCGCGCCAGCATGCGCCTCACCCACGCGTCCACGTGCGGCGCCGCCCGCGCGACGTCCCAGTCCGGCAGCGTGCGCCGCAGCCCGCCGACGTGCCAGGTGACGAAGGACTGCCAGGGTAAGGGTGAGTACGGGAAGAGTGGACGGGGAGAGGGGGGGGGGGACGCACGAGGTCGGCGACGCCGAACTTGCCGCCGACGAGCCAGTCCTGCTTGCGCAGCACGGACTCGAGCACGCCGACGACGCGCTTCATCTCGGTCTCGTAGCGCTCGATCGCGGAGGGGATTCTGCAGGTCCGGTGAGGACGGACCCTGGTATAAAGTGGAGGAGCTGCTTACTTCTCAGGGTGGAGGGATTTGAACCATGCGGCCTAGCAAAGAGGTGCATTAGCAGCCGGGCTTTGTAGCATGATTTGGGGAAGTGTACCTGTCCGAAGTAGGGGCCCTGGCCGGACGCCTGGAAGAGCAGCCACTGCAGCTGCGTGTACTATCCAATGATACCGAGTCAGACCTCTGGTAATGGTAGTCAGAGAAAACTGCTTTGAGACACGAACCTTGTCGTTGTCGTTGTTCAGCGCAAATTTACCCTCCTTGTCGTGCTTGTCGACCAGGTACTGCAAGATCGCGCACGACTCCCACAAGGTGAAGTCGCCGTTCCTGCGAGCGAGCCTCAGTTAAACCAAAGGAGCCGTGCGGTAGGGGCAATATAGACGTACGTGTGGTCCACGAGGGTGGGCGTGCGTCCGTTCGGGTTGAGATCGGTGTAGGGCGGCTTCTTGTGCTCGCCGACGCTAAAGTCCAGGTAGACGCTCTCGTACTCGAGGCCGAGCTCTTCCAGGAGCATGGCGACCTTCCAGCCGTTGGGGCCGCTCTGGTAAGGGCCGGTGAGTGAGTATCGAGAAACGCGAAGGGGTGAGGAGTCCGTACCTTGTGCGTGTACAAAGTGAAAGGCTTCTTGTGAGACATTTCGGAGAACTAGTTGTGTTTGTGAGTAGGTGGGCAAGAGGCTGAGGTTGTCTTCGTTGGTTTGCTTTCCACCTCCATTTCCTGGCCTTAGCTTTTATACCTTTGGCCTCCCTCCTTGTATCCGGACCGCAGTGCAAGGCTGTCCCTACAAATCCACAAGGGCCCTATCCTCCCCTGACTCAGGCAGGGGTTGCATCACCCTGCGAGACATCCCTGTGGCTGACGCGTCGACGAGAAGGGCTTGCGCCGCCCTCTGCATCAGCTATTAGCGCGAACGATCAATGCTATCCCTGAGCAAATAAGACCTCATCTGGACGAATATCTGGGAGGCATCCGGTGGAAACACGATCCGACGCTACGCAATTGATCACTCGAGTCATAAATCAGTAGCAGGCTGACAGTCGCCGGCTTCAGACATATCCGGATTGGGGTATGTCGTAGGTATGTCGCGTTTGCATCGGGCGCAGCCTCACAGGACGATTGATGACCTCAAAGTGATGAACTCAGTTGATTTCGTGACTAGCATCATCTATCTGTGGTAGAGTACTACATAGTACTCATAGTCTTCCAGTGTCATCATCGATCGCAGCACAAATTTAAACACGGTGGTATAAGCAGATAATAGTGAGTTCTTACCACTAGTCCATGTCTCCAACGATAGACTTGTGCTAGTGTTGTGGAATGTGAACTTTGAGGACAAGAAGCAGAGATCGCTCACTTATTAGAGACCTGCAGTCGGTCCAAAGTCGGTACAAGGTCCCGATGACGAAAACCCACGTAAAGCTCTAGATCTGAAATCCTTGTTTATATCGAATCTGCGCCAAGGCAATCCGTGATTGGTCGAGGAATGCTCCTTCTTTAATCTCTGGTCTCGTGGACTCCTTCGAGTGCCTTGAGGACTGGGAGCACGGCGTTCTATTTGTGGTTGGATATCGGAATGAGGGCATCGGCGCTGGCAGTGAACGGCAGACGCAACACATTCCCGTCTCCCTCGACCACTGGCATGTCTGCAACGCGAACGACGACCTAAACCTTTACGTCGTCGACCTCGAGGTGACCAGCAGTGGACCATATATATATGTGAATATTCGCCGAATGATTCCCCGCACTTCACTCCGACTGACATCTTCGCTGTATATTTAGTAGCATTGAATTGCCAGTAGACCCAGGAGGTGCGTTTAGAGCGCCATACGCCTTACATGAACGAAAAGTGGTTCGCTCTTCTTATAGACTGGTCTGTAGAAATAACTGCGCAGTCTCACAACCTCGCCTATGGGCAGGCCGGTCCATGCGACGTGAGCCTCATGCTTCTCCCAGTTCCTCACCTTGATGATCCTATCTGTGAAGAGCGCCAGTAACTAGGAATATCTGAGCTGGACTTCGAATGCGTCGGCGTCATGAACAGCGCAGGCCCGTTCACCCTTCCAAATATCAAGGCTCATCCACAGGACTATATTGGGCCCGGCCTGGTCAGCTCGTTCGTGCAGGCTATCCTCACTGGTATCATCTATAGCCAGTCCGTGCAATTCTGGACTCAGTCGCATCGTGAAACACCCATCGTGAACTGTCTCGTGGGCTTCGTATCGTCAGTGGCAGTGTAAGCACTTGTGTCATCCGATGGTCCTGGTCGCAGCTGATTACGTTCTTCTGTAGGTACCAGACGGTTGCCGCATTCTATGTCACATGGCGGGCTCATGTTACATTATATGGAGACTGGGTGAGCATGAGCATTGCCATTGTGCATCAGATGAGGACTGAGCTTGCTTACAGGTTAATGCAGTCAATTTTGCTTGGCCTGATAGAACGCAGAACGTAGTCGTCAGTGCGCCGAAAGCAGAGCAGAGAGAGGCCCCTAAGATCTGATGAATATTCATAGACGACGGTCATGTCTTGCCCCGTTCAAGTCTTCCTCATCTGGAGATGCTACATTGTGAGTCGTGTGCCTGCTTCGATGCTGAAGTCTCGACTGAATTTATTCCCCATTGAGTTATCGAATAGGAAGCTCACGACTCTAGTCAGTGATGCTTATCCTTCTTTGAACCAGTCAACTTGACGGCTTGTGTTGCGCTCCTCGTGCTAGTTGCCGCTTAGTGTACTATTGCTCGGATGCGTCGTAGTCAGCGCAGTCACTACTGCGATGGTATTCAACTTCGATTTCGTCGCTCCGCTACGAGGACCTGTACCTCCCCTTGTGAGAACCTTTACTTATGTGACCGGTGACCAACGAGCTCACAGATACTAGCCCAGCGACGGTGAGTAATCTGCCGTCTATTATTTATAGTTGGCGAAGGCCAACTGCTCACGGACCTATCAGTCGCGCTGAATATCGAAATCAATTGTTGGTCTCATCTTCTGGTCCTGTGAGTTATAATGTGCTGATCAATGCTGCAGACACATTGAATATGGTATTCTCCGCTGGTAAGTAGCATTGACAGCAAGGGGACACAGCTGTCTGATCTGAACGGTGATACAGCAATGGACGTCGCTTTAACTTCCATACGTAAGTACATACCCGGGCTCTCGAGTTTCGTTATCTCGACACACCAATTGCAGTCTTAGTATATCTGCTTCGGTCTCGGTCAAGTGTTGCTACACATCAGTTTCGTAAGGTACGGGCTTGGCACGCGGATCCCGTTCTTCCGAAATTAACTATGGGTCTTCCGTGCATTTAGGTCCTTTACGGCCTCGTTGCTATTACATGGGAATCTGCGCTTCCGCCCTGTGCATGCGCTATAGCCACCCTCGCTGTCTTCCTACGATGGGTCAGTGGACCTTTTGAGATTTGTATCATTGCATGACTGATCCCCCCTTCCCTCCAGGCGGAGCATAACTACTGGAACTTGGTGTTCCAGGCTACATTGGGCAAATTATACGTGATATCGCTGCTGTTTACCTTGTATGTGTTTGCTTCCTTCCCTCCATACCGGACCTGTTGTCATATCTTGTGCATCCAGGAACAGCAGGGCGGAGCTTCGCGCCAAAGTACGGGCGAATGAACTGGAGTTGCCGGATATATACTGGACGTCTCTCCCACAACCAAGGGTGAGTGTGTCCCCGACCGCGTTGTTGCTTGACACTGACATACCCGCCGAGCAGGGAGATGCCCCCGAGCCCTTTGCTGATGAGATAGACCTGGGTCCTGTGAGCCCTCAGGTGTCAGTGATCAGGCATGCCGTGGAACCCCGTGAGAAGGACAAGGATTGGTTCGCGGGCGGCTCAAGTCAGGCTTGCGGCTCCTCTCCCTCTCAGCCCTCGACCCTTGTGTAACACGAGTCTGACATCCATTCAGACATCGCACGTGGCCCGTAGCGGTCAGAGTCGAGAGCACCGTGAATTATGCGAGAACCAAATTTGCAGTAATGATCCAGACGAGAATGTACGTACATTAGCAATGAACGGAGGGATGACAATGTCGCCCTGAAAGCTCGCTATGGCTCATGCACGGAGGCAGATAGGTTGGCACAGTTCTCCCATATACCATGCATGATCATTATACTAATATAAAACACTACCATATCGTACATGTCTCTCCTCTTGGCGACGGCCCATAAGTTAATTTACAAGAAGATATTACAGTCAATCACTATGTGCAAACACAACCGAATGCCCAATCGAGATGAGAGACGCGAACATGAAAATTGGGTGGATTGGCACGAAGTCGGTTGCCTGCGCACTTCTAACTCCTCAGTCACCCCCTACTAGAAACCTGAATTTGAGTAGTGGCACGAGATGCCGCGAGGGAACTAGAGCTGGGGGGTAGATCGAGCGGGGATGGAGGCAAGAGGGCAGGGTCTTGCGTTGCATCCAACCGCACACCCGATATTGATCGGCTACCGACACCATTCGGCGAAGTACTGCCCTTCGCGGGCAAGTGGAAATACGAGTCGCATGCCGATGCAACTCGGTCGGAACTGGCTTGACGCGACATTGACGATCGGCGACGCTTCAGCGGGCGCAGGCCGGGTGATGTGAATAAAGGCGGCGACGACGGCGCTGACAATGTCAGCGGTGTTAGTGAGTCCGGCGACGACGCTGATGCGAATACAGCAGCAGGTATATGAACTTCAGGAGTTTGGAAGTTCCCGCCTGGTGTGCAATCGTGGAGCGTCACTTGCTAATGAGACATGAGCATCCTCCCAACATCCACAACCTTGTTTGCTTACTCGGCACGGCGCTTCCAGGACGGGGAGACGAGCAATTTTGGACTTGAGAGTCGGCTGTCGCCTGGGCGAAGAGGATGGGCTACCACTACTATCCAAGGGAAGATATAGCGGAGTTCGAGTACTTGAAGGACGACCGATGAATGTGGTAAGCGACATTGAAATGTCGAACTAGTGCGGCCTTCTGTGAGAACAGATGGAGGCTGCGTTCAGGCAAGACCTTGAAGATCACGTCCGAGATCGTCGTCAGATTTATACTTCGTGGCGAATAAAATAATCGGAACGGGGCAGAACGGCTTGGAATGAGTAATCGCGCAAGACAATACAGAGCAATGCTCCCCGAACCGGAAGGAACATTGTGGAAATCAGCGTCAGGCGCAGTAAGTGACACCTCCCGACCGTCATGGATGACGCTCCCATGGAAGTGCATTCGGGAGCGCGTGGTCCCACGTGGGACCTCGTGGACCTCAGTAAGCCAATAGGGCGCAGTCGGCACAATCGGCTTTGCAGTTGACTACCTCCCGCTGGTTAATTCATGGAATATCAGTGCTACTAGTTTCGGCAAAACGTATGTTGGGCTAGAGTCTTAATTGGTGCCAAAGTCGAGCCGGAATATTGCAACTTGACTCACCGCGGAACGCAACGGCGCCACAGGAATCAAGATTGCCATGATGACCAAATCTAGTGAGCATCTTGACAAAGACCGTTGATGGTAAGGTAGATCGGAATCAGTGTGAAAGTCTGAGGGCATAAATGAGGATCAGGAACGTCGTGACGATCCCCCGCCGCTCGAGAGCACATACTTCCCGGTGACTTCGAGCATCCTAGCATCCCACCACAGGTCACCACACAACGCTGCCGTCGCGTAGAAGGAATTGTTCGAGAATTATCTCCACCGTTATTTTGGATCGAGGGGCGGAAGACGAGTACTAGAATAATGGTCGGTTTGACAATACAACCGTTGAGAACACGAGTCGAGAACAGGAAGGAAGTTGCGAGTAGTTTGTCCTCGTCAATCGCCATTCTCTTATGTACCCCACACCGACCCCACACCGATCAAGTTCGAGCGCGCCCTCCAATAAGGCTAGGCGACCGTCCTTCGTCAATATTACACAGGATGACATCAGAGAATGAGGTGGCCGAGACGAAGATGCCAATCCGTTGACTCGTTACGCTGCGATTCGCAGGGGCTGAGACTGATCAAAGTAGCCTCATGGCGATGCGGACTAGGTCCCTACCTTTCAAGCCAAAAGAACCTACAAAGATTTAACAGAGCATGACACTGCGCAACTTAAACCGGTGATTCCTGCAGGTAAGTTGTCGGAGCTACTTTGCGAGCTAGTGGATTTGTGGCGTAGGACCTCGCCGTACGTACAGTTCGCTTGGGTGAAGGATAGAGCAGTAGTCCGTCAGCCCGACTTCCCGTTCGGTGGATAAGCACACGTAAATGACGCACTCAGCTCCAGTTTCTTTCACTTCAATAGTCGAGATCGTTGCCAACCAATACGTGTGACGTTGCCGATGACCTCAGCTCTCTTGGAGGTGGAAGCGCGGGCAGAGGTATAAAGAGCGACGGGGGTGGCCTCTTCAACAAGCATTCCCATCGCACCACATCGACGAAGCTGCCTTACAACGAATCCATCTAGCATCTGCAACAATGGTGAGTAGCTTCGGCATGACTGATAGAGCTTCTCCTGATTATATAAACTCTAGGCTGGTTCATACAAAGTGAGTTGACCTCAGGGACCGGGATTCGCGAGTAGATTGCTCACCGGCGATTACGCTATGCAGGTCGGTGATAAGGTTGAGTATCGCCCTGTTGGCGGAGCCGAGGACAATGTCTCCCACAGCACGGGTGAGATCGTAGATATAGTAGAGGCGGATGGAGTGAGTGACAGCAGTCGGCATATGGTAATGTCGTTATGCCTTACTCACATTCGCGTCCTGCTCAGGAGACCCGCTATGCGATCAAGAATGACAACACCGGCAAGACTACCAACTATCTCGTAGGTAATTTGCTATTCGTTGGCAGCACTGGGACTGACTGGGCCGTTGCAGGAGATGAACATAGTGAAGAAGATATAAGTTGTGGTCACATGTATAACGCAATGTACTCCAATCTGTAATCTTAATATATCACTCGCCTTGCTATAGTGTTTATTATTGTTGTGATGAAATCTGAGGGATCGTCGAGAACACTATCTCAGGAATGAGTAAACTCACAAGTGCTAGCGTTTCTTGGTTCCAGATAAGAGATTATGTATTTTCGCTGCGTCAAATAATAGCGAGAATGCATAACCAATTCCTGTCCGCTGGCCCACAGCATGATCCTACAGCGGTCCGGCGGCGGGCAGAATGCGTACCCCTGTAGAGATACGTGATCACTCTCGGCGAACCCAGGACTGGGCCGAGCGCCGGCTGCAACTTTGTGGTCGGCGGCGAGGTAGATGTAGCGACCGGTTATTGATGGGTTCGAATGAGAACAGTCTGAGAGCAATGGTGGCTGGAGGAATACTGCGCTGGTTGTAATGGATGCCTTTCGGGAGCGCGCCCAAGCATCAAGCAGATCAACCGCAACGACTACCTTAGTAAACTGTGAGATTGACATCACCGGTCACAAAATGTATGTGAACGATTGCTTACTCGTATCCTTGCTGGTGCATGACTGTGTCGATGCACGTAGGACGCATGTATCAGATAATGTCAGCTTCAGATAATCAGGCTAGGGCTGATCGTAACATACGAAATACGACTATACCAGTCTCATGGACGAGGTAACGACTGTTTCCTGACTGCCTGCCAATGCACATTGCCCAGTTCCGAGTCTCGAATCTGTTGAGTACTGGATGTCAAATAAACATGGCTGGGGCCTGGCGGATATCCCAGCCAATTCTGATGTGCACTGCGAATTTCGAATGGCAAAGCACATGGCTCCATTTTCTCACTATAGGCGGGATAACAAGGGCGTGCAACTTGAATACTGACCGTGCTTACAAGTTTGGGTACCGTCACTTTTGATTACGCAATATTCGAGGCAAGAGTCGGGGACAGCCTGAGTCCCTCGGTTCGGACTCGGAATTCCCCGGATGATTAACATCTTCGTGGCACAATCGTGGCATCCCGCAGAGCTTGGGTGGTTTATCGAACCGAAGAGGACCCTATGGCGATATTGGAGTCTTCAAATGCTATGCCAACGCTTGGTTACTGTGCTTGTCTCCCCTCTTCGGGCCAGAAATACTGCATATCACTGTATGTAGAAGCGGGTTCAATTTCTTGCACTCCTAGTTACTGGTCGCCCGCGATTATCAGAAATCATGCACCGCTGATACTTACGCAGGGATATCACAGGTAGCCGTCGGTGCAGCTCGGTGCATAATTCCCACCGATGTGGTATACAACGCTTCTCCCGCGCTGGCTACCTCCGAGCACATTCTCTCCGGTAGCTTGTCCGTCTCTTGGGAAAGCTTGGCCCATCATAGATGTAGGGGATCCCTTGGCATTTCGTGGGTTCTCTCCCACAGTACCTTGTGCGAAGGAAGGCGACCTGCGAAGGAGAACAGCGCCGATTCGGGGGAGCCAGCGCCCCCTTTCCCTCCCAGTAAGGGCGCCCGTAGCGAGCGATATCCAGGAACTCGATTGCGAAATCAGCCAAAACGCAGTAGCTTCCTACGTGCTGTAACCGAGGGATAAGCTTGCTCAGAACGGCGCCCGCAAGGAAGCCTGCCTTCCTATGCATTCTCCGCCCGCGCGGTCGCGCTTACTATCACACTGTGACGGTGATGCAAGGCTTGAACCAAGCTACTAGTGATTCTCCATATGTTGGTTGAGTTTAGCTTTTTACAGGATGCATGCTTGCCTTCCTATCTCTCCGACTTCAAGTTCCATGCGTCATGGCGGCTACTAAAGAGTGCCAGTCAAATATGCCAGTGGGTTACTTACGGGTCGATGGAGTTCGTTTATGACGGTTTCCAGACCAAGTTAGGTTCGGTCGGGAAGAGCTCACTAGATGGGTTTGCCTGTTCTTCTATAACTAACGACTGGGGTCTGGTCTGTTCAGCACGGAAGTCTGGACGGCTATCTGCCTCGGTGTCGCTAGGCCCAGTTCTCCCCAGCCTGCCTGGAACCGGACTATAGGGATATTCCAATCATACACTATAGGTTACCGAAGTGTCCCTTGCGTCAAAGCATTAAGACGATATTTCTGGCCTCTCTTGGCGGCTTCCCATGAATGACAGTCAGCAACAGCCTTTTCTTCGAGCCCGATCAAGCGCAAAGATTTCGACAGAATATGGTCAGGCGATGGGGAACGCGAGAGCCGGGACTCGGCATGTCTGATTGAAAGTATGTCGTCAGCAGCGTCAGCAATATTCACGACTCACTTCCACTCTCATGAAAATGCTCGCAGTTTCGTGTTGGTAGAAGGTGGCCGGATTTTATGTGAGTGTTCCATGTGGATCCTCGACTGTTTGATAATCCTGAGCTGTCTGATAGTCCTGAGTAAGCTATCTATCTCCATCCCGTTCTCGGGTAAGAATCTCTTACAAAAGGAGTACTAGTCCGCCTCTGCTTCTTGATTAGAATTTCCATCTAGACTGCGCATGGCCTGCCCCGACCAGACTGCACGCACGAAGAAGGATGCGGGAAATGCTTCCATGGCTTTCGCTGTCTAATTCAGGGTAAAACGCGATAGGAGGTGCTATTGTTCCTGCTGAAGTGCGTCGTACGTGCTATTATAAGGTCTGAATGGCATTTTTCCGAGTTGTAGTGGAGTCCCATCCACATAGCAGACGAGAGTGGCTGCCAGTGTCTGAGGTAGGTATTAGCCGGGACGTCGTGCTTTGGATTTGCGCATGCGTGATGGCAGCGTCGTAATTGACATTGCACGCTTATCATCTCTCTCCCCGGATTGACTTATAGTGAGGCTAGGCTTGAAGGTTCAGACCTCGTGCCATATGTAATGTGAATATGCTGCGGGCCTTGTCCTAAGGGATACCGAGGAGGATCGGATCCCGAGAAGGAACATCGATCGCAGCGGGATCGCCTGGTTGGCGCCTCTATTTTTATGACCGGTATCCTCAAGGTCCTATATGCTACGAGTAGCATCTGTCCCATAGCCCTGCGTGCGGGTGAGTACAAAGTCGCCCTCTATTATATACAGGCTCCGCTGCTCAGATCGTCTTTTGTCTAAGGCCAGCACCTGCTTTACTGGCCTTTCTGTCGTATACGTCTTTGACCAAGGTGCTCAGATCAACAGCACGGGTTCGCACGGGTATGCACCCGAACGATTCCACTGCACCGTCACCAGCATAATACTCGGCGAAACAGCTCCCCATGAGGGCGGGTACATATTTCAATTCATTCCTGTCACGGTCTCGAGTGGTAAGGCGTACATACAAGTCGATGAGGCACGCATCTAATCTGATAGACGTCGCTGATCTCTTGGCGCTTCAGTCCGGCGTCTTGGCCTAAGCCTTCTTTGAGAATTTCCGGTGAGCGCTACATATCGGCGGTGAGCAAGTCGAGATCTTCTCCCAGTCATATCCACCGCCTACGACCCGGTCGAATCTCACAGTGTAGATTTCGTGTATGGCTATATTAATTACCTTCGTAGGCTTTTGTCACTGTCATGGACACAAACTTCTGCAATACTCTGAATTATCGTGGACCACTCGCGTCTACTAGGACCCTAAGCTAGCGACGTGGGAAGGCGTCATTCACACCTTCCTCAGGTCCAGCCGACCACTCTGTATGCCAAGCCCTCGTCGTTAAATAGGTCTATGTATCCACCCCGCTCTTGTCATCGAGACCTAACGGTAGCCGAATTACCACAGTGCGCGGTTAGTCTTGGTGTCGTACCCACGCCTGGAATGGACGCAAGTGAGTCGAGTTAAAGTTCAGCTTGGCACGGCTTCCAAGTAATACCGCCGGCGCGAGCGTGGTATTGCGGTGCCATGGCTGTGGCCATCAATCTTCAATTCTAGGGCTGACCCACTCCGAGCGGAGGTTACACATCGTGGGCTCTGACCTTCCAAGAGACATCGGGTCCTGAATATCCTTCGTCGTGGACACCCACCGGCATGTAACAGGCTACGGCGGACTCACGGATGAGGGGGGCTCGAGACCTAAGCCTCAGTATCGGTCAGAGATCCGCTCAAGCTGGTTCGATTAGTAACCGTTAATTAACAGACATCCGATACGTTTGTACTAAACCTTATGTGTGGAGGTCGGACATGAGAATCGGCAGGGAGTTGAAGCGACTGACCAGACCAACTCTTTACATAAGGACTACATTCAATTAACAATAAATATCCGTGACCATGTGCTAACGCACGGCTCGAGTTTCGTAACTGGCATAGTAGAGAGGTCACTGAGGAGGCTCCCAACTCATAAAGGAATCCTTCCATGACGCTTGGTTATGGATATTTCGGAAGGAGGACAGTGAAGGGGACATCGTTGTCGACAAGGTCGGCGAGACATGGTGCGTACCCTGCGGGCGCAAACCCGTCAACGTAGTCGAAAGGAGTTGACGACCCTGCCTGTTGATGGTAGAGCCATGTACGTCGCCGGTGGGTGGCGCGACGTTACCGACTGTGTTTCTACACCTCCATTCAGTAACAAATTACGGAAAGACTTGATAAATGACTCACGCAACGAAGGCATCCAACTCAACTATTAGCTGATGAAGCAGACAGGTAGATTCCGAATGATGTCTGTTGGAGCGGCCCAAAATCTCTGCTGCTTTTCGCAGGCGTAGGGTTAGCTCCAGAACGACGGTATAGCTGGATGCCTCATTGAGACATCCGCAATGTCCTTCCCGGTGTCCAGCGGCTGTAGAACATGTATCCAACAGGATACTTGCGTCCTTTGTTGGATCAGGATGAAGAGCCCGATCCAACAGATCACCAAACAACCCATCTTCCACCATGTCCAGCTGAGGATAGTTGGCGGAGAATATGTTAGCGAGGTGGCCATTGGGAATCTCGTTTGGCGGGTCGGATGCGATTGCCACCGAAGGACGCTGTCCATCATCTCTAGGCGTTAAGACCAGAGGAGATGGGCTGTCGAACGAGGGAGGAGAGTCGATTGTGAGCGGGTAGGATGCAGTGGACATGGTACGGGTTTCTAGAGCCAGGCTAGGTCGGGAAGGAGATAACCGCCCTTGGCCAGGGCTAGTCGAGATGTGTGTAATGACGGAGGTTCGGTCTACGCTCATCTGCCTGGAGGTGGAGCATGGCGAGGATCCGGCAGAACTTCTTAGGGCACCATCGGTATTTTCAAGGCAAGAGGACGGCGGCGATTTAGAACTAGAAGCCTCGCGTTGGCTCGCCGCTTGCATCTGCGCTTGAACCCATCGGGGATGCGGCTTGTTCTTGAGCTAAGTGGACGACATTCAGCACAGGGAGGCAACGTCCGGTTAGGGTGGTTATACCTCTCTGATCACTCGCTCAAGTTCAGCTACGCGACTCTGAAGTCGTGACTTCTCGTCCTGGTCATCGCTTCTGGACAGGTCTTGTTAAGAGAGGTGAGCCGGAGTTCGTGGCACACGTACTGACCGCTGAGAAGGGTCGTCTATCTCATATATACACAACCCCGTCTGCAAAGTACATCGGTAAGTAGGAATTAGAGCACCGCCGGCGATGGCGAACATACCAAGCCGAGCTGTGTGCATCGACCACAGGGCCGCTTTCTATCGCACTACAGAATTGTTAACACCGGGTACGGTGCAGTGGGAAACTGCCATACCATACGCTTAGAAGTATGACAGTTCAGGCATGATTGCGTAGTCCTGTTGCGTCGGCGTTTCCTGTGGTCGGTGTCGGCAGTCTGGGCAGAGCCCTCGCTTGTACCGCGCTTTCTGCGAGTAGGGGCTTCGGATGACATGACGGATGGTTCCCGATACACTTCAGGTAGTGGGTAGGTAGCAATGTTTCGTACTTGTAATGAGCCTGGAGGTTTTAAATCTCCGAGCCACCAAGAGTAATCCGAAAAGGAGTAAGAGCGGAGGGGGCACGTGAAGCACTGCAAGCGTCCCTTGAACCCAAGGGGGAAACAAGGACACCATTGAAAGCTTTAACATTAAGTAGGGTCGGGGAGCCAAGATCGAAGCCGCCGAGATAAAGATCGAGAGCCCTGTGAAAGAGGTCAACCTACATCCATGAGAATGCGACGGAAGAAGCGTACAGTCAACATTCACTCACTGATTGCGCGCCAGTACAGGGGGATTGTGAGTTCGGAGCCACCCACCCGCTGTATGACGGCATTTCATTCGAGAAAGACTGGAGCACCGAGAAGAGCATATCAGTCAGTTCGGGTATTCTCTGTTGGCGTCACTCGCGAAAGCAGTACTTACGGCAGCCGCATCCAATGACTACTCATGGGAAGATCGCACTCATGGAAGTTTGATTGAGTCCTACCTCCATCGGTTACTGATGCTGCCGAGACACTCAGGATACCCAGAACGTCCGTGCCACTGGCAGTGATGCAGTTTTCGGATGAAATTGCGGGTGACACCGGCGTGTAACCAGAGCTGCAAGTCGCGCCGCCTACGTGGTAGGGTTCGAGATACCGTCCCAATTGGCTGTCGTGGAGATACCCGGCCGCAAGTGACGCTTCAAAAATAGGCGTCTCCAAGCATGCGCAGGTAGATGTCTGCGACAATGGAATAATATATCGCTCAGGATGCCGGATGTGATTAATCACTGATCAATCCGTATACTGGTATTAGGGACGGCCAGCCGAAACAGCTTTCTGTTATACGAACAAGTTACGCTGATTGGACTTGAACGTTACCGAGTCAGCTCCAGTCGCTGGAAGATCCTAGAACCAAGCCTTCAATTCGCGAAGTCAAGGGTCCAGCGACTGTCCGGAACTAGTCTGCGTCAGGGCGCATTGCCAGACACATAGGCATAGGGTCCATAGGGCAATACACGCCCGTATCAGTTATCATTCCTGCTTCCCTTTCCGACAAATCACGAAGTCCAGATGGCGGGACAAGGTCACAATGAGCCCTCTTGGAAACTGAGTGTGTGCTCCCGAGCGTAGGGCATCCTCAAAGCCGATCCCGACTTATTGAACGCTCAACCTATCCCATTGGTTTGTCGCCCATTGGGGCCGCGCACATTTCTCGCCAGCTCCACGGAAAAGAATTCCCCCTCCTGGAACAGCACCACGTACCACGAAGATAGTGCATGTTCCGTTGCAATTGTATTCGGTTCGATGACTATGTTGGGACTTGTTCTTTTGAAGTGGTAATTAGAACCGCAGTAACCGCTCAGAATATTGCCAATTTCCTCACATGAGAAGTGGTTTGAGAGACCTTGGGGGAGGGCCTTCGGATACCACATAGGGCGCAATCGGGTCGATTGTCCAAGTCTCCCACGACAGCACTGCGCTCGACCACCCCAACTAACTGCCTGATAGGAACGCAGGATAACAGATTTCATTCGTAACAAAACCTGACCTTCTCATCAGCCTTTGAGCAAGGGCGGTCACATCCGGGGATCCTGCCAAGAACACAAGCCTAGGTACCGCCATACGATAAGCGACCGGAAGGGTTCTCGAGGGAGGGAATTCAAGCCTATCTATCATAAAGAGGATCAGACGCCATGTGAAACCGAGCAACTCACTATAGCGGGCAGTCAATCGCCCAAATCCCACGCTTCGCTTCATCTTACCGACACTTCCAATCCCCCGCCAAGCATCCCGACAGTGAAAGCCTGGCATAGTGCTACCTGTCCGGATAATAACCTTCCTGGCGCGTCGAACTGCCAGAGCTCATGACTCGAGCAGGTTGATACTCCCCTACCCAACAAAACCCAGGAGGTCATGGTGCAGGTCAAGGCCGCAAAATTATCACATCGACCCACATGGAAGGCCATAAAACAGGCCATCCTGCGGGTGACAGGACTTGGCGGGGAAGACGACGTAAGACAACAGGACTGAGTGGTGACTATGATTACCATACCTTCCTGAATTGGACGCAGCACTCCTCGAACTACTACATTGTCTTCAAGGTCGCAAGGCCAACGATAACTGATATAAGACCATCGGGACCGTGGGCGACATCCAGAGCATTTGGCCCACAGTGAACCTTCACAGTACCAGCCGGTTATGGACTGAGCATTGCCTGCATGCCAGTGGATGCTTCGAGAGTTGTACCACACCACACAAGGGGAACAAAACAGAGCTGTTCCACATCGGTTCCGGACAACGGCTATCTTGGCGTTCAGTCTTCGGTCCATTGTGCGGATGGGCTTGGCACTGGGCGTCCTATTCCTCGGGGATTCCCATGTTTCCGACGACGTCCATACAGCCGTGCTAAATACAGAGAGATAGATAAGTAAGACGATCTCAGCAGGACAAGAACCCGAGTTTGGTCCCCTCTTACCCATATAGAGCACTCTGATACATTTATGTATATCTTTAACTTGCCTCGTCGACATTGGCCAGGACCAACAAAAAGCCTATCATCCATTCGAACTAAGCCGTGATGGTTACGGAGCGTCCATCCATGATTATGGGCTCACTGAATGACACCTTCGGAAAGGCCATACACACCACCAGTTAATAATGCGGATTCCGGAGGTCCTCTGGCATGATTTCCACGCCTGTCAAACTCGAAGGAAGTATGTGACTACTTTGTGCCATACCACATCAAACTTGACAGCGATGAGTACCCCCAAGCACTCTACATGAGCCCAACTACGCGTTGCTGGCAGTATCGAGTGTAAAAGGCAACATTATTAGAGTGTCATTGAGAGGAGCTTTGTGGCAGATATGCAGGCGGAAATTTGACGACGCCGGAATGATTATCTGAGGAAGTCGTAGAGCTCGGGATCGGGCCGATATTCGCACAGAGACCGAGAGCCTGAGCGCCTGAGCGCCTGTAGCCGTTAAGCTTAGCTGCCTGGTAGCTGGAGGCTGTTGAAACGTTGAAGGCCAGCACGAAAGACGTACTGTGGGGAAAAAAGCCGTCCATGTCGGAAGTACTGCCAGCCACCGTGACGCCTAACCCGCGCGAGCTGAGTAGGAAGTCTTCCCCCCCCC